GGTTGAAATGTAGACCTTCCGTGCCAAAATGGAAGCGAATTCAAATGCGAAAATACAAGGCAGGGCATGATAGGGCGTCGGTCTCTGGTGCTCTCTCTACAGGCACCACCGTTAAAGCTCTCCCGTGAAGGTCGCTCGAATAAACCCACAAGCGGCCTTGGTTGTACCTTTAGGGCCCTCAGCGTCGCCGATATGATTTAGTTTTTTATGCGTGTGCTGGATCAAAAGGCGAAAGTGAATAATCCATAATGTATTTTGAAGAATTTTTTAATTGGAATTTCCAGTCAAAGGGAAACTTTGATTCTGAATAATATTTATCTGAACTGATTTTATAAAAATTTAAAATTATTTTCTTGTTTTCTCTGATTCGTTTTAACATTTTAATTTGAAACATAAATTTTTACTGAAGAATTTAATATTTCATGATTTAAAATTTCAAAGGAAAGGCAACTTTGAAGGTCGAGTTGGGATAAACCGCCGCTCTGCATATGCAATTTCCTTCCCATTTCAGAAGCAAGCAGATTCTCATTATATGCAATCATCAGAATCCCATTGTTTCCACAACTCGACCTTATCAGAAACATAAATCGAGACCAGTTCATTTCGTTTATATGCAAATGGCAGCAAAGGACGCAATTATAATAGAGCAAAAAATGCAACCTCTCCCCCGCGCATCTTTGTATTTCATTCTTGTCAAATTCTAAAAGCATTCAAATTGGACACGCTTGAGTTGAATAAACCGCGGTTGCAAACGAGAAGAGCAGCGTGGAATTTTGGGTGATTTTGTAATTTCGGCAGCTCCACGTTTTATTGTTATTGCTCTCCTATGTATAATCTCACTCTTGAATGCCTCGGCGCGTTTTATTGGAGCAACCCAAATTGCCGGCTTCGTTTGTTAATTATATACCAAACTACTGCCGATTCAACGGACGCATGTCATAACAAGAGAAAAACTTTTCGCTGAAATAAATTTAAGAAGCAAAAGTAACGGGCGTACAGAATTTTTTAGAACTTGTTTTTTTTTTTTACATCAACACTCGAGCTATTTCTATACTCAAGGTCGTTTTTTCTTTCAAGTCACTTGAAATCAGCTGGATGAAAATTGGTGCATGCTGGTTTTGATACAAAAAGTGGCGGACAATTTAGATTTATGGATACCGAGAAGGATGAGTCTGAATTATATAATTGTATGAGCCTTGGTGCTCGGAAAAAACGCATGCACTACATGCGGTGCTAATGGTGGTCGGAGAAAAAGGTGAAAGAAAAGAAAGAAAGATAAGATCCATCATGATTTGAAATTTCATCACCGGCGAGATAAATTACTTTTTTGTGTTCAGCCATTAATTTGATTAGTCCGTTCGTCGGTCACACCTTTGTTACTTGAAAGTTCATACGCGGAAAATTTGTTTTGCTCTGGCGTTGAGAGTTTTGACCGTTCTCAGGGGAAAATCGCTTTGAAACCAATTTCATGGTGGTTAATTTATGCGTGAGGATGACAAGACACGAACTTGGAGAGTGTTGAAAAAATTAAAATGTACAAAGTGATGCAAGAGTTTCCAGGATTGAAATAAATTTATTATGGATTTCCGGCAGCGGTTTCAAAGAATGAAAATTCCACATCCCTGTGCAGTTGGAAAAAGCTGCAATGCACGATCGGTGATGCGTGTGCGTTTTGTCTCTCTCGGGAAAATACACAATATGTTTGCGGAGAGAGAGAGAGAGAAAATGAGAAAGACAAGAGTTTGTTGCGTAATTGCTCAGGCGAAACAAACATACAATCGACGCCGAGAGATGCTTCTTTTTTGCCGCGGCCGTGTCTGCCAAGCCGAATAAAATAATCAATCTCGGCAACTGCTTGCATTTCTGTGTATTTGTTCACGTCAGGTGCGTTGCATCCTGGAAGGCAGTCGATCCCTCACGATAAAATGCAAATGAGACAGCCGGCGAGTGCTCCCTCGGATCGGGAATTGAGAGACGGCGCGGTACAAAATACACGGCGCCGATTTTGATCTTTCTTTGATATATCAAAATGAGCGGGCAATGTTTGACTTGCGGTCCGAACCGATTCTTTCTTTTTGCGCGAGGAAAAGTAATTACGAAGACGCCATTAATCAAAACAAGCGAGAGACAAATTGATGCGATCGCGGTGCCAGAATGTGAAGAATCACGCAAGTCAGAAAGTTGTTGCGAAACTTCAAATCCTTCAGAAAGTACATATGACACGGAATAATTTTTCTCACTTAATAATTGATGCAAAAAAAATCATGATATTACATAAATGCTTGCTAAAATAAACTAACTGAAAATTCCACACGTCGATTGAAAATTACTCATTTTGAATGAAATTATTGAAAATTATAGAAAAGGTTTACAAATCAATTTTTTTTTTTTGCTGATTACAAAGAATTTTCCAGTTTTTTTTGTTCAATGTGAACGAACCACATTATCATTCGTCACTTAAATATATAATGAAAGAATATAATTGTTTTCATATACGAGCTCATTATTAATAATAAAAAAATATATGTGGAACTCATTTATGCAAAAGAATTAAATAATTTAACAATTTTATTTTTGAATTATCTCATTTAAATGTGATAGCGATCTTCCAAGAACCTTTTAAGCATTTATGTATAATTTAAAGTGTTAAAATTGAGCAACTTGGTAATTTTCGCAGGCAACCATTAACCAACGCCTCTCTTTGCATCTTGTGCTTCTGCGAACATTATTCTTAATACAAAAGTTCCCCTTTTAGGAAAACTCGCAAGTAATGGAAAATCTTTGTCGGAGATCAAGCAATTTGTGATGCTACCTCCGCTCCGGGCCGCAACATATGCGCACAATTATGTGATATCGTCATTTACACAATATAATGAGTGCTTGTACTGTACGCACGGCTAACGGACCGCTGCGCCTACAGGAATTGCGAGCAGCACTTCTTCTTCAAAGATAAAAAGAAAATGACGAATACAGAGTGTGAGAGAAATAAAAAGGCTCTTTGTGACTTCAGTTAGCAGCTCTTTAATTTCGCGTTTTTGCTGGCAGTCAAATCGTGAAGCGGCCCGAGGTGAAATAAATTCGCTTTCCGCGACTGATAGTATAAAAGAGCGGCGCATCTGTTGCTCGGTAATTATCGCAGAGTCGTCGTGCTTTTTATTGCCCGTCATTAAGAGATGGTGTTTTGCTCTTCTCAAATTTTTCGAGCAAGGATGAGTTATGACTTTCCAGTTGTCTCTCTCGTTTCGGTACTTTTGACAAAACCATAAATCTATTTTAAAGGATGTCGACTTCCTAGTACAAATTGTAAGCGTGCAAAATATTTAACAGTTTTTGGTCGTATAATTTTTACAACTTTGATCACATCATGCTCGCAAATGAGAAAAGTAATAAAATTTGCTGGACCGGCGCGAAAAATTTGCCTTCGGATGAAAATTCTCTGCTCAGTCGGTGTAATTAACCATTTTGCAAGGCACCGTTACTTCAGTTGCATATATGCAGCGTTAAAACAACTTTTTGTTAACGTAACAGACGAATAACCATAATAACTCGACCTACCTGTTTGGAAGAGCGAGAGAGGATGAATAATAATTAATTTATATGAGAGTTGAGCAAGCCGCGACGGACGACCATTCATTCCCCCCACGTATAATTATTTTCTTTTTATCTTCCGAGATTAAAAGAGGCAAAAAGATGATCACTTTGAAGCAAACAGTGTGTAGGTCTCTTTTGAATTTCCAGCAACAACCCGATTATAATTTACGCGCGTTGGCCGCGTCCTCCAGAGGTTGTTACCCTTCCTTCGATCCGGCTAAGTGAGATCATTCTGGCCATTACTCATCAGATGTGCGCCGCTTTTGATTAAACTTTATTTGCTCTTCGTGAAATTGCTCGACTTGCATGACATGCCCGGCACCTGCTCTCTGGAGAAAATTGCTCCGACAACACGTAGCGTGTTAAGCAAATTTGAGGAAAACCACCGAGATGAGAAGCGACGCCTCTCAAATCTGTAGACAAAAAAAATCACGGTATATATTTTTCCACGTTCTGGAATTACTTTTTGCTGTCAAATTTGACTGGAGTTACATTCAGGATTAAATATCTGTATCAAAATAAATTATTATTTTTATAAAGAAATGACAACAGCTGTCAGATGGAAGCCAATAAGGGCAATTTATTTATTCAATTTCTGCTGAAACTCGACGCATTTCTGCCTTAATTGAGTGTGAAATAGGATTACGTGCGACTTAATTTGCGATAGAAATCCGAGCGCACGCCACAAAGAATTACAAGCAGCCCCCGCGGATTACACAACATATCGGGCACTCGCATCTCGTTTGTTTGCCAAGAGGATGTTAATCTTGCCAATCGACATGATATTATACAGTGCAAAATACCACAACCCAATGTAATGATTTTTTAGGCTTCAAAAGTATCATCAACGACCTTGGCTTGCGTGCTAATTGCACTTGTTTGCATTATTTTCCTTCATTATTCCCTCGACGAGACGTTAAAAAAAATGCTGGTTCGAAATTGCTGTCCAATTATTTCATCTCTCGTCATATGAGATGCTGCCTGGTGCGATGATGACTCAATTCAACTTGTTCTGTATAATTGGAGTTAATATTATTGCTCTCAGTTGTGATTGAACCTATAATTTCATATTAATGAGGATGGCAAGGAGAAAATTTTGGGAATGTGACAAAGATTGATGAGCTTGGTTCATAATTTCGATCCCTTTTTTATGTTTCCATTTTTTTATCTAATTGGCCTCTAAGAAAAGCCTCTGATAAAATTAATTCCTTAAATATATTTTCGCGAACATGGCAAATTTAATCTAAATTGTAGGCTGCCTTCAGAATATTGAACTTAATGATTTAACAAAAATGCTGATGCACAAAATTGTTATAATTTATATAAAAAGGGCCCATTTTTTTCAAATTATTATTTTAAATTAAAAAAAACAAACACTAACATGCAAATTTTTCATCTTATGTTTACAGGCGAGTAGCCAAGGTGGAGTAGGCTTTGGAATTAAACGCGAAATCTTCTTCCTGAACCTCGAAGATGGATACTTCGGGTGCCAGGTCAACGAGTCAACCACGGTGCTGCAGCTTTTTGAGCTGTCGCACTTGTGCGACGGGACTCCAAATTGCTTCATGGGCTCTGACGAGCTGAGCAAGGAGCTCAAATGCACAAGTAAGTACAACACTTTTTACAACTGTCAGAGAGTCTTTGAACTCTTTCGCAGAGAAATTAATTCAATTTCCACGCGGGAATGGCAGAAAATTTCAAGCGCTGTAATTGGCGAGATTCGTATATAAAACATAATTTTATATCAGGATGGGAAATCTGTCAGTGCGCGCGGGATGACTTGGCGTGTTGATATATAATTCGCTTTGCGTGTAATTTGAACAAACTACCGCTTTTCTGGCTTCCTTTTCATTTTCGCGAGATAACCGAAATTAAACAAAAAAAGAACAAACTGTAAAGTGATAATCGCATAGTGAGAAAATTCATACAAAAGTTTTCGGTCCTTTTACATTGTGTCGGTGTTAGTGAACCCTAGCAAAGCTCTGCGTGTCCATCCATCCATATTGTGCCCGGTTGCTGACGGTGAAAAGAATAAGAGTCGGCTTTGGTCATCGGCTAACGGTCGGCGAGAGTGGATAAAAAGGAAAGGAGCAAAAAGCCGACGGTGCGCATCACGTACACGCTATGGGGATTCAATTTGGTGCTGCCTGCGAATAATGGCCCATTGTAATGCTTCTCGCGCGGCTTATGCTGATGAGAAGACGTCCAAATACAGCAAAAGAATCGCTGTTTTCGATTTCATCGTGTTTTTCTTTGGATTTTTCGCTTCTGTGAGAATCGCTCAACAAAGGCGAACGGAACTCTCAGAAGTTTATTTGCTCGCTTCTAATTCTATAACGCTAATTACAACTATCTGCTTGTTTGTTATTTTTGTTTAGAAACATTTCAATGCTGATTTTGTTAAACAAAAAGAAAGGCTTTGAAAACAGTCATTAATTTAGACTTAGCCTTGGATTTCGCATCCTCTCAATTCGCAATTAAACCATTTTCGGCGCGAAACTTTCAAGCATCTCACCTTGACTGGCCTTTCAGAAGCGTGATATCATCCTGCTTTTTCAAAGAGAAAAAGTGCATATGATATCATGCGCTCATCCATCATCGCCGAATGGAATGTCGTGCGAGATCTGACGAGGATGGGAGACTCATCAGATTGAATTTCTTCAAAAGAGAACCCGCTGCACGCCTGTGAAAAGATTGTAAAAAAAAAAAACTCTCGCGGTGTTGACCCTCGCGCGATGCTGCATTGAGAAAAGGACACGCGGAAAAAATTATAATATCTGACGATGCACAATTCAGAGATGTCAAGGCGCACGATTCGCTTTTTGATAACTTGCTCTGCAGCGGTGGGTGGACGTCTCACAAACATCCGATTGTCCTCGGTTTGCGTTTACACACACCGTAACTGTTTGCACCACTTGAAGTTTCAATGGCATGGGAGTTTCTCACAAGTATTTCCAATAAGCGGATTTTTAATTGTATCGATGACGGAATTAAAAATATATTATTCGTATATGAGAACATATAGAAAACAGTAAATAATCTCTGCCGTTATTTTTTTAAGTTCTTAATGTGTGGAATTAATATTTCAACAGGAGCAAAACCTACTTAAAATTAATTCAACGCAGCTAAGAAATGCAAAAAATGTTATTGCAGTTTAATGTGATTCTATAATGGCGAATTCCAATCAAGCATCAAGAATGACAATGGAATGCAAAAATTCAAACAAAAAATACCTTCTTTCTGCAAAACATGAGGCGATTTAAAATTTAAATTATTCAAATAGCTACAATTTTTTTAAATTCCAATTTTTTCTCAAAAATTTTATAAATAGTCAATAAAATATATTTTATGTGTGAATTTAAAAAAATAAACATCAATAATTTAATTTTAACAATATCGAAAAGAAAAAAAACCCACCTTTTGGTTTCAATTTGCAATTCTTAGAAGAAGACTTAGATCAATTAATTTTTAAATTTGGTTGTTATATATGAATAAACACAATGTTATGTAATTTAAAAAAATTTAAATTTCTGTTTTTTTCAATTTAAAATTAAACTTATTTAAATTTTTAAGTAAAATTATTAGGGGTGGCAGTTTATTTTTAAAATTAAAATTTGGGTTATTTAGTAGTTATTAAAATAAAAATAAAGGTGTGTAGGGATTCTTTAGTAAAACAAGGAAATCCGCCAAGTACTAAGTTTTTGCCCGCGTCAATTTGGCCCGCGTGTGCAATTGCGCTGCAAGCACCACTGCACCTGCCTTGCTCATACACTCAATTATTATGTATAATTCCTTGTACCGTTAAAAGAAGAGGCAGCAAAAAATAGCTCTCTCGAGCAATGATTTAATATGTTCCCTCTTTCTTCTCGTTGTTCAATTATCTGATATAAACAAATCAGGCTGGTTCGCCGCACTCGCGCCGATGCAAATTTATCATCCTCGCTCCGAGGACAATGAGATCGTTCTTCGGGACGGCTGGATATAAAAAAAAGACCGGCCGAAATAACTCGGTGTGTAATTTTGCGGTCTGCCAAATCACACAAACGGACGAGAGCTGATTAATTTTCCGCCGCGAGGAGAAAAGTCATTGGCACTCGCGGTCGTGCACCGGCGCTGCGCGAAAATTCCAAACTCGGCGCGGCGGATGGGTTGACGATGATTTTCAATAAATTTCTTCTCACGCACGTCCTGTCTGCAAGTCCCCCTCGCTCGAAATTGGCATGCACAAGTGATCAAAAGAAACGTTAAATATGAATTTCGTATTGGCTTCTCGTGATTTTTTCACACGGTCAGAGCTACTGGATTAATTCTTCAAAGACCTCACACACACAAAAAGAATAGAAAATGTACACGAAAATTAATTTTTGTCTGCACGTAATGCCAAAATTTGAATATATTTTTAATTTGTTTTATTAATGAAAACGACAATAGACCAACCCAATAGCCTTAAAAGCTAACGGGGGCCATGCATGAGCATAAAAAACAAACGAACAAATAAAATTAATCAAAATAAGCAAAGCACATGTGCAAAACGAGAGATTCTTTTTACGAAAATTTTTGTTCTTAAGCTTCGTAAAATGTAATTTCGGCGACATTAAATTCGTCTACTCACTTTGCTGAACTCTTCATTGCGTAATTGGTCGGTCACTTCTTCAGATCGCACTGAAAAATCCACAAACAACACAGTACTTTTAGAAAACCACGCGCACTTGTTGTTGTTCCGGATGTTTCACTGACTGGCCACATGGTTCACAGCTGTTTTGCTGCCGTTTTTTCATTTCTCATTGGTCAGAGGGCGCAGGGTTGGAGTTATGTACAGACTGCATCCAGCAACAGCCCGCGACAGGTTTAGATGCTTTGAAAATCGGATCGCTTTCGTCAGTCACCACAAGCATGCCTCACAATTGAGATAAACACCACATGAAAAGGAGTTTGAAAATACTACATAATATAGCAGTTGAAATATTTATTTTTAAATTCTTTGGTTTAAAGAGCTGACCGTGAAATATGATCATAAAATTTTATAGATAAAATATTACATAAAGAATTTCTGCTTCAACGTGTCTATGTTGTTTAGCAAACCACATAAATATAGTATCCTCTCATAACTCATCTAATTCCGCCTGGGAAAAAAATAATGTATCTCTTTTTTTTATTTGCCGGTTCAAAGCAACCGCATTATTTTACCTCGCCGAAAAAAACAATGAATATGAAATGAGCTCATCTCATCAACTTTTGTCTTGCGGTGGCTTTTTAAAACCGAATCTGCTTTGCTTCTATATTCCCTTTCATTAGACATAACGCTACACACACACGCATGCAAATTAAAATCAGCAACATTTCATATTCAAATGATAATTAAATTCCAATCTCTCGACGCTTCGAATTAATTATATAGAGCGCCGCCCTTTGGCTTTGATTCCGGTTCCTCGCAGACAACAGGTGCCTTTGCAAAAAGCGTTTCTTTTTATTTCAAGTCAGACCTCAGGGTACTTGGCCAGGGTGAACGATCTTGGCCGAACTGACCAGCGCCACGGCTCCTTAAATCTTTCGTATGTACTTAAAAATACGAAGAGAGCTATTCGCCGATGCGATGGGAAAAAGTCTTAAACAGGTTTCAATTTCGTTTACGATCAGCATTTCATTTTGCTTGCAGCACCGCTCTTTTTTCTTCTCGCGCTCTTTGCTCGTTTTATAAATTTATATTCCGTAATTAGATGCTCTTTAATTTCAAGCCGAAAGCTGCTAGTACGAATACAAACAGCCTCGCACGCCGCCGCCGCACGACTGATTTTTATCAGTTTGTTACACCTGTGTGCGACTTGCCGCGCGTCTCTTTGCGTAAAACGTTTTATAGAAGATTGCATGTCGACAGGAAGAAAAAATTCGTCTCGAAGCAAACGCTCTGCTTTCGTGTGTGAGATTAATTTTAAAATGCAGAGACTCTCTTTTGTATTTATCTCTTTCTTTCTGCGGCTGGGGAGAGAGGAAGAGGACAATCACCCAGGCGGGTTTTGCTCTTTTTCTCTCAGCACTACACGCTGCAAAACAACTCTCTTTAATAATTACGTTGCATGTTCCTGCATTGAAAGGTCAGAATTATAGCCCGACCTCTGCACTACTCTGATTCAAATTCTTTGCGTTACGGTTGCGCAACCCCAGGGGATCGAGCGTATTCAAATTGCAGATCGGCGCAATGCCCTCAGGTGTGAATTGTCCATTGTTTTTCATCTCGGCTTTAATTAGTTCGAACGGATTAAATAAATCCTGGTTCTTTGGTTCTCTACATAAAGAATCTGCTTGTAAATTTTTATTTAATAAATTTAATTCGTTAATAATTTAATAAATTGCAAATGGTTGCTTTAAATTTACTCTATACTAAAGATAAAATTCCCCCCTTTTTTTCAGCGAAACAACTTTTCCAAAGAACCAGCTTGGACTGTAAAACCGAATTACTCTTTAGACAAATAATAACAAAACAAAATCATTACCCTTCAACTGAAGACAATTTTCTTCTCTCTGGCAAATTACTTGGAAATTATTTCGCCGGAATGCCGCCGCGGTTTGCGAAAGGAAAATCCACGCTCATAGGATGAAATTGTAAAACGATAATATTTTTCTGGAAATTTTACATGCAGTATTTTTCCATTCCGTAAAAAGTCTTGAAATAATTAGCCTCGAGGTCGAGACATGCACAATTGCAAATTATCAGACAGCGCTCGCCGTAATTAAAAGTGTAGTCATTAGGCCAAGAGTGGTGAAGTGCAATTAAAATGAGAAGTAATGCTTATTATGCGCAGCAACAACATCAATTATTATTCTCATTCAGGAAAGATCGCCATATCAAAAGAGAAAATGAGAGGAAACGAAAAGAAACGTTCGCGTCCTTTCCTGGCGTTTCCTCTCCTACTTTCGCAGAAAAAAAGCTCATCGACCGAATTCACATTGTTTTCCATTCATGCAAAAATCGACATTATTTCTCACACACGACTTGCATGCTTGCACGGCGTCGACGGTGGCAAAAAAGGTAAAGAGGAAAAAAGAAAATTCATTTTATGGCCGCAGAAGCAGGTGATTTGGCATGCTTGGTGAGTCCGAATTGTGCGACCACGCAATGTCAACTGCGGTCTTTTCCTTCACGTAAAGCCCCGCGTGTTTCCTTTTTAGCTTTTCTTCCGCTTCCATAAGCACAAATAATATGCCCCCTCCGACAACACACTCGATTATTAAAAAGTCATTAATCCCGCCGGTACTTTAGCCTCGTCTATTTGGACGAAGTTTCACGCTTCACGTGAGAAACCAAAGACACGAGAGGGCAACCAAATAAGCTATCATTACACTGAATACATAAACAATTTAATTTGTGTATCTCTCAAATGATAAGAGCACACGAGCTAGTGTTTCGCTTCCTGAAGAGCACGCCAAAGAAAAACGCGCGTTCTGCTTGAAAAACTGCACTCGGCAAACAAGAAGAGAAAATAAACATTCTGATCGACAGAGAAGTTTCCGCCTTTGATCGCGATTTAACATTTGATTTTTTTCGCTCGTGCAAAAGCAGTATAATTCTTCTTGAGTAAATTTGTAAGTACTCAATGCATGCGGAGTAATGAATTGAATTGAACGGTCGGTTCACGACAGGCTGGGAAAATTACACACAACAGAGGACGTATGTTGTTAATTTTGAATTACGAGTTTATTGAGGGTCGGCGGTTAAAAAGCACCAATTTTCTGCCAGTACCGCAAAAACGATAAATCCACGTCACTTTTTGTCCGAAACTTAGCTAATTTGACTCTGATTTTATTTGCAGGCGACTGTAAGTCAGAGAAGGGAATTGAGTGCCAGAACGGAGCGTGCCTTGATTCCCAGTGCCACTGCAACGATGGCTACGGCGGTTGCAGCTGTGAAGTACCTGGTAAGTAATTGTTATGTTAAAAATTAATTTTTATTAATGATTTGACATACTTAATTTTGCTATTTAAAGCAAAAATCATCCCAAAAATATTATTCAAGAATGCAAAAAGTTTCTAATTAATTTAATTTAATGTATTTAATTTTGCCTATTTTTCGACAAAATAACGATTTATTTTGAATAGCTAAAATAATCGAGTTGTTCCATTCAAAATTAATTATATTAAAAAACATTAATAAAACGTAAGCCTACTTAGTTAAATTACGATTGCTATAATGTAGGCATACATGAATCCCACTTCTGACACCAATTGTTAAAGACGATATATTTTGAATTATTAAAATTTAATTTTATAAAATTTATTTGATACACATTGGTATTCTAAGAGATTCATTAATTTTATTTTAAATTATCTACGGTATTAATTGCTTACATCTGACTTGAGACCATGTTTCAATCTACTCAAATCTGGCAGAGATCCAATAAAAAAAAATAGAGAAATAATTAATTACGTTTTACTGTATCACAAACTGTGTTCATCATTTATGCATGCTCATTTGTTCGTGAGTGAGCATTAGATTAATTCATCAACTAGCAGTAAATTTGCATGGGAATATTTGATCACGACTCGCATTGTTTTCTCCTATAACATTATTTCCTGATTTGAATCTTGTTAATTACATTCTCACTCGTTTGAGCCCATTAGCTAATTTTAATATCTCATTTTGCAGACGAGAACGAGTGCAAGTACCGTCCTTGTGACGTGTTTGCCCATTGTACAAACACTTTGGGCAGCTTCCACTGCACTTGTTTCCCAGGGTACAAGGGCGACGGCTTCCACTGCGAAGGTAAGACTTTTACGATTTTTTTTTAATTCAGTGTTTACTCTTGGTGGCTTTTTTAGAATTCCTAGAAATAATTTTTTAATAAAAACAAAAAGCGGTTAGTTATAATTGCGAGAGGAAAAACCGCAAAATATTATCTTCATGAAAATGAGCTCGAAGGAAGAACCAGTCCTCTCTAGAAAGCGTTTTTATATTTTCTCTTTCCTGCTATCCGCACTTTTCCCAGCATCCAACCTGTATAGGTGCTTTTAACTTTTATCTCGTCCGCCCAATTACTATGATCTAATCCACATGCAGATTGCAATAATTCGCTGCTCTTCACACATCCGAAACGCATCAAAAATGCGTGCGTTCCCATCGCGTGTGAGCACCGCTACATGACCCGCGCTTGTGACCTGTCTGCTTTGTTATTTGGACCCGGCTCGTGCCTTATTCGTCTCTTATTAAATCGTTTGCAATGCAAATTGCTGCACCCAAACCATTGTTTTTCGCAGAAATTTTAGTGTTTCTTCTCTTTTTTTTTTACATAAAAAAGTACTTCAAGAAAATTTATCTTTTAAACCGCTTGTCACGACCTTTCCTTATTTTTCATGTAAATACCTCGAATTACGACAAAAAGAGGTTTATCGGACAGAAGCCTATTTGATTTTATTCCCGAAATAAAAAGGAGACGCGCGCGCGTGTAAATCTATTAAAGCACTTCTTTCGGGGCCTCTCCGTGCCGCATCTTCTTCACCATGAGATTTAATAATAAATTGTGCTCATCTGTTCTCACGCTGCATTATTATTATTATTTATTGAGGATCACGATTCTGTTTTGTGCGCGCTTTTCGGATGCTGTGCGCGATCTGAATCACGAACGACGCTTTCCTGCAGAAGAATGTAGCCGTGAAAAATGTGCGGATCGAGAACAAACAAAACTTGATGATATACACAACAGACCAATTTGCTTTCTGGCTTTTATATCTTTCTGAAAAAAAACGGAGGCTTGCGAGATAAAAATAAAAATAGTTTTTTATCTTTTGGTCTGCAAAAAAAATATGAAATTCTTCTTGCTCTTTGTTCTCTTCCCTGATTCTTGAGATGCTTGAAATAAGTGCGAAAATAAGTTAATTGGATGCCTTGCTTTTGAAGGATGTTCGATGGCCATTTTTGGCAAAGCAACTCATAGGAATGCATCTCTGCATCCGACAAGTTCATATGCTCGATTTCTTTGTAAGTTCGTTTATGGAGCGAATTTTCAAGTCCACGGTGGTGATCATTGTTTACCTTTGCGACGAGAGATGCGCCTCATTAGATCTAGACCACCGGCCGCTATCGAGCCTCTTCAGAGAAGCCAAAAGTGAAAGTCCTCGAAAAAATTTCATGTAATAAATCGGAGCCGTAACTGCCGAGTGGGTTTTTATATTTCGCTGGCACATTATGAGAAACGAAGCCCGATGCAATCTTCTCTTTCATAGGCGCCGAGCCGAACAATTATTATGAAATCGACCAGCCGTGGCGTAATGAAATTTATCTTTTTATACTTAATATAGAGACGGGCACAGATGTGCTTATTTGATTGAACGCTTAATAGAGCAATCACAGTCGCGACACCTCGGGATGTGCATCAATTATAATTATTAAATTGAAGGTCTAGTGCTGCGATGAATTGATAGTGACAAGTCTGGTGGCATTTAACATTTGTTCGTTTACTTTCTGTGCTGCATTGACAACTCGCAGAAAAATTACTCCGAGGTTGATATTAATTTATGTTTATCTTTTGAGTTCTATTTCATGTCGCTTTATATTAATATCCGTGTTTTAGTGTCACATCAATATTCATAATTAAGACTTATAATTATTTTAAATTTATTACTGCACACCTCTCTGCTCGTGAGGAATTTCAAATCAATCAATATTTTATGCGGTATATCATATTTTTAGCCTCCAAACAAAACAAGTTTTTTTTTAGTGTTTTCTGCTGACAGGCTCAAAAGCAAAAACTCCTCAGCAATTTGAATTTTCAACGCTGAAACGTTATGCCATTAAGTGTGGCACAAAAAATTAAATCATAAATCGTACCGAATCAATTCGATACCGGTGGATTGCTCAAATTACTATGTTATTCCATGTAAAATTGCTGCCCTTGCGTTCGTCATCATATGATCATCTCTTGCTCTTTTTTTCCAATCCACCCGAGGCCTTCCGAGAAAATGGCAATTCGAGCTCAAAGTCGGATAATCAAGATCGAGTGCGTAATTTATGTATTCGCTCTGAAAGATGGTGAAGGAAGAGGAGACAAATCAAGCGGTGTCTCTTGTAAATGCTGTTCGCGGGCACCGATAGAGGAAAGAAAGGACAGGTGGATCGGCGAGAGATAATAACACTCGGCTAATCGCGGACGAAATGAAAAGTGTATTAAAAGCGCGCACGCCGAGCGCAGGAGAGAATCGGCGAGCGAGAGAAGGAGGAGGAGCATTTCTATGAAGGGCATTGGTCTTGCAGAGAGGGGCCATTGCTCCGCATATGCACGCTTTACAACGCGAGAGAAGAGGCCTCTGGGCACCAGGCCCGACGACCGACCATCATCATAGACGCCGGTTATCCGTGGCAAAAAATAAAACGTTTGAGCACAAAAAATTCATCTGAATAAAACTCACGGAACGAACCTCCAAGGGAACGAAAAAGGCTATTAAAATAAAAATAAAAAATTTATTTCCTCAAGAGAGAGAAAAATTCAAACTGCTTTTAGATTAAGTTAAAAGTATGATCTCGCTCATGCATGGAAAAGTGCAAGTGGTTTTACTTTCGTAAAAAAGAGCTGCTGCAAATTATGTGCGTCCTTTACTAAAAAGCATCTTTGTCGGGCAGAACACGTTTGTTCGCTGATTGGATCAGGTACAATTGTACATCCACAGAATCAAGTATTGCTGTAAATGACGAGCAGATGCCTCCGTGGAGTCCTGCAGGAAAGTGAAAGTCGCCGCGATGCTCATTGTCGGCCGTAATTGAAGCACTCGCGCATTATTTTCTTGACCACACACTTAACTTCTCTCGTTTTCTGCTGTGAGACTTCACGCTGACTTTTTCCTTCGTTTCATTCTCGCGAACACGGAGTTTTATCTGCGAAAATTTCATCTCCGGCCTTCCTGCGGCGATTTTGATTGCATGGGCGTTCCACAGACTAGATGGAGCCGAAAATTGTCTAGTAAATTTAAGTCAATTAAGAAAACTGGTTAAGATGGAATGTCAAATAAAGCTTGAGAAAAATTTAGCATAGAAATATTATTTCAACGGCTACCATTTGAAATAAAAAAGCTAGGTTAAACAGCTAGTGTTGAGGTTTCTCTTGTTGACAACCGGCAGGGCAAACCTTTTGTCAAGCACAATTTGTCAGCGCCAAAAAAAGTAAAAGTTATGCCTAGGCTCCTGTCGTTTCAAATGTTACAAAATCACCATATGGCATCAAATTTTTTTCTACATAAGCTATCTCCTGTCGTTCTGACCAATTAATTTTTTGTCACTATCAACTTTTAAAAATTAATTTATGATTTTAAAAGGTATAATAAAATAAGAAAATCCGGATGAATTTTGTCGTATAAATTTCCAAGAAAATGTTGTGCACTGCAATGTCATAAATTAATAAAAATGTGCTTTTCTTTCCAATCTTATATGTATCTCCTGCAAGCGCCACTTAAATCTACCAGGTCGTCACAAACATTAATTTAACATTTTTATTAACTACACTTCAGCCAAACACGATTCTGCTGCTCGCGTGAAAAGCGCATTTAAGCTGATTTGCATTCGTTAGAGGCTCATTCTTGATATAATTTATTTATTTGCTCTACGTCCGTGTTTTTATGCATTTGATTCTGAAATGTAATCTCGCGTTCAGCTCGGGCAATACATCATAATAACAGTCTGGCCGGACACGCACAAACATGAGAAGTGCAGATATAAATTATACAATGAGAGACGAGTCAGCGCGACAAAGTATAAAAATTATCTGCAGCAGAGACACTTTTTCTTTGCCCGGTGCGTCGGACGTTAGAGGAATTGTTAATTGATATTAAATTATAAAAAGATCAACGTCCTTCCTCTTGCATGTGGTCATCAATCACGCTATATTTAGTTTCCTCCACTTATAGCGTGCACATAGTAATGGGCAGCCTTATTAAAAAATTCTAATTGCGCCAGACTGGCGTGATCGAAAATCATTAAATCATGTCAGTCCATCTTTGTCCGCACTAATCAACAATTCTCCTCTGTACTTTTTTATAATATTAATTCAGTTAGGTGAAATGCATGCTATAAGAGGTTCAAAAAACCTTTTGGAAAAATATTTGCTGATCGAATTTCTGCATATTTGTTTGGCCATAATTGTTTATGGGCCATAAAAATCCATATCTCCATTTTTATTGAGCAGATTCTTCCGTAGAATGCCGCGGCGAGCTTTGGTCTCGTTTCAAAAAGAAGCGCACTCTTCGTAGTATTGCACGGAGCGCCGATCGTTTGGCGCTGTTATTATTTATAACTGTACTTCCCCGGAGTCGTGTGTTCCCGACAGGTATTTCACGAGGGCCAATTTATTATCGCGCCAAATAAGCATGAAATTGGCATTTAATGCCGCTGTGGAGAAAAAGCAGCTCATGACAATTAATCTCGCGAGTATCTATATAGAACAAAAGCGGCCGCTCCAGTTCTGATTAAACTTTTGATTTTGACTGACAATGAATGAAATTTGCTGGACCGGAACTTTATAGATTTTCTTATTTAATTTTATCTGATCGTCCATTGTTTTTAAATGAGAAAAGACATTTCAATTGTTATTTCTTTTTACTATTTTTTTTCTCAACAAACAAGAGGGAAGGCCTCATTCATTTCCAGCACTAAATAAATTCAGTGCATAAGTTTACAACTTCCTTCCTCAACACCTTGTTAACTGTCAGAGATTTGCACATTTGGCTGCTGTATTTTTAATTTTTCTGTCTGCTCACTGCCGTGTATCTTATTTGCACTGCTGACTCGGAAAAGAGGTCATCGGGCTGCGCGCAGCAAATCTGCCTCTACAATAAAAGGCACCGCACAGTTGTTTCTTTTCGGCTCTCTCTCCGAAAGAAAAAAAATTAAAATGCAAAACGGCCGCTCCTTTTATTTTCTTTACGTGACGTCACACTTCTTTCGCTCAACTCTTTTTAAGACGCCTAACTCGATCGGCTGTAATGCTGGCAGGAGACATGCATTCTTGTTTTCTATTTCACTCGCATTGTTTTATTGAGCAATACTTGGCTCATCGAGATTACGCTTTCGTGGTCAGCGAGTGTTATTGTTCCATATTTTAATTCACAGTCGCTGCACAGGATCGTTAATTTGAATAAATTTGTTTCAATTTGACTCCTTTCCCTTTGTGCACTTCTTAAAACCTGTGTTTCGTCAGCAAATAATTTTACAACAACTTTTGCCCGTTCAAATTATAATAAATCATTTTCTTTCTCTTATAAACCGTTAAATAAATCTTTGATTTATATAGTTGAAACTCCTCCATATCAGCTTGCAATCGCCTTACTTTTGCAAATCACAACTCTCTTTTATATGAATGAATCACACATTTCTCCTCCAGCAACCGATCGCCAAGAGTGCACTGCACTAACTATCGAACCACGACTCGCGTTAAAAATATGACTATACTGCAGCAGCAGGTTTTCATACAAATAAAACCCACAGCATTGATACAATGCGTCTGCTTGTGCGCGCACCCTTTCATTTTGACCCAGATTTCGCGAGTCTACATGCGCCATAAGTGCGAACCAATGTATAGGCATACGATATAAGTACAAAAAGGTGTAATGAGATTATTTTTTAGTGTGTCAGATTCGCAAGTATTATACGTGCGTTCAATTCTGCACGAACGAGCGTCTGCATTCATTTTTATACAGCACTGGTCATCCAAGTGTGGACGATTCGCCGATAAGCGACGGGGAAACGAGTGTATAAATGGGAAGTCACGGAATGTGCTTTTATCAAAAGTGACTGGAGCAAACCATACATTTGAACAGAGACCCGCAGAATGATACACATATTTTTCTTTGGTGCCTTTCTAACACGGCTCTTTTGAAAGAGGCTGCTCCACCCAGTCGCGCCGATGAAAAATTAGCTTTCCACCGAGCGCCCCAGCATAAAGACATGAACCTAGACAGTAGACAATTAACCTTTTTGTTTGGATGCAAATGAATGTAAACGTCTTTCAGTACGTGACCAACGTTTTTATCTCTCCTTCGTCGTGTGTGTGACTCTTTTTGTGGGACACACGCCTTTTCAAGATGCTCCCGTCTTTGGTTTTGTCCCTTTCTTTTACAAATAAAATTCTCATCACGTTCAACAGATTTTGGTGAGAGCGAATTTTTTTAATATGAAAGTAGACACAGATCCGCGATAGATTCTAGCATATGTAGTGTTTTTACGTTATGAAACAATAGATTTTAGCCGTTTGATTTAACGAGAATCTCCTTTGAAATGGCCAGAAGGAATTATTATTTATTACAGGCGGATTTCTTTAAAACTACAGACACAATGCAGTTGTTGGAAAAATTCTCAAGGAAACAACCGGTGCGAAATAATGAAAATTTAATTCATGAATAATTTATGAAATCTGCGCGCAAAGTTTCTCCGCAAGGCTACTTTTTTAATGCGTTATTATATTGTTTTTAACGGCTCACACATGCGTCTGTCTTGAGTGTGACGAATTTTCTCTCATGATATGCATTTCAGGACAGTGGAACAACTACAGAGAGGAGGGCCTGATGCAGCAATAATGTAGCGAAATAGAATTCTCTGCTGCGTCAGGTTTAATTGTGTCTGTTTTCTGACAAAGTTAGCAAAGTTCTCTGACCCTTTTCCAATTATAATTCTAAAGCTTTCTTTATTTCTCACTTTGCAAAGAATTTTTTTACGCGCGGATGCTATTATAACTTTGCGAGCCATTGTTTCAAACGATTCTCAATGTCAGAATTCAATTTCAAGGCGATAAAAGAAAATGAAGGAGAGCATAATGGAAAAAGGCTTCGGCCACACCACAGGCTTTTGTGTAGGCTAACGCAAAAAAATTTCTGTGCCCACTGACTTAATTCTATCTGCTCTTGATTCCATCAAACATGATAATCCTAAATACAGTCAGTAGGTGTTGGGTGTGGTCGCGGCGCCGGACTCTCGCAAAGACCTTCCCTTTCCGAGGTTAAGCTTGACACAGTCAATTTATGTTACATACCAGATCATCGTCAACGTGTAGAACCAAATTTTAGGAAATAAAAATATTATAAAGCATGGTTTTAAGTTTAGACTCAGTTTATGTTTTGTTTGATAAAAATTATATGAGTTAAAATAGTTTAAAAATAATAATTTCATCTAAAAGTTTATCTTGTTGCTCTTGGCAACGGGGAGTTTTTTTCTCAAGGCAAACGACATTTTAAAGAAAGCCACCCACCCTTTCAAGTGCTGCGGATATCAAGTACTCAAATATTAATGGCATGAATAAATTCATGAAGCTCGTTTTCATGCACATCGAACCGCATTTTACGGCACTTTGCATATTTATATGGCGTGTTTGTTTTCACACAATTTTTTACCTGCAAAAATAAGTAAAGACTCCCCAAGGTGTGAATCGTCTTGTCGCGCTTTATGTTCGGCAATATAAATCAAAACGACAAAAAATATGTTTTACACAAAAAGAAGTTTTCGCTGCTCTTTACAAATGCTACAACAAGAATGCAGTTTTGTCTTTTTTTTTTTGGAGCGCCGCGCGGCAGGTAACAAGAAATTACAGTGCCTGCAGCTCCGCGCAAGCAGGGTGAAAGTACACAAAGCAAAAGGTCGCGTAAAATGAGGGTGCTGCCCGCGCGAATTCTCGTCGACCTACTAAAAAGAGAAAAATGCAGAACTACTTTTTTTAAAGGTGACGGAAAAGATACGAGTTCATAAATCTTCGTTCAGCAGAGCAGAGAGACGTGTTGGATTTACAGTTTTTTTTTTTACTGAAAACGCTGCATGCGCGCTGGAATTTCCTTTTATTTTATTGTTTGGGTAAGCGCGGCGGCTCTCAGTATTATTCTTTTGCGACGTGAAAATATTTAGGTCTTTGTGTTGCAACTGCATTTGTTCGTGGAATAAAAGCTGTGAAAAAAGCTCTTAAAATAATTACAGCGCACTAAACGAACAAAACGTTTGAATTAACTTACAATTAAAATTTTATGCCTTCATGGAAATTCAATTGATTATTAATTATTGCAAGGCAAATGTGATTTATTTAAAGAGGAAAAGGGGGTGAAACATCCCGGCTGCATAATAATAAAAGAGTCACATTTTCTCAGAACACAAACGCCTTCTAAAGAAGTAGCTCGAGTAAAATGAATTTACGACCCAACCTTGTTAAAAGTAGGCTCAAGTGCATCTCTCATAACACGTTTATAATTCTCTGGCAGCAAAAAACGTTTAGTTCAGCAAGTTTACAACCGAGAGGTGAACAAACCGCCGTAAAAAATCATCCCGCCTTGTGCGTTTTTTGGCGATACACGAAATCTGTGTGTGAGGTGCGCGCCGACCCGACTAAATTATTTCTCAGCACAAAGGACCTCTTTGTGCTTTTACAAAATGTTAAAGGTGGCGGCAAGTTTAATGAAATTCAGATAAAAGCAAAAGAGACCGACCAACTTCTCAGCGAAGAGCAAAAGAAACCTGCGTGGGTTTAAAAGTATAAGCAGACGTTGTTTGCGACAAAACTCTGCCTAAATGTGGTGCCTTGAAACTATATAATTATTTAACTTAAAAAAGCCGCCTTTGTTTCATAATATAAATATACCCTTTTGAAAATTGTGTTTTAATTTTCCAAATTAATTTTCAGACATCAACGAATGTGATGACCCCGCAGTGGCAGCAAGATGCGTCGCCAACGCAGAGTGCTGCAACTTGCCAGCGCACTTCCTTTGTCGGTGCCTCCCTGGTTTCGAGGGTGACGGAGAAGCCTCCTGCACAGGTCAGTTACCTCTCATCAACAGTTTTTATATTTTTAGATTTATGAAAAAAAAGATTCGTTATTGAAATTTCTTAGAGTGTTGTTAACATGAGAGTTTTCAGTGCTGTAATGAGCTAACAAGGTGACAATTATTAATTAAAAATGAAAATACAAATAAACGGCGGAGAAACTTGTTAGGCACTTCTTGTGTTTGTTGTACATTCAAATGCATTTTCTGCATTCTGCTAATGAGGAGGGCGTGTGTTTATTTATTTGCAGACATCGACGAGTGCGCTCGGCCAAACGCCTGTGGTCTCAACGCCCTGTGCCAAAACACGCCGGGAAACTACACTTGCGCGTGTCCAGAAGGATTCCAGGGCAACCCTTATGATGGGGTAAGTCTATCATTTATTTTTAATTTTTTAATATTTTTTTTGAAAGTCAAAATATTACACGAGGATATTATTTACATTTTAGTACTAATCTGAAAAAGGTTTAGTAAAATTAAATTTAAATTTTGTATTTTAAAATAGTTTCACCAAATTATATTTATTTAAAATAATCTTGATTATTTTGCGCTTAAAGTTTTAAGAATTAACAATGTCAAAATTAAGTAATAAAACTAAATATAAAAAAAGCATAGCTTTTACTAGAAACGTAGATTTTGGCGCCACTTGTCTCCCACTGCTGCTGGTGGGGGTGCGTTAGTCCTCCCTCCTCCCTCCTACTCGCCATCCTTGCCAAACAAAAACATCAACATGTGGGATTTTGAGACAAGTTGTTTTCTTTCGCCTTTTCCTGATTAATTGCTTCTAAATTGATAATTATGGGGACGAGTGACTTTATATTATAAAAAAATAGTGCTGCATTCGATTTGTGACAATTTTCTCTACAAAATGAGATCTAAAAATCCGATATTAAGGTTTGCCATTTTACTGTTTTTTAAATGATAGAAAGGATCGTATTTCTCTCTGATCTTTTAATTTGGTTCATTTGCAAAGTTTGTTTTAACGGTTTTTTGAAAATATTTTCCAGTGCGTGGACGTGGACGAGTGCAAGAGCAGGAGAGCGTGCGGCAAGGGTGCGAGCTGCGTCAACGAACTCGGAGGATACCGGTGCGAGTGTCCTCTGGGTTCCGAGATGGACGCCCGGTCAGGCGAGTGCAGAGACATGGACGAGTGCGCCCGTAACCCTTGTGGACGGGACGCCTTGTGTTCAAACGTGCCAGGCAGTTTCAAGTGCACCTGCCCGCCGGGATTCAAAGGAGACCCACTTGTGGCTTGCGGAGGTAAAGTTTCAAATCTCACATATTTTTTTAACAAAATACCCTTAAATAAAATTTAAAAAAAAGAAACTAAAATCTTAAAATCTTGACGATCATGTTGTTTAAAATTAAACTTAAAAATGTAATTTATTCACTTGAAGAAACTCAAATTTTATAAATGTTTTTGTCTCATAATTTAAATTTTAATAACACTGAACTAACAAATTAACCCAGACGTAGACGAGTGTGCGACCAAGCCCTGCGGAAAAGGTGCTGAATGCACCAATACAGCTGGTGGATACAAATGCTCCTGTCCAGCGGGTTACTCAGGGGTGCCGGAAAAAGAGTGTCTGGACATCAACGAGTGTGGCCGTCCAAACTCTTGCGGCGTCAACGCCAAGTGCATCAACCAGCCTGGTTCCTACCAGTGCGTCTGTCCAGACGGATTTACCGGACAGGGCCACTTGTTCTGCGAAAGTTAGTAATCCGTCCTGGTTCCAGACATCTGGCAGCAGATTTAGTTTTCTGTGGTTTGGCCGTGGGATGGTTTACTTCAAGCCGGTTTGGCTCTGTGGGTGGACGAGGAAAAGGAATAATTATTGTCTTGGATGGATAACTGTTTTTATTTATTATTTTTTTTTGCACAGAGACCAGTTTGCATGATTTTGTGGAGAGTTTTGTTTTAAATTACAGGAAAAATTATTATCACAATTTAATTTTTATAAAAACACAGGCTAAACATAAATTTTGTGGCACTTTTCTGTCACCATTTGTGGGAGAAAAAAAAACAGGTTTTCTTGGTGATTATCTTACGAATCTTTCCATATATTCCACTCTCTGCAAATCCCACTTGTTGAACACATTAATTAATTATCTTGGCATATAAAGTTGCCAGTTTCCAGCAGGAGCTGCCATCCAAAATTCTTGTCCACTCTTTCACCTTTGTCTCACAGAAAAAACGCACTATTTCAAAGATGATGTCACTGCCAAAACAGATTTTTTACACTTTTTTTCGTCCTGCACGCGAGACTCGTTCGTTCAACTCTCCTTGGTGTGTTCTTGATACGCACTCATATAAATTTTCGCGATTATGCATTCAGTGCATGCGACTTTGTTTTATGTTCGTCCATTTATTATTTGTATCTTTGTCTCAATCAGGTTGCAGTTCTCTTTCTCTTGCATTTATTTATTACACGCCGCCATTATTATTCATTCAAGATCATAAACAAATGGATTCTAATGCCGAGCTTCTTTTTCCCCCATTCAGACGTGAATGAATGCAAGGATAGGCCGTGTGGAGCCAATGCTATCTGCTCTGACACCATCGGTAGCTACACCTGCACCTGCAAAGAAGACTTCACTGGAGACCCGTACAAAGGATGTGTTGGTCAGTTTTAAATTTAAATTAATATTCTCTAAGAAAAAAAAATTATAAAAAAATGTTAATTGTTCAACAGTTTTTCCTCCTTTTACTAAAAGACTGCGAGCCGATTAAAATTCTTGAGCAAAAAAAAAAACTAAAATTCAACTCACATTAAAGGTCAAGTGCCTCATTAAATCAGGCTCGGAGCAGAAATTCGTTCTCTGTCTAAGTTTGTCAGTTGGCTGGCTGCGTGTAATTCTGTCGTTTGCCTTGAACCAAACCACAGTAATGTTCAGTTACATCCTCATGAAGTAGCGCTCCCCCATCATCAGTATTAAATTTCTCTGCGAACCTTCTTCTGATGAAACTTGACACTTGGACAAACAAATTTAATGTTTGCTTTTCTCGCCGTTTGCAGATATTGATGAGTGCCAAGTGTACGACCGACCTTGTGGCTCGAACGCAGTGTGCGAGAATGCGTCGCCAGGCTACAACTGCCTGTGCCCGCAGGGCTACACGGCAAAGCCGAGCCCTGATGTGGCCTGCGAGCAAGTGGACGTCAACATCCTTTGCCAGAGCAATTTTGACTGCGTCAACAACGCCGAGTGCGTCGAAAGCCAATGTTTCTGCAGAGAAGGGTTTGTGGCTCAGGGCGCCATCTGCGTCGACATCAACGAGTGCGCCACCAACCCTTGCGGACCCTTTGCCAGCTGCTCAAACACCCTTGGTGGATACCACTGTGAATGTGAAGCTGGATATGTTGGGGCGCCGCCAAGAATGCAGTGCAAGGCGCCATGTGACGATGTCAAGTGCGGACAACACGCTTTCTGCAAACCGGACGGACAAGAGGCTTATTGCATTTGTGAAGAGGGATGGACCTACAACCCTAGTGACATTGGTGCTGGATGTATTGGTAAGCTTAAACTTAATATTTTTGTTTAAAAATAGATTTTCTTATTTAAAAAATCTCAAAACTCTTTGCTAAACAAAATAAATTTTGCAGATATTAATGAGTGCGACAAAGCTCATGGTCCTAATGGAAGATGTGGTGCCAACGCTGTCTGTTCAAACTTACCAGGCACCTACAAATGCGAATGTGCTGCTGGATTCACAGCAACTGGCTCAAATCAGTGTATTGGTATGTCTTTTGTTTATAAAATAATATTCTTGTTGCAATTCTTAATTGTTTGATTTTCTACTCTAGATATTGATGAATGTGCTTCTGGTGCTCTTTGCGGAGAAAATGCTGTGTGTGTCAACAAAGTGGGCAGCTACAGCTGCGAGTGCCCTGAAGGTACCATTCCAGATCCTGATCCTAAGGTTAGATGCGTTGGCGTGGTTACCTGCAAGGTTGATGACGACTGCCCTGGTAATGCAATTTGCGACCATCTACATAGATGTCTTTGCCCTGAGCCCAATGTAGGAGATGATTGTAGACGTAAGTGATTTTTGTGTAATATAAATTTTAATAATACAAATATTAATTCACCAAAACAAGGATTTATAAAAAAAAAATTATTTAAAAATTGAGCATCACATTAACTATGGTGATAAAACAATCAAAACTGTTTATTAAAAATTGTTTCTTACATTACGCATAAAATTTATTTTCAGATCCTTGTGAACAAGCATTCTGTGGCCCCAATGCCCAGTGCAATTTGGTCAACGGACAAGCCAAGTGCTTCTGCAGCTCAGGTTACACCGGCACAAATGCTGGAGGTGTTCACAGCTGTGTGGACATTGACGAGTGCGCCGCCAACCCCTGTCCATCGGGGGCCATTTGCAACAATGAACCAGGCAGCTACTCTTGCCAATGCCCTGGTGGCATGTCTGGCGATCCATACAGAGGCGGATGTTTGAAGGTTGCTGAGAAGTCGCCTCCCACCTGCGGGCCCAAGAGTCCTTGCCCTGCTGGAGAACAGTGTGTCAGAGACGAGTTTGTCGGAAGCAGCGTTTGCATCTGCCAGCGAGGGTACGCAAGAGACTCGACAACTGGCAAGTGCAAGGACGTCAACGAGTGCTTGGTTCAGGGTGGACAACCCTCTTGTGGACTGAATGCTATCTGCAAAAATCTGCCTGGTGCTTACGAGTGCTATTGCCCGCCTGGATTCAACGGAAACCCTTACTCGCTTTGTGAAGGTATTTTAATAATTTTTTTTTGCGCAACAGTAAAGTTTAATAAAATTATCTTTTTGCAAATAGAATGCAGCTCATTGGAGTGCCAGTGCAGACCTCCGTATCAAGTTGTTGGAGGTCAGTGCGTTCTTTCTGGCTGTTCGAAATCTGAACCTTGTCCAGCGGGGGCTGAATGCATCACCATTGCCGGCGGAGTCAGCTATTGTGCTTGTCCAAAGGGATTCAAACCTTTGGTTGGAGGAACTTGTGAAGGTAATTTGCATTATAAGAAAATCATGGTAAAATACTAAATGGAAAATTCCACAGATGTAAATGAGTGTTTGGAGGGCCGCCAAGTTTGTGGCTTCGGAGCCGAATGTATTAACAGGAAAGGCTCCTATGAGTGTGTTTGCCCTCAAGGATACAGCGGAGACGCATACAATGGAGTTTGCTCACCTGACCAGGTCAGGTGTCGTGCTGATTCGGACTGTTCTGCCAACGAAAAATGCATCCAACCTGGAATTTGTCTTTGCCCACCTCCCTTCTTCACCGATGGCAACCAGTGCAAGAGTAATTAAAAAAAACATCTTTTTTAATCAATTAACTAATTAAAATCTTCTTCTAGGTCCTTGTCAGAGGTACCCTTGCGGTATGAATGCCAAGTGCACACCTTCAAACCCGCCAAAGTGCATGTGCGAGGCAGGATTCACTGGCAACCCTGTGCAAGGCTGCGTCGATGTTGATGAATGTCGAGACAATCCTTGCGCCTACGGTGCCCACTGCCTGAACGAGAAGGGAGGCTTCAAGTGCGTCTGCGCCAAGGGCATGACTGGAGACCCATACAGAGGAGGCTGCATTGGACAGGCGTCGCCAAAGGGAGAGTGTGCGAGGAACACAGATTGTGCTGGGCCTCTTGTTTGCGAACAAGGCGCCTGCATCAACCCTTGCACTTCTCTGCCTTGTGGACCCAACGCTTATTGTGAACCTGAAAACCACGCTGCCTGGTGTAGATGTGCTGTTGGATTCAAAGAGGCTGCCAATGGAGCTTGCGTTTCAAGTGAGTATTCGTATAATTATTATTCACAAATTCATATTTTAGTCTTAATTATTACACTATAAATTAAAATATTTTAAAGAATGAAAACTTAAATTTGTAATTTAAAAAGAATATTACTAAAATTTAATTTTTGTTGCAGTGTGTGAAGGAGTTTCCTGTGGTCGTGACGCTCAGTGCATTCCAACATCCGAGGGCCCCACTTGCAAATGTATTGACGGTCTTGCTGGAAATCCATTTGCTGGAGGTGCTTGCACTCCTGACGTTTGCTCAGCTGCCAATCCGTGCCGAGAACCTGCTGTTTGTATTGGTGGACGTTGCAAGAGTCGCTGTGAAGGCGTTGTTTGCGGAATTGGAGCATCTTGCAATCCAAACACAAACAAGTGTGTTTGCGATCCATTCTTTGTTGGCAACCCAGATCTGCTCTGCATGCCTCGTAAGATATCTCATTTATTTTCAAATAATTAATTTAATTTTTTTAAATAACTTTTCAAAATAAATTTCTATTGAACATTTTTAAAAATAAAAACCATTGCTTCTCTTGAATATAATTGTTATATTAACAATTTTTTTACTTTATATCTAAATTTTATTCATAAATCTATAGTCTTAATATTGTTTGTTACAAGATTATAAATTTGAGCATTATTTTTTCAGCAATTGTGCCTCCTGTTTGTGATCCTGGTTGCGGAACTAATGCCCACTGCGAATACGGAATCAGCAATCGATGCGTTTGTAATGCTGGATTCAACGGAAATCCATATTCAGGCTGTGGTACCCAGGAAAAATCTTGTAGTACATCTGCTTGTGGCAAGGGTGCTCAATGCAGACAGTCCATCACTGGAGTTGAATGCACATGCCCTGCTGGTTTTACTGGAAATCCTTACGTCGGTTGCAGCGATGTTGACGAGTGTTTGGGCACCGCCTGCGGAAACAACGCCGTCTGCATCAACACTATTGGTGCTTTCGACTGCCGCTGCAAGGATGGCTTTGCTGGAAATCCTTTCCACGTTTGTCTGCCTGCTGATGAGAGAAGATGCGCCGACCCTTCGACCTGCCCTTGTGGAGCTGATGCTCCTTGTCCTGCTGGACTCAAGTGTGTCAAGGGCAGATGTAAAGACCCTTGTCAAGGAATCACCTGCGGAACTCACGCCATCTGTGATGCTGGAAAGTGTCTTTGTCCCCAGGGCACAACTGGAAACCCCAAGGAGAGTTGCACACCAACTGGCCAGTGCCGAAACGACCTCGACTGCGCCCTTAGTGAAATCTGCTTCCAACTGGGCAAGGGCAGGAGGAAGTGTGTGGATGCCTGCACGAAACTGCAGTGTGGTCCCAACGCCCTTTGCATCTCTGATAACCACAGGTCTTCGTGCATTTGCCTAGAAGGATATCTAGGAAATCCGAGTGACCTTGCTGTTGGTTGTCAGCCTCAGATTGCATCACCCAAGAGCCAGTGCAACAAGGACAGTGAATGTCCAGGAGATCTTGTCTGCCTGGTTGCTCCTGATGGTTTCAAGGCCTGTGGGAATCCCTGCCAGAGTGTGGCATGTGGAGACCACGAAGTCTGCAAAATCCAAGGAGGCCTTCCTGTTTGCGCGTGTCGTGACGGATTTGTGTGGAATCCTGTTTCCTCCGTTTGCGAGACACCATCTATTCCTGACTGCACTTCAGACAACGAATGCAATGTCCAAGACGCTTGCAGACCCGATGCCTTGGGTGTTCTCAAGTGCACACCTGTCTGCTTGGCCTTCACCTGTCCTCAGAATGCTGCCTGCTATGCTGATCAACACCAAGGACAGTGCCAGTGTCTGCCTGGCTTCACTGGAAACCCGAATGACCGCAACGGATGCAAACCATCTTTCAAGAACCAATGCTCCACGGACGCTCAGTGCCCGGAGTCTGAAGCCTGCAGAGAGATCGACGGCATTCTCGGTTGCTACCCTGCTTGTCTGGGTGTCCAGTGTGGCCCTCAGTCTGTCTGCGTTGTCAACAACCATGTGGCTCGTTGCCAGTGTCCACCTGGATTGTTTGCTGGAAACCCGAACGACCCTACCTCTGGCTGCAAGAAGGTGCCCTGCGTCTACAACGTGGATTGCCCAACTCACCAACTTTGCAACAGGCAGGATCACACTTGCTATGACGTTTGTGACACAGAGTCTTGCGGAGACAACTCAATTTGCATTGCCGAAAACCACAAGGCGCAGTGCCAATGTCCACCTGGCTATAGAGGAAATCCTCTGCCTGAAATTGAGTGCGTTCCTAGTGGCGTTTGTGACCCAAATCCTTGCCACCAGTCTGCAATTTGCGAACCCTCAGGAGATGGACACATTTGCAAATGCCCTTCAGGACATGTCGGAGATCCACTCACCACAGGTTGCCATCCTGAAGGCCTTTGTCCAGGCGGAGACAAGGACTGTCCGCCTGACTCAGTTTGTCTCGGAGGAAGGTGCACAAGCCCTTGTGATGGTGCTTGCGGACCAAATACACTCTGCAGCATTAAGAACAGGAAGCCCATTTGCACATGCCCTGCTAAATTTGTACCGCATCCATCTCCCGATCAAGGATGCGTCCGAGTTGTTGTTGGGTGTTCTAGCGATGCTGATTGCCTTGGAGATGTTTGCATCAAGGGACAATGTGTTGGTGAGTAAACATAATATAAACAATAAATAGCTTAAATTTTTTTAATACAGAAGATTATATAAATTTTTAAACAATTTCTTTTTATTATAAAAAATAATTTTCGATCTTGATTTTTAGTCGCTTGCCGAAACAACGAAGACTGCTCTCAAGGAGAGAGGTGTGCCAACAAAATGTGCATGCTTCCTTGTGCCACTCACTCACAATGCCTTGATCGACAAGCTTGTGTTGGAGGAGTTTGCATGCTCGGCTGTCGAAGCAATAGGGACTGCCCTCAGGAACAAGCTTGCGTCAACAACAAATGCCAAGGTAAATTGTCGTCTTTATTATTTCTTGGAATTTAAATTAATAAATTGTAAAATTGTAAAATTTAGATCCATGCCAACAAGAGGGATCTTGTGGACCAAATGCCATTTGCAAAGTTACCAACCACAACATCAACTGTGACTGTCCCAGCGGCTTCAAGGCTATCTCTCACGCTCAACAAGGCTGTCTGCGTGAGGTTGGAATTTGCACCTCGACTGCTCAATGTCCCAAAGGCTACACCTGCCAAGGTGGCGCCTGTATGTTGGGCTGTTCTGACAATGCAGGTTGCGCCTTTGGTGAGAGATGTGACAACGGAATGTGCTACAAGGTGTGCTATGGACACAGCAACTGTCTTGCTGGAGAAGTGTGCATCGATGGAATTTGCCAGCTTGGTTGCCGAGGAGATGGCGATTGCCACCCTACAGAAGTCTGCATTGGAAACACTTGCAGGTTAATCGAATTTTGATTTAAACTTGAATTTTTTTATTATTTGAAAATACAATTTTTTATTATAATATTATTTTTGAAGGTGCGGAGCTGGATTTATTGCCAGTCCAACTGGCTGTCTGGACGTCAACGAGTGTGCTGAAAATCCTTGCCATCCGACTGCTGAGTGCCACAACATTCCTGGCTCATACAAGTGCATCTGCCCTGCAGGCACTGTTGGCGATCCTTTTGTCAACCCTGGTTGCACCGCTCCCAATGAGTGTGAATCTGACCAGGCCTGCTCTGAGAACTTGGCCTGCGTGGGCGCTGCTGGTATTTTGAAGTGCGCAGACCCATGTGGAAGCACTCTTTGTGGACCAAATGCCATTTGCACTGTATATGACCACCGTCCTGTTTGCTCATGTCCTGGTGGACACTTGGGTGATCCCAACGAGCTTGCTATTGGCTGCTACAAAGTTGAATGCTTGGACAACGATGAATGCTCTGACGACAATGCTTGCGACACCATCAGCAACAAGTGCATACGTAAGAGCTTTGAATAATTTTACTTTGAGTTTTTTTATTATTTTTATCTTTATTTTTTAAATTCAGATCCTTGTGATTTTGTCAACTGTGGCCGTGGTACTTGCAAAGCCACCAAACATCAAGGAATTTGCACATGCTTTGAAGGATACGGAATTGTTGACGGAAAGTGTGTTGATATCAATGAGTGCTTGGCCAAGCCCTGTCATTCAACAGCTGCGTAAGTTTGAATACAATTTTTAATTTAAAATCTGCGATTGGTTTTTTTTTAATTTTTTATCTATTTATTAAGTCTCAATATTTTTTAAGATAAAAAAATTAAAAGTTTTTACAAAATATAATTTTGTTAAATTAAAATTTTTATAATATAAAATATTTAATATTTGTTTACAGTTGCAAAAACATTCCTGGCAGCTTTGAATGTCTGTGCAAGCCTGGTCTTGTTGGAGACCCAACAGCCACTGGCACAGGTTGCAAACGACCTGGTGAGTGCCTTACAGACACTGACTGCCCACTCACAGCCACTTGCATTGAAAACACCTGCCGCAGTCCTTGTGACTCAGCTAAGTTTGCTTGCGGCAGAGGAGCAGAGTGTCTGCCCACTCAAGACCACAAGGCTGTGTGCCGTTGCCCTGCTCAGACCAGGGGCAACCCTGCCATCGAATGCGTCCAGCTCGAGTGTGAGACGTCTGATGACTGCGCAAACACCAAGGCTTGTCTTGACGGAAAGTGTGTTGACCCTTGTGCCCTACCCAACGCTTGTGGAGCGAGTGCCCAGTGTTTGGCTGCCAATCACGTTGCTGTTTGCGCTTGCCAACCTGGATACACTGGAGACCCACATTTGGGATGTGTGCCTGTTCAGTACTGCGCTGGAGATTTCCAGTGCTCGGCAGGAACCAAGTGCGCTGCTGGAATTTGCTCATGTAAGTTGAAAATGATTTTTTTTTTTTTTTCAAATAATGATCTAAGCGTTTCTATTGACATTTTAGTGAAATTATATTTTTTTATCTAATTTAATTTTTATAAACCTCTATCCTTTATTAATTTTTTCCTTTAAAATTTTTACAGCTGAGTGTTTGAGTGGTCGAGACTGCTTTGGAGACCAACTTTGCATTCAAGGAGTCTGCCAGCCCACTTGCCGCTCCAATGACACCTGCCCGCAGTTCCAGTTCTGCCAGAACAACATTTGTGTGCAACAAGTGGCCTGCAGCGTGGACACCGACTGTAACAACAACGAAAAATGCATTGTGAATTCCATCGGCCAGCACGAGTGTGTGGACGCATGTTCTGGCGCTCTCTGCGGTCGAAATGCCGGATGTTCTGCCAGAGATCACCAGGCCCTTTGCACATGTCTTAAGGGCCACTTTGGAAATCCAGCTGTTGGCTGCCAGAAGATTGAGTGCACCAAGGACACCGACTGCGCTAAGGACAAGATGTGTGAAGGCCAAACCTGCAAGATTCCGTGCCTGGTGTTCAACCCTTGCAAACAGAACGCACTTTGCTCAGTTGAAAACCACAAGCAGATTTGCAATTGCCAGCCCGGCTTCACTGGTGACGCCTTCACTGGCTGCACCATGATCAACTTCTGCGCCCAGAACCCGTGTGGTCCGGGAGCCAACTGTGAAAACATCCATGGAACCTTCAAATGTCACTGTCCGGCTGGAACTGTTGGCGACGCTTACAATTCCGGCTGCGTTTCGCCAGTAGAGTGCCAGAGGGACGAAGACTGTCCTACGTCTGCTCAGTGTACCAACGAAAGAGGAGAGCCCAAGTGCAGAGATGCTTGCGAAAGCACCCTCTGTGGGCCTAATGCTGATTGTACAGCCAAGGGTCACGCAGGACTCTGCATTTGCCGATCTGGATATGAAGGAAATCCCAATGACATCACAGTTGGTTGCAGACCAAAGGCTGTTGCTTGCTCTGCTAACTCCGAATGTCCATCGGGCACCTATTGCTATGGAGATATTTGCAGATGTAAGTTATCAAATTTATTATTTTAATTTTATTTCCAGTGCCTTTTGGTTTCAATTTTATTTTCTGTATTTTAATTTTTTTTAATTGGTTGATTTAATTTTTATAGTGCCCTGTGGATCTGACAATGAGTGCGGTTTGAGTGAGGCTTGCATTCAGGGACAGTGCGACAACCCATGCAACAGACCTAATGCATGTGGAATGAATGCTCAATGCACATGCTCAAACCATGTGAAGCAATGTAGCTGTCCACCTGGATTTACTGGCAACCATGAAGTTGAATGTGTCAGAAGTGAGTTACAGAAATTAAAATTTTCAATTTCATGAAAATAACAAAATTTGCTTTTAGTCCCTGTGGCTTGTGATGCAAGCAGCGGATGCAATGATGGAAACTCTTGTCGTGATGGAATGTGTCTTCCTTTCTGTCTAACTGACGGAGAATGTGCTCTGAATGAGAAGTGTCTCAAAGGAAACTGCATTTGTAAGTTATTATCAAAAATCCCCAAAGCAAACTTTTTATTATTTTTCCAACTTTAGTGACCTGCCGAGTAGACAACGACTGCTTCTTGGGCCACATTTGCCTTAACAACATGTGCCTGTTTGGCTGCCGTGGAAATGAGGACTGCAGTGCCAGCGAGTCTTGTAGAGGAAACCGCTGTGTGGATCCTTGTTCAGAGTCTGTCTGTGGCCCGAACGCAGGCTGCTCCGTCGTTAACCAGCGAGCCATCTGCACTTGCCAGGCTGACTTCATTCCCAACCCTAGTCCGCAAATTGCGTGCGCTAGAAGGCCAATTCCTTGCACCCAGAACAGCGGGTGTCCAGATGGGTCAAGCTGCGTAGGAGATGTTTGCAAGCCAGTCTGTTTTGCTGACTCAAACTGCCTCAGCAATGAGAGGTGCAGCGAGGGAGTTTGCAAACCGCTCTGCCGAAAGGCTGACGATTGCCGAAGTGGAGAAATTTGCGATGGTCTAGTTTGTGTTGCTGGTTGCTACAGTGACAATGAATGTCCGTCAAACAGGGCTTGTGTCAACAACAAATGCTTAAGTAAGTTTAATTTAATTTAGTTAAGTGCTAATTTATTGTTTTCATCTTTAATAGATCTTTGTGATTCACCAACGGCTTGTGGAACAAACGCTGGCTGCACAATGGTCAACCATCAAAAGCAATGTGTGTGCCCAACTCCGCTGGTCGGAGATGCTTTCGCAGCTTGCAGACATGTCACCACTGTTTGCGGACAGGATGCTGAATGCGGAAGTGGACAAATTTGCTATGGAGGACTTTGCCACTCATCTTGTCAATCGTAAGTTAATCAATATCTTTTAAAAATAATTTATATTTAATCTGATTTTTAAATTAGTGACAGCAATTGTTTGGCTGATGAAAGGTGCGTTGGAAGTGTCTGCAAAGCTGTTTGTAACAGTGATGCCATGTGCGGACCTCAACAGATTTGCGAGAGCAGACTTTGCGTTATTGGTTGCAGGAGTGACACTGTTTGCCCAGGCAGCCAAGCTTGCATCAACAAAGAATGCAGAGGTACACATTATTTCCTTTTTTGTTTAAAAAAATTAATTATATGGAAATATTGATCCTTTTTTAAACAATGATTACATATCACTTTCAGATCCTTGTGCTGGAGCTACAACTTGCGGTCTGTGCGCTGAATGCAAAGTGGTCAATCACGGAGTTCAGTGCAGTTGTCCTAACTCCTTCCTTGGCAACCCTCTTGTTTCATGCAACAAGCCAGTCAAGAGGTGCTCAAGCTCTGCGGAGTGCGCCTACCTCGGATCCACCTGCGAGGAAGGTTTCTGCACAAAACGCTGCTCAGGCACTCAGGATTGTGACTGCGGAGAGACCTGTGCTGCTGACGGACGCTGCAGAGCGATTTGCAGCAACGACCAGGGCTGTGCTCAAGGCCAGCTCTGCAAAAACCGTGTCTGCACTTTGGGCTGCCGCTACAACAACGACTGTCCCAATGACCGTTCCTGCATCAATGGCCAGTGCGGCTCTCCTTGTGAGCAGGGCAGAACGCCTTGCGGAAAGAACGCTTTATGCAAAGCTTCTGAGCACAGAGCTGTTTGTCTTTGTCCTGACGGATTTGCTGGTGAGCCGAGTCGAGAGTGCACTCAATTGGAGTGCAGAAGAGACGCTGACTGCGAGTCGGACAAGAAATGCGTCCAGAGGAAATGCAGAAATCCCTGCCTGGAGCCTGGCAGCTGCGGAACCAATGCCCAGTGCAGAGTGGTCAACCGACTGGCGCAGTGCTCTTGCCCACCTGGTTTCTATGGCAACCCTACCATTGAGTGTAAGTTGGACGCCGACGAGTGCTTGAAGAACCCTTGCGGAGAAAATGCTAAATGCAGGGATGTAATCAACGGATACGAATGCACTTGTCTGGCCGGATGCGTTGGCGATCCACACAGTGGTTGCGTCTGCGAAGAGCGACAGATCGATCTGTGCAGTACTGTCAGGTGCGGCTTCAACTCGAGGTGCCGAATTTCCACCAGTGGATCACCCGAGTGTCACTGCCCTGCTGAATTCCCTCTGGGAGATCCAAGCACAGGATGTGAGTATATTTTATAAGCGTCAAATTTTTGCCTCAAAGGGAGAATTTTAATATTTTATATTTAATTAACTATTATTTTTTGGCCGATTTCAACATGTTGAAATTCTTTGTTGAAAAGGTCACGCTGGGCCTATTGCTGACTGCCGACTTGACGGTTGCGGCGCTGGCGCCAACTGCATCCAAGAAGGTGCTCAGTTTGTGTGCCGCTGCCCCGCTGGAACTACAGGACGCCCCGAAATTGAATGCAGACAAGGTAGGAGACGACCTGCTTTTTGTGTTAACCAATCGTGTGCTATCATTTGAGTAGAAGCCCCTAACAATTTGCCCTTTACATATTTTACATAGAAATTCCATTGCAATAGATGGAGTGCGCCAGAGTTGGACTTGCGTTGTGTTCCCATAACTTTAAGAGACAAACGTTGATTGCCTGCCGAATGCATGTTATTCATAATGCAGACTGCAACACAAAGCAAAACCAAACTGTCGCACTCGCTTCTAGCCACAGTAATGAGCAAAATTTTTTGTAAATATTTCGCTGGAAGTATTTTTTTGGATTGTTATTTTTTTGTTTATTTTTGTTAGCAGCAGTTGACCAATCTGCCTAATCACTAACTGCCTCACTAGTCGTTTTTGTGCCCAAGTTTATTTATTATTTTGATACGTTATTATTTATTGTTTATACGAGTTAACAACAGCATTATTATTTTGTTTAATACTAATTCAATAATGAAAATGCTATTTTATTTAGTACAAAAATCACCCCTGCACATTATCCACTGTAAATTCACAAGCACAAATTCAATCAAATACCACATATAGACCCAATCAGTTTAGAACATTATTATTAGCATAACGCATCAATCTCCATTCTAGTCTCCAGCGTTATCTGCAAGTGTGATTTAATTTTAGCAGTCGAGTGTGTTGTGATAATTATCTAAATTGCAAATATTATTGAGTGATTTGTCAGATTGGGGAACTGTGAAAGGAGCGTTCTCTTGAGAAATTCTCTTTATTACTGTTGGCACCACCAAACACCACCTCACGGGCTTCTCTTTTTTTGTTTTTGTAAATACGTATACATATATTTTTGTATCATAGGGTGTCGTTTTTATATTATTTATTTTGTGAAGTCTCCTCATATATATTTTATATAAACATTCACTTGTTAGGTCTTTTCTAAAAGCATGAGAGTTCAGATCATTCCTGTGTTTTGGGTTTGAATGCACAAAATTATCCTCGGCAAAACGATAAAAAGAGAATCGAATCCTTTCATAGTTCTTACGATCGCTTTTTTCTCTCTTTCTGTTTCTCTTTGGCCACATCCACCAACCACACTCCCCTTGCACCCAACAGAGAGCCAGTGCTCGAGTGACCACGAGTGTCCCAACGACAAGGCGTGCATCGGCTCGCAGTGTCTCGACCCGTGCAGCTTGCGCGGCTCCTGCGGCGAAAACGCCCTCTGCAGGGTCATCCTCCACCGACCCCGCTGCTCTTGTCCAGAGTGCTACCTCGGGTCGCCCCACACCTCTTGCCAACCGGATCCTCAATGTCTCAGCACCTCACCGAGACCGAACCAACCTTACCTGCCGTGTCTGTCCAACCTGGACTGTCCGGTTCACCTGGCCTGCAATCGTCTGACCGCCGAGTGCCAAGATCCGTGCTCATCGGCTGAAGCTTCGGGCTGCGACCTCAACAAGAGATGCGAAGTGCGAAACCACCGGCCCATCTGCGTCTGCAAATCTGGTTTTTACGTCAGCGAGACGGGTGAGATCGCCTGCGCCCCAGGACGCTCGCAGTGCGTGTCGGACGACCAGTGTCCGTCGAACGCGGCGTGCATCACCGGAGCCTGCCAGAGTCCGTGTGCCCACAGCCCCTGCGAGCAGGGCAAGACCTGCGAGGTGGTCGAACACAAACCGGTCTGCATCTGCACCGAAGACTGCCACCCGTCGTTGTTCATCTGCCTCCGGGACAGAGGCTGTCCGCCTCATTTGGCCTGCAAGGGCTACCAGTGCGTGAACCCTTGCACCAATTTCACTTGCCCCGAAGGCACGCCTTGCTACGTCGAGGAGCACCAGCCCGTTTGCAAGTTCTGTCCGCCAGGATTCTCAGTCGACGCCAAGCACGGCTGCGTCAAAGGTAAAAATCCCCTGCTGAAGAAAGTCCCTTTAAACACCCTCGTGGACATAGCAAAATTCGAAACCTGGTGTGGGTGGAGCCTAATTGATTTAATTTTAAAAAGTATATAATATTAAAAAAAAAAACTCTCATGGTCAAATTTACATAAATTTAATCAATGTGAAGTGAGTATAGTTTAACAAAATTCATTAATTCCATATAAATAGTCCTTATTTTGGCCTAGATAAATATTAAAATTTAATTAATATAACTGCGGAAGACCCACCTGAGTACACACCAAAAGTTGCGGACACAAATTTAATCAATTTTAGAAGTGTGGCCCATCTAAGTGAAAACCTAATTTCCTGTCATCTTTTGTGTAAATTTCTCTGTTTAATCAGACCCTCCAGAGAAACCCTCACTCACACACAAACACACACAGAAATACTTCCGTCAGCTTTCATTATTCCAAACTCTTTCACCTCTGACTATCCACTCCTCTGTTAATTTCTCATCTCTCTTTCTATCTATCATCGTTTTGTACATACTTTTTATGTATTGTAGATATTTTATATAGTCTGTAGTAATATGTGTGTCTATTTTTGTTAATTTTTAACAGCACCAACAACACAATTACCAACACCACAAGCACCACCGTTCAATCAATCACTGATACCTAGGTGTAATATGGACGGTGATTGTTCAGAACAACACGTGTGTCTACACGGAACCTGTAGAGACCCATGTACAGTCAACCCAGAACCATGCTCTTCTCCCCATCTAACATGCGTTGTCCGTTCGCGCAAACCTATGTGTCAATGCAAATCCGGTCATGAGCCCCAATGTCTTGAAATACAAAAGTCAGTTAATTCAACCGATAATATTTTGCCAAAGCCTGGTGATGAAAAAATATATTTCCCCACCGAGACCCCTGTTCAATTTGATACCGTCGAAAGTGATGACAAAATTATTTTCCCCACTGAAAAACCAGAACAGTTAACTGAAAACCCTGATAATTCCCAATACACTACCACCGGTGACGTGGATACAGGGAAAACTATTGCTAGTGATTTAGAAACAAGCACGTTTTATGACATAACGGAATCGGTTCCAGATTTTTCATCCACTATTAGTACTACAAAAGTAACTAATATTGATCATTTTGAAACCACTTATAATTCAAACAAAATTACAACCAGTTCAGACCAGAGTATTTTGCCTGCTGTTGAAACAACAACGTATTACAAGCCCGATATTTTAATCACTAACTCACCGTCTCAAAATCAAAGCGAAATTTCACAAGAGCCTGTTGAAACTGATTACGATTACGCTGACCCTGACGTTGAGGTTGATTTGTCCAATGAAATTAAAACACCTTTCCATACAAGCACAGAAACTTACAACCCACTAAAAGAAACAGAAGTTAAAGAAATAACAACGAAAGCCAAAACAACAGATAGCTTTACATCTACTCGAGGAATTGTGGAGACAACTACATTTTCGCGTGACAAAAATTACAAAACAGATTTTCCTGAAAACGATGAGTCCACTAGATACAGTACGACTTCTTCTACTGTAACTAAAGTTTTCAATGAAGTAACAAGTGGTTCCTCTTTAAATTATCCAACTGTAGAGTCACTCACAGAAGCTGCCAATTATGTCACTTTAAATCAAAATTCAGAAGACACAGCGACGCAGACGTTTGCCCCATCAACCCGTGGTTACGATGTTACTAACAATGAATTAGAAATTACAAGTTTAAAACCGATTTCAACTACACAAGTCTCCAAAAATTCAGATCGTGTCAAAGTGACAACAGAATATTCAAATGATTTCGTTGAAACAACTGTTAAATTACTTACAACCCTCAGTCCTTCTAGTAGTCAATCCCAAGAAGCAATCAACATAAAAATATCAACACTTCCTGAATCAATTTCTGTAAGTAGTAAAACGACTCAAACCTCCGCAGATCAATTTGATAATTTGCCAACAACGGAAAACTTAGATATTGTATCAGAATACACTAAGAGTGACTTACAAAAAACCACAAACAGCCGTCCCACTAGCACTATGGCAACTGTTAATAAAAATAAAAATACGCCACAAACAAATGACTATTCAACTGAATTTGCAAACCAACCTGACAGTCCCACAACTAAGATGCCCTTGAATGACATTTCTTATACTGAATTTTTCACTTCTGTTCCAATAGAAATAGAATTTGAACAACAATTTACGAGTGACAAAATGCCCATTATACCCGAGGATAATTCCGAAACACCTTTTAGCATGACATTTGAGGATTCAACAGAGAATGTTTTTGAAAATACTGGTATTAAATCATCGACGGAAACCAATAGCATACCCACTTTGAGTTTTGAAATAACTAAAAACGATTCTGCATTACCATCTTCAAATCCTCCAGAAATGATCACCACGACTGTAAAATCAAAGACAGATCAATTCGTTTCAACCGAGACCAGCCCAGTGCTCTCTGACATAGTAACTGAAACACAAACACTGATTTACACAAACGGTTTTCAACTGAACATGACCACGGATCAAATCAAGGCAGTTGATGAGGTTGAAACGACTACTCCTAATGAAATTAATCCTCATAACAGCTCGAATAATTTTTTAAATACTGAAAGTGCTGAAGTAAATACGTTTTCGTCCCTTGAAAATGATACTCAGCCCTCAACCAATGCCTACTCATTTGCTAAAGACACGACCAAAACTGAATCAACGACTCATTCAACCACAATAACAGATCATAAATTGTCTAGTGAAAATAAAACTGATCATGCTTTAGAACAAATTCAAACAACCACTATCACTCCTCCTGACATTAATTATAGCGTTTACCACACTACAGTTGGCTCAAAAATAGAAACAAGCAGTGAGAAAACGAAGGATTTACATATTGTAACCGAGACCGTACTTAGCCAAAACACTACAGAAGTAATTCAAGACAATGAACAATCTACGGTCAATTCACACATTATGAAAACTGAATCATTTGAGACCACCACTACCAAGCAGACAATTACGAGTTCTAATGTCAAAGGCAATTCTCAAAATACAGACCCTAACGATAGCAGTACAGATAGTTATGAAAAGTCTTTTGAAACTACTTCTTTTAACGATTATACTTCGTCAATTTCACACGATGAAATTTCAGATAAACAAAGTACAATTTCAGTTTTTGATTTGACAGAAAAAAGTACGCCTACAGAAGAAGTAACACAATCGGGCAAACCTGCAGAGATTTCGGAATCAAGTACATTCTCCGCCAAGCGTGATACGACTATTTATAGGTACATAGATAAAATAGAAGATACTGATTTCACCACTCCAAGTAGTTCAAAAACACAGAGCACACTGGTAGATTTAAGTAGCCAAACAACTGAACATAGCAGTACATCAGCTTTTGAGATTTCAAAAAATACAAATTCGATGGATGAAATCACAACTGTTACATATCATTACTCAACCGATCGAAACACTAAAGATGCAGAGAATTCAACAGAATTAAGCCCGTTCACGACTAGCTCTTCTAGTACTACTGTAACAGATGCCCACACTCGCAGGGTTGATTCAGAAACAGAGATTATGTCCTCCACTCGTCCTGATTTGACGACCATTTCAAATTTACAAACTGAACCTGCTTTGAAAAATCATTCTGAAAACGCGGAAAGTTATTTTACAACTACTATTTCAACTCAAAATTCGAGTGACGAAAACAAAACGGAATCTAGCTATTTACCAACTGTTATTACAGATAGAAAAACAACCGACTTTACAACAGAAAAAATATTTACTGAAACTGATAAAATTATTCAATACACTACTCCAGTTTCTACTTCTTTGTCTGCTTTTGATGAAATTACCACTGAAAACGCGATTAAATCAGGTCCCGATGTGCCCACTACTTACGTTACGAATAATTATGATATTACGACAGACGTTTCGAACAATATTGATGATTTAAAAACAGAAACTAATTTACCACCCAAAGAGTACACGCACACAACCTTCAGTGAATTCAAATCATCCTCTGTGACGACGCAGAAATCTTTTATAGATGAAAATCAAACTTCAACTTTTTTGAATTTCGGTACTGAAAGCTCATTTACAAATGAAGGTCTAAATGATGACAATTCTGCCGCTTCAACAACAACCTCAAAACCAATTACAGAATCTGAGAGCCCTGACAAAATTACGACTATGTTTTCAACGCAATCGGGCAAAATTGATGTTACAAATCCGGAGACAATAATAACCAGCACAGAAAATTACAAAACTTCTAGTGATGATAATACGTCGAAAAACTCGACTGAGAGAATTTCCATATCAACTCAATCAAACGAGTTTACATATTCCCGAACTGAAATAACAAACAGTCAAACATTAGGAATCGATGAAAGTACTATGAAATCAAACCCTAGCATAATTCCCTTTGATGAATCAACTATAAAAGATTTCGCCTCTCTACCAACTGAGAAGGATAATTTCCCTTCAACATTGAAATATGAAGAGTTGAGAACCACGCAAACAATATCTTACCTAGAATCTACTACAGGCCACCCGGGTGTTGAAACAACCAAATATTTTTCTAGCACTGCTAAATCTGTGATCGATCCCCAAAATACTAAAGAAACTTTATCTGATTCGCTAACTGGCGCTTTTAGTACAACTGCAAATTATGACCAGGAATTTCTGACTGAGCAAATTTCCACACACGACTTCAATAAATCTCACTTAATTCCTCCAACCACCAGTAAATCTGACCAAGAAATCACAATATCAACAACAGATCGATCTCGAAACACTATTGAAGTCCAAACAGTAGAAACTTTCATATCGACCCACAGAACAAATTTCGCTGGTTTAACGGAAAATGTTTTAGAAGAAACGACCACTTTTTCAACTAAGGAAAACTCAAAAGTAACAACCAAGTATGAAAATTCAGATGCACACAATGTTTCGGTGACCACTTTCCCTCCTTTACAAATGATAAGTGATAATTCAACTACGACCGAGTCCATTGAAGATCTCAAATCGAGTTCCCTGTACGATGAAAATTTGCCGCTTACAGTAACTGAATCGATTCACAGTACAACAACTAATGCACAATCTCTAATTGATAATTTGACAACTGCTGACATTCAGAATAATGCAACAGACTCTGCTAGCTTCCCCTTTAGCTCTGATTCAACTGAACAGTCAAGCACTGTAAATTCAATTACATATTACGTCAGTAATAATGATTCATCCGTTGGAATAAGTTCTTCTAATGACACGAGTGGTATTAAAGTAACTGATCCTATAATATCTGATACAACAACTGTTAAATTAACTAATAATATCATTAGCACAACCACAAAGTACCGAGACTTAACTCCGATTGATGAAACTATTCCTACTTCTACTGAAATTAAAACTGATCCAACCTGGAGCAATATTGCTGATTTGATATCCACTGTTTCACTATATCAGACTGAAAGGACTGTAAGCAAAATTACATCACCGCGCGATAATTTCTACACCTCCACCAAATTATCAAGCACAGAACAAACCACACTAGAAAACTTTAAGGACACAACGGAAAACTTATATCATACAACTACTTTTGGGAATTACCCTGCTTCTACGGGTAAATTTGAGCAAACTGTGGATAGCAATTCTGATAAAAGCACACAGAGTATAATCTCAGACAAACCACAAAAAGCGCACAGTTCCACAGATAAAATTGACCATACAACATATACCACACAGCCATACGAAACGCAGACTACGAAACTCATGTTTTCCACAGATACGCACATTACTGATAAATCTATTCCCTCGGGCTCTGATTCTCAAACAGACGATACAGAAAAATACTCCACTACCACTTACTCAACAAAACCTGAAAAGCAAACTGACACTCCGTTAATAAAAAGTACAATTTCACAAAATACGGTTTCCGATCAAACACAGAAGTACACTACAAACGTACCACAAACTGTTCATACCTCTACACAAAAAAACGACAGTACCAATTTCTACCCAACAGATAACACAAAATCATTTGATAATGAAAACCAAACAACAAAAATGACATCATCTACAAATACATACAGTACAGATCAATCTACCCTTGCAAGCACTACTTTACAATCAGATTTCACGGACAAAATCACTACTTATTCACCTCAATCAGAAACCAAAACTGACAATCCATTCATGAAAAGCACAATAGACCAAAAAATTATTTCAGATCCTAAAACCACTACAGATATGCCACTAACTGATTACACATCAACAGACAAAATTTACCACACAGACAAAATACAATCATATGAAAATAGCGAGAAACAGAAAACTACAAAAGCTACGTTCACCACAAGTGCAGAAGTCACTGACACTGCGACTAATAAAGTGTCAATAACTGAAGATAAAGCCACAGACTATACAGAAAAATATTCCAGTGGAACGCAATTTGCATCAATAAAATACCCAAGCACTACGGAAAAATTAAAAGATTTTGAATCAACAGAAAGTGAATTTGGCTCTGAAACGACCACAAGAACAGAAACTAGCAAAGTGCCTTTTAGAACTGAAACAACTGATCGCGAAATAATTTCATCCACCCCATCTGAAATTTTCACCACCGTTTCCAATTTTAAGCTGGATAATTATGAACATAAAAATCATACAGAGACATCTACAAATACCCCTCTTTCCACTTTTGGTCCCTCAGATGGCTCTGAATCAACCACGCGGGTAATAAATAATGTGCAAATAACAGATCTTGAATTTAATTTTGGCACAACTCTTGGGGAGGTTAATTTTGAAACGACCAATCCAACAACTGATGGCCCAAAAACAACAGGCAGCACTCTGTCTGACAAAATAGAAACTGCTGACGAACTGAAAAATTCCAATGACACAACCACGGAAAAATCTCTAATTTCGACTGACATACTTTCTTCTCAAACTTATTCTGGCGTAGAAACAACTGCCACAACAGAAGCTAGCAAATTATCTTCAAATACTGAAATTACCGGCCGAGATTTTATTTCAACAACGCAATTTGAAAACTTAAATTCAATTACAACTACCCATTCAATTATCAACGAGATTAAAATCACTGAGCAAACTGAGCTAACCACAAACACTTTGTCCGAGAGCTCAGTCAATATCAAAAATGAAATTTTTTCAAGCCCTGAATTGACAACTCAAAACATAAACAAATTAACTACAGATTTAGACAGTAATTATGGCTCAACTCATGGACAAACCAATTTTGAGACGAAATATCCAATTACTGAAAACCCTAAAATTACCATTGACACTCAAACTGCTTCTTCCTTTGAGGAGCAGAAAAGTCCCTCTGTAACAACTACAGAACGTGTTTCGACTGAAAAATTCATTGATACGACTGACATTAAATTCTCTCAAACAATCAATGGCTTTGAAACAACTGCTTCGACAGAAAATGGCAAAATATTTATTAATACCGAAACCCCTGATCGCGAATTTATTTCAACAACGCAGTATGAAAATTTAAATTCATTTTCTTCGACCCAGTCAAATGGTAGCGAAATTAAGATAAATTTGCCGTTCACCAATAGTCCTATTTCCACTATGAGTGACTCTGATACTGTTGAAATTGAAACAACCACAAACAAAAATGTTAAGTCTACAGCGGAATCTGAAAATAATTTTAGCTCTACCCAAAGCAGCTATGAATTAGAAACAAATTCAGTCACAAGCGTGCCAAAAACCACTAGCAATATTTCCTCTGGAAAAACTGAAACTGGTCAAAATTTTAATGAATTGAACGAAACAACAACAGTTTTCAATTACCCACAGATTACAAACGATTCAAGATTTGAAACTACTCCTAACTCATTTGAAACTACAATTGAGCAAAAAGATTTTACACAGAAAATTTCTCCAAGTGACACAACAACTGATTTGCCACTCAAAACAACTCCAATAATTTTAGATCCCGAAAATCTTTTAATTTCGACCGAGTCTTATCCCCTTTCTCAATCAAACGTCACTGGCTGCAAAGCCGATGTCCACTGTCCTGAGCGTCTAATGTGCGTTGGTAAAATATGTCGCGACCCCTGTTCGTATTTCAACGCTTGCAAGTCGTACAAATGCGACGTAAAAGACCATAGGCCTGTGTGCGCGTGCAACGTCACTGGGGATGAAGTACTCGATACTTGTATAACACACCCAGGTAAACATCACTTACAAGTGCAAACAATTTTTTTTACATTCTTAAGGCTGCCGTGTTGATCGCCTTTTTATATTCAAGTTTTTTTTCAGTTAAAAAAGCCGCGAGATGCATATTTAAAGCTTTTGAATGGCTCCAGAAAAAAGGCTCTTATTTTATTGGATTTTTTTATCCTTGTTCTTTTTTGCGAATGTTTGCACGATAAACACAGAAATATATTATTTTTAAACCTCCTGCTTTTGATTTTGAGCAGATCGAGCAGACCTCTTCCCTAAATCTGTGACATAAAAACTGAAATTAAATTGTATCTGAGCATGAACAATAAATTATCACACCTTTATAAACAATTTGTACATAAAACACCATGAATATTGTACAGAACACAAGAACACACTTGAACATAAACGTTGGTCTAGTGCTGATTATCACTTAAGTGCATCCCTTTTGAGGTGACGGCATTTTTGTTTGCTTTAATTGTTTGGTTGTGGTTTGCGCTAACTCGATAATAAACGCAATTTGCAGCTTTAAAAGCTTTAACCGATCACTGCAGCGGACATGCTATTTGCCTCCGAACTGAAAATAAAATGCTGATGACAAATTTAATTTGACTATTAAAAAAATTGCTTACACCTTCAAAATTATAAAAATTAAAAATTATTAAATTTAAAAAAAAAATGAATGTAAATCAATGTTCATCTTCAACAGTTGTTGGCTGTCTCTCGAATTCAGAGTGCCATCCTCAACAAGCATGTATCAATGGCAATTGCCAAGATCCATGCAGTGTGGCAAGTCCTTGCCGCGGCATTGAGGAGTGCCAAGTGCAAAACCATCAGCCTGTTTGCGTCAAAGGTGCATACAAATTTTAAATTCTTCTGCCTTTAGATTTTTTCTTGAGCTGCAAGTTTTCGTGTCTGATGTAAATAAATTTTTGTTGTGTGGATAAGTTTAAATATTTTGCTTGCCTGTGTTCTCTCGTTACTTGTTTTCGCAGAAGGAAAATGATTTTTTTTCTTTTTTGAAAATTGCAAAGGCTTTTGAATGCATGGCTGAAATTTTACTTCTCTTGCAGTTTGTTCATGCCAGAAGACGACGGAGTGCAGACCCAATTTCTTCTGCGATGGATGCAATTGTGTGCCTCAAGGTAAGTGCTCCTAAAATTTGAGCTATGCAACTCGCTCTGCACTGAAGTATATGCGGGTTGCATAAGTTTTCCTTTCCAGGCACCTTCACTTTTTTTAATATCACGGAATATTGGATTTTAATTTCAATTTTTCTGCCTTTTATTACAGGCACTGAACCAACCAAGGCCGTGTGTGACCACTGTCCTCCTGGATCGACCTGTGACCTTTCAACCGGCGCCTGCATCAAAGGTAGGAGAACTGCTCCAAGCACTCCAAACGATTATAGCTTCGAAGCAAATTTTATGAAATATTCAATTATTTTAGCTATGCTTTTTGGCTCACTTATCAATTTAGAGAAATGGTGTGTTGCTGATTGAGATTTTTTAAACTTGGCACTTAAAAACTGCCGATCATATTTTGCTGAAACCTGCTATCCCCAAAACACCCTTTGCACCTAATCCCTATTCCTACCCCCTGAGCAACTAACTGAGGCAACGTAGACGCTAAAGAGACATCGACACGCGTGCCAATTTAGACGACACAAGCAAGGAGCTTTTTAAGCGCTTCAATCGCTCGGATAGCGGTGCTGAAGTTCGAGATCAACGCCGGTTTTTAAGGCAAGCGAGCTTGGGAAAGCTTTTCAATGAATATTATTTTCTGTTTATAAAATTCTATTTTTTTTTAAATATGTAAATAAATTTTTGAGAATTTCCGTTTCTTGCAAATAAATTAAATAAGAAAAAAATTTGTCACTAAAGCCTGTATATAAAATGATCTCGTTTACTGTTATAAATTTTTTTGTCCGCCAGCTTGCCGCAATGTAAAGATTTTAAAATGCATCATCGTTTGCATGACAAAAGACGTTAAAGCTATTGAAAATATTATTGCACGAAGTTTGTATAGAAATAGATGTTGCATCAGACTTTCTTTCTTTGGACAAAATTTGTGACTCGTCCCATCTGCTCGACTTTTGTGTTTTAGACTTTTATATAAATAGAAAAACTGACGCACGAAGCTAAACCTGATCTCTCTCTCCTGTTCTACCTTGAACCTTACCTTCCACTTTTGTAAATCGACCATCATATAAACGATTGTAAAGCATCATTTAAATGTTTTACCACTTTAAAGTGTACAAAACCAATTTGTGCAACACAAAATTTCAGCATTTTTTGAAAGCTAGAGTGATATTTTGTCTGATTTAGTGTAGATTGTGTGATTTTTGCTGGCATGAATGATTTTGAATGATTGCTAATCTGATTTAAACTTTGGTGGCGTGTTGCATGTGGAGAAAAGCTTAAAAATCAAACATGCATGTTTTTAAATTTGAAAAAAAAAACGGAATTAGCATTTTAGTATAGAATTTCACCTCTTTGTATATTGATTTGTAACTAACTTAAACATACCCCTTGTACAAACCACAGACCTGGAGGCATCAACCACAATAGGTCCAGAAGCAGAAACCACGTCGGAACAAATTGACACTTACACAGACCAACCTGACCTCGAGCCAGATTCTTACACTGAAAGCAATCCATTTGCAACCACTGAATTCGGTGGCTTTTCTGAGCCGACGACTCCCTCCATTTTTAATTTGACCACCACCTCGAGTGATTCGAGTGAAAGTCCGTTTTCCGACAGTGGCGAGATTTTCAGTTCCACGCAAAGTATCGGTGAATTTTCCACAACTTTTGGCCCCAATGAAAAATCGGTTGAAACAACCACTTTAACGACAGGCGCCTCTTATTTGACTGAAAAGGAATCTCCCAAAAGTTCTTTCACCACCGAAAGTCCCGAGAGCCAATTAGACCTTTCCACCACAAGTCAGTTGCCCTCCTCTGCCGAAACCACGACAGAATCGAGGCCTAGAGTCACGACGACCACTGAAATTTTGCCTGAGTTGTCTAGTCAGACGATGATCTCGCAGTTCGAGTCTTCGACCACCGTCCGGTCGGAGGTAACGACTGCAAATGCCCCACCCACGACGACCACCTTTGTCTCGGTCGCTAATCAGACAGAAATTTTCAAAAATGATGGAACTGAAGACTATCCTGAGGTTGAAGTTGAGGCCGACTTTAATAATCCGCCCCGGACTACCACTGAATCAGATTTATTTTTTACCACCACCCTGAATACAAACGAATTTTCCACCAAATTCGATTTTTCAACCACACCTGGCGCGAGTGGGGAGGTCTTTATCGAGTCTGACAAGGACGATCGGTTCGATAACACCAAGGGGGGTTGCGACTCTGACATTGACTGCCCAGACTATGAGGCTTGCAAGGAGAACATCTGCGTGAACCCTTGTCTTAAGCCCAGGGCGGCGTGTGCATTAAATGCGCGCTGCTCAGTCTCCAATCACACTGCCCAATGCTCTTGTCCACCTGGCCAATTGGGCGATGCCCACCACGATTGTCGCAGAGGTATAACAAACACCTAATTTTCTTACATAGTCCCGTAGACCCAAGTAGATCTGTAGCCGTAGAAACATTTACCTAAATTACAAGCAAAACTATACACAATTATTCAACACGATATTTCTAACTTTAATTAATCAAACCAGGAAACAGAATCAAATTATTTATAACTGGCTCGAATCTGGCACTATATCCTTAACGTGCACTTTTATTTAATCTTATAATATTTATTCGTGTGTAAATCAACTGTAAATAACCTGATCTTGTAAAGATTAATTTATTCTAAATCATGCAAGTCACTTTTATTAATTATTCCTTGCAAATAGCACAATAATTTCTCTGTATGGAACAAGTTGTACAGTAACCAATTACAGCCACTCACCACCAGACTAATGCCTGCGACCCGCCGCTGCCTTTTCCATTCTAGAACCCCCAGGCACCCCCAAAGTGCCGCAACCCTGTCAGTCAGACAATGACTGCCACCAGCAGGAGGCGTGCTACAAGTCGCTGTGCGAAAACCCTTGCGATTTCGCCAAGCCCTGCGCGCCGACCGCCAAGTGCTCCGTCGTGATGCACAGACCGGTCTGCAGGTGCCCCACAGGCCACGAGGGCGACCCTATGGTCAAGTGCGCCCCCGCCATGCCCAGTAAGCAGCTAATCTAATATTAACAGAAATTGAAAAGGGACAGATTAATTAAAAAACAATAATTTGGTTTTAGAACAAATTTAATCAACAAAATAACCAACAAAATGGTTTTAACATTAAATAAATTAATCAACCAGAGTGAATGTTTGAAATTTTTATAGCCAAAATTTTATCATTGAATTTCAGGTTAATTTATCCCAAGATTCATTTCATAATTTATGTATAGCTTGTTACTGAATGATAAAAATTATTGTAGTCGGCTGCACGACAAACTATGACTGTCCGATTACGGAGGCTTGTGTCAACAACGTATGTCAGAGGCCATGCGATTTGCACAACCCGTGCGCTGTGAACGGAGTTTGCATTAACACAAACCACGGAACAGACTGCAGTTGTGCTGAGGGATACCACGGAAACGCTTTTGTTGGTTGTCTTCCTGGTAAAAATTAATAAATTATAAATTAAATTTCCCATTTTAATTTTTAATCTTTCAATAGTGGCGTCACCGAAGCCCATTTGTCAGTACAATGAAGATTGCCCACCCCACCAGCTCTGTGACCGCCTGAATCGCCGCTGCATGAGTCCTTGTGTGGAGGATTCTTGCGGACTTGACGCTGAATGTTTCCCAGCCAACCACGCCGCCACTTGCAAGTGCAGAAGTGGCTACGCTGGAAATCCTTACACCCAGTGTGCTATCAGTATGTGCTAATTTTGATCTTTAGAGGAAATTTTATTAATTATTTATTTTAACTAGTTGTTGGATGTCAAAGCAACTCTGAATGCCCGCCGTCCGAGGCTTGCATTAATCAAAAGTGCCAAAACCCGTGCCAATGTGGCCCGAACGCTATCTGTGATGTGATAAATCATGTGCCAACTTGCAAATGTCCCAACGGCTACGGCGGAAACCCAATCACTGGGTGCACAGGTAAAATACAAATTTTACATATAAACGTAGCAAAAAATTCATATGAACTTAATTAGTGCCATCAAACCCGTGTGTGCCAAATCCATGCGGCACCTATGCTTTGTGTGAGCTGGACAACGGCAATCCAATCTGTTTCTGTCCCAAGGGAATGACTGGAAATCCTTTCGTCAATTGCAGTAAGTTTATTTAAAAAAGCATTCTAGAAATTTATAATTTAATTATTTGATTTGTATACCTATTTTGAAATTTTCTCCTAATTAATTTCAGTACCTGAGGGTGACCTTTGTAAGCCAAGTCCTTGTGGTCCTAACTCAGGATGCCGCCTAGTCAATGGCAACCCACGGTGCTTCTGCCTGCCCAATTACGAAGGCGAGCCACCCATCATGCCCTGCAGACCACCTCAAAACCCTTGCGACCCTTCGCCCTGCGGCCCCAACACACAATGCACCATTCATAATGGATTTGCAAGGTGTGCCTGCATCGACGGCTACATCGAGTTGCCCAACACCATCAGAGGGTGTGTGCAGCGCCGTGACCCTTGCGACCCCAACCCTTGTGGTCAAGGAGCTTTGTGCGACTCAGTCAGGGAGCCAAACTGCTACTGCCCTGTCAACACAGTAGGAAATCCTTACAAGAGCTGTGCTGAGCCGGTTAGGGCTCTCTGCGAACCTGGCCCTTGCGGACCAAACGCTGATTGCTATGTTGCTGGGTATCAGGAGCAGTGCTTCTGCAAACCAGGTTTTGAGGGAGACGCTTACACCAAATGCCAGAGATCTCCTGTCAGCCCATGCTTCCCGAATCCCTGCGGACCTTACACCATCTGCAAAGTTTCACCTCAGGGTCAACCTCTTTGCCTCTGCCAGGACGGCTATAATGGAGATCCAGTCAGTTCAAAGGGCTGTGCTCCCGAGTGCTCAGTGGACGATGAATGCCCCAACGACAAGGCTTGCATTGGATTTAAGTGCAGAGACCCTTGCCCTGGCTCTTGTGGAATCGAGGCCAGCTGCAGGGTTGAGAAACACCACCCTGTCTGTACTTGCAATCGCGGTCTTATTGGAAACCCAGTCAGTCGCTGTTATGCTCTAAAGGGTGAGTTTTTTCTAAAGCATTATTTTAAATAAAATTATTCATAATTCTCAATTTAAATCAGTTCCAGATCCGATCGACCCATGCAACCCTAGTCCATGTGGAGTAAACACAAAATGCATGATCCTAAATGGAAAGGCAGCGTGCTCTTGCTTGCCAGAATATCATGGAGATCCGCAAATTGGCTGTCAGCCAGAGTGCACCATTCACTCTGACTGTCCATCGAACAGGGCCTGCATTTTCCAGAAGTGCAGCGATCCTTGCCGTGGAACATGTGGAGTCAACGCAGAATGTCAGACAAGAAACCATGTTGCAGTTTGCAGCTGCAAAGCTGGTTTCATGGGAGATCCATTCATCCAGTGTCTGAAAACTCGTAAGTACTTTTTTATTCAGACGTATTTCGATTTTACATTATTTTTCTGATGTAGCTCCTGTGTTGCCTGAGGCTAACATGACTAAAGTTTGCGATCCATCACCTTGTGATCCGTATTCGACATGCAGAATCTACGGCAGCTTGGCAGTTTGTGAACCTGCTTTCAGGCCTGAGTGTCTCAGCAGTTCCGAGTGCTCCTTCAACAGGGCCTGCATCAACCAACGCTGTGTCGACCCTTGCCCTGGATCTTGTGGCTTCAATGCATTGTGCACATGCATCAATCATGCGCCAGTGTGTAGCTGCCCTCAAGGCTTTGTCGGAAATCCTTTCGAGCACTGTTCTCAACCAGCAAGTAAGTTAAAGCAATTATAATTGATTAAAATTAAAGATAACATTTTATTGCAATCTTATTTCCATGTTTCAATTTTTAATTTTAGTTGGTGAGGTGAGGCCTGAAACTTGTGACACAACTCGCTGTGGTGCAAACGCAGCCTGCAAGGAAACATCAAGTGGAATTGTCTGTGTGTGCAAACCACTGTATTACGGCAACCCTTATCTTGCCTGCCACCCTGAGTGTGTCCTCAACCAGGATTGTCCATCGAACAAGGCTTGCATGAACAACCATTGCGAAAATCCTTGCGTTGGAATTTGTGGAGCCAATGCTCAATGTGAGGTGGTCAACCACCAACCTGTCTGCCTTTGCCAACAAGAATTAACTGGAGATCCATTTGTGTCATGCTATCCATTGAGAGCTCGTAAGTTTAAAAATTTAAAAATCATTTATTATTTTCTCAAAATGTATTTTAAACAAAAAAAATTATTGAAAAACTTTGTAATTAAAAATTTAAATAAAATTATCCAATTTTAAAATTATTTCAAAGTAGAATTTTCTAAATAATTTTTTTGTTATAGCTCCTCCTGTTGCTGAGGTGGTTATTGCACCTTGTGACCCTTCGCCGTGCGGACCAAACAGCAGGTGCCTCTCACAAGGTCACGTGGCTATTTGTTCATGCCTGCCAGGTTATCAAGGAGTCCCTCCTGCCTGTAAACCGGAGTGTGTGGTCAGCTCAGAGTGCTCCCAGACTCACTCTTGTGTCAACCAGCACTGTGTGGACCCCTGTCCCAGCAGCTGCGGCATTGGTGCCACTTGCCTAGTCATCAACCACAACCCGATTTGCAGTTGTCCTGCTGGCTATCAGGGTGATCCATTTGCCAGTTGCTACAGGCCCATTGTAGAAGAGCCCAAGACGCCGGCAATCAGTGGCAATCCTTGTGAGCCCTCACCGTGCGGATCTCACTCTTTGTGCCAAGTTAAGCAAGGCAGACCAGTCTGCTCCTGCAAGGCTGATTACTTTGGCAGCCCCCCATACTGCAGACCAGAGTGCATCACCAACTCCGAGTGCCCAGCGAACAAGGCGTGCATCAACGAGAAGTGCAAAGACCCGTGCAGAGGAATTTGCGGAACCAACGCCAAATGCGACGTGGTCAATCATACACCATTCTGCAGTTGCTTGCAAGGTTTCGAGGGAGACGCTTTCATTGGCTGCTCAAAGCATATTGGTAAGCTTTTTACCTTATTGGGTAAAAATTTTAATGAAATCACAATAGAAAATAGAAAATTTGGAATTAATTTAAAAAAAAATATTAAATTGTAAATTGAAAAGCAGCTGAGAATTCATTTTTAAAATGATGCAATTTGTTTTCTGCAGCTCCTGTTGTGGAAAAATATCAACCTTGTGACCCGTCACCTTGTGGAGTTAATGCTCAGTGCTCGGAACACAACAATGTCGCCCGCTGCACATGCATACCGCCATACTTTGGAGACCCCTACTCTGGATGCAGACCCGAGTGTGTCGTCAACGCCGACTGCGCCAGCCACCTGGCCTGTGTCAACAAGCACTGCAGGGACCCTTGCGTTGGCATCTGCGGAACAAACGCCCAGTGCAATGTGGTCAACCACGTCCCTGTGTGCAGTTGCTTCAGCGGCCATGAGGGAGATCCGTTTGTGTCTTGCAGACAAATTCCAATCAAACGTAAGTTTTTCTCTAAATTAATTTTTTTGTTTTTAATTTAAAAAACAACAGCAATTGCTCCTCGTAATCCATGTGAGCCGACTCCTTGCGGAGGAAACAGCGTCTGCAGGGTGGCCAATGGACACGCCGTCTGCTCCTGCATTCAAGGGTACATTGGAGCTCCGCCTAACTGCAGGCCAGAGTGTGTTATTAGTGGGGAATGTGCGCAGAACAAGGCTTGCATTCACAACAAGTGTCAAGATCCTTGCCCTGGAAGCTGCGGACTGGAGGCTCGGTGCCAAGTCATCAATCACAACCCCATCTGCAGCTGTCCTCCTGGCTATGAGGGTGATCCATTCACACGTTGCTTCAAAGAAGGTAAGAAAAAGATTACATATTTAAAGACGTAATATTATTTATTAAATCTTACATTTTTGTTATGAAATTCAAATATTCCCCAAGAAAATTACATTGTTAGATTGAGTTGGATTATCATAAATTTTGGAATTTTTTTTAATTTATTCTTATTGTTAGTCAAATTTGGTTATAATTTCTAGAAAAAATTAAACATTTTTAAATAGATTTGTAATTGATTTTATGTTTTGTTTAATCTTCAAATTTACCGACACAAATATTTTGATACATTTAAATTTTATACTTAAATATTAACGGTATAATTTTTCTCATTTTACGACAGAAACAAAAATTGTTGTGCCGATTTCAAACCCGTGTATGCCGTCACCATGTGGCCCTAACTCGGAATGCCGTGTAAATGACGGTCGCCCCGTGTGCTCATGTCAATTGGGCATGTTCGGAGCGCCGCCAAACTGCCGGCCCGAGTGCGTCATCAACACCGACTGTCCGACCAACCTGGCCTGCGTGCGCAACAAGTGCACCAACCCTTGCCAAGGGTCGTGCGGCTTCCACGCCGTCTGCACGGTGCAGAACCACCAGCCTGTCTGTCACTGCGAGCAGGGCTACGAGGGAGACCCGTTCTCCGGTTGCAACCCCGTCAGAGGTAAGAGCATGGATCCTTTTAATGATTTTCACTTTTTCCATTGTGCACGTTTCATGTGTGCTTCTTTTCTTTTGTTTTCTTTGTCTGTGCTGTCCAGTCTTTTCAGCTCTTTGTGTGCGAAATTTCAGTAATTGTTGACGAACCGCGACACCCCTGCAGCCCTTCGCCCTGCGGATCGAACGCGATCTGCAGGGAACGCCACGGCGCCGGCGCTTGTCAGTGCCTGCCCGAGTATTTCGGTGACCCCTATACCGGTTGCCGACCTGAGTGCGTGCTCAGCTCAGACTGCGACCGCCAAAAGGCATGCATTAATAACAAATGCAAAAACCCTTGCGACGGCACCTGCGGCCTCAACGCGAAATGCTTTGTCATAAACCACACGCCCTCCTGCAGTTGCCTGCCCGGATACACTGGCAACGCTTTGCAATCATGCGTTCTCATACCCCAACCTGGTATGCACTTACTTCCTCCTTTTCTGTATTTCATAATTTACAAATTAAATATTCAAGATCTTTTTGACGCTGAAAAGTTATCTCTACCTCAAAATATTGTAATTAGTAAAATTTCCAAATTTCTGTTACGCAATTACTTAAAACTTATATTATTCAATAGATATAACTAAACTAACAAGATAAATTAGCTAAAATTGATCAATTGGAAAGGATAGAATTGTTCCAATAAACAAATTAAAATAAGTTTAATATATTTTTTTATTTTAATGATAAAAATATTAAATGTATTAAATCATACATTTTTATAGAGAAAGGAAAAACAAAATTTAAAAAATTAAAATTACAAATTATACTTATATTGTAAAATTTATATAATTACTTAAATTAAATATTTCATTAGAAAATTTTAATAGAAAATTACACACATAATATTAATTGTCTTTAAATTTAAAGTTCCTAATGAGGCGTCAAAAAGATCACCTTCTCTATCTGTCTCTGTTTCTCACCCATTCCACCTCCTCATATACAGTTGTCATCGAAGAACCGAGAGACCCGTGCCGTCCCTCACCCTGCGGGCCTAATAGCCACTGCAGAGTGAGTAACGGTCACGCCGTCTGCTCTTGCCAAGTGGACTTTGTCGGAGTCCCTCCTAACTGTCGGCCCGAGTGCGTGGTCAGCGCCGAGTGCCCTCTCGATAAGTCCTGTATTAACCAGAGGTGCAAAGACCCGTGTCCAGGCACGTGCGGCCAAAACGCGCGCTGCCAGGTCATCAACCACAACCCCATCTGCTCGTGTGTCGCCGGACACACTGGAGACCCGTTCGGCAGGTGTTACAGGGTGGAAAGTAAGCATCATCTTCTCACACTCTGTCTTTCTCTTTCTCATAAACTTACAAAGCGATTCGCAGGGACAAAATAGTCCTCCTCTTACACAAGAGTTTTAATTTCAAAACACAGTGTAAAAGAAAAAAAAGTAAACAAAATAAAATCAGTGACAAAATTAAAAAATTTAACAAATTTCAATTCTGTTTTATTGAAGTTTTTCTTTTATCACTTTTTATATTCTTGAATTTTTTTAAATTTAGTAGTAAAATGAGTTTATTTGTGCCGTATCAAATTTTACATAATATAAATAAATTATAAAAAAGTTAACGGGATTTATCATCAATTTAGAAGCCCTTGGAGGGGATATATTTGGTGATGGGTTAATTAATGCACATTCAATTAATTAACACTTCGTTCAGATCCCTGCGAACCTTTTTTATAATTCAAACACAAAACACTTGAAAAAGGAACAGCATTTTCTTCTTGCCCTTTTCTGTATCTCACTCCAGAACCTCCCGCACCTGTGGTGCATCACAACCCCTGCGTCCCGTCGCCCTGCGGACCTAACTCGCAGTGCCGGGTCGTGGACACGCACGCTGCATGCTCCTGCCTGCCGAATTTCGTTGGTCGCGCTCCCAACTGCCGACCCGAGTGTACCATCAATGGCGAATGTAGCGCCCACCTCGCTTGCCAATGCGACAAATGCGTCGACCCCTGTCCGGGCTCGTGCGGACCCCTTGCCACGTGCAGGGTGGTCAACCACCAGCCCGTGTGCACTTGCCCGCCCGGTTACACAGGCGACCCCTTCAGTGGGTGCTCGCCCGCGCCAAGTAAGATACACAAAAATCCCTGCTCCTTCGAAATTCAATTCCCCATATTTTCATAAATGTTTCGGACATTTTTTTTTTAAGAAAAATTTCAAAATCACTTTCATATTTTGCTGTAAATAATTTTGTGTTGCTATTTGTGTGCCCATTTCAGTCATTTCGCCTATTGAAGAAGCACCACGTGATCCGTGCAACCCGTCACCTTGCGGTGCGAACGCTGTTTGTAAGGGAAGGAACGGTGCTGGCTCTTGTGTTTGCATGCCCGACTTCTTCGGCGACCCCTACACAGGGTGTCGACCCGAGTGCGTGCTTAACACAGACTGTTCGCGCGACAAAGCATGCGTTAACAACAAATGCACGAACCCTTGCGTCGGCACTTGCGGCATCAACGCCGAGTGCAGAGTCATCAACCACGCACCCTCTTGCTCTTGCCTCCCCGGCTACACCGGGGATGCGCTCAGTGCATGCCATCAGAGGCCGAGTAATTACATTTGTACAGATTTCATTCCTTTTAAGGTCACAGTTTTTTAAAAAGGACCTATTTTTTTTTTTTTTAATATTCTTATCTTGAAAAGTCTAATGAAATCATTAATTTTTTTTCTGTCTTAAAATAGATAAATATCAAATTTTATACCAAGATGAAGATAAAAAAATAATAAAACTCGAAAAAAATTAAAATTTATGAAAAATAAATAATCTAACTGTAAGTTAAAAAAAAAAGAAACTTTGGCCTTTCAATGGAAATTCACATCTTTTGCATGTATCATTTCTGACCCCAACCTTTCCATGGTTTTCTAGTCGAGAAAGTGGAGCCGGTGCGCGAACCGTGTAACCCGTCGCCCTGTGGTCCGAACAGCCAGTGTCGCGCCATCAACGGCCACGCTGTCTGTTCGTGCAGGGCTGGTTACGTCGGTTCCCCTCCGTCTTGCAAGCCAGAGTGCGTGATAAGTGCCGACTGTCCCCAAGACAAAGCATGCCTTACTCAAAAGTGCCGCGACCCCTGTCCTGGGGTTTGCGGACAGAACGCTCGGTGCCAGGTGGTCAATCACAATCCCATTTGCACTTGCGCCCCTGGCCACTCGGGCGATCCTTTTGCACGCTGTTTCAAAGAAGAGAGTAAGCATGACTTCTATTTTTCGATTTCAAGAAAATTCGACTTGATATGAATTAATATTTAGTGCTTTTTCAGTGTTGATATAATTAATTAGTTTTCTTTCATAAAGTAATCAAATTTAGATTTCAAATTTCTTATTTTCTTAAAAGAAAACGTGTAAATTTTACATGCATTAATTTTTTTCTGAAAAGCTTTTCAAGAATATATATGTGTCTTTTTTTTTTTGTTCAACTCAAATTTTGATTGTAGTTTTCATTTATAATTTTCAATATTTGGTTAATGTATCTCGTTGTAGGCAGAGATTGCCTTGTTGTACACCAAACTTAATTTGCAACTTTTATAATTATTACAAAACTTGATATTTTTATTTTTAAAATTAATATGTCGAATTTTCTTATTTTGATGTATAAACTGCATGAATTGGTGTCTGATCGTTTTCCCAACCCTACTTTGTACAGGACGTCCGGTGATTTTCGAAGAGAACATCAACCCTTGCATCCCGTCACCGTGCGGGCCGAACTCTCAGTGCAGAGTGGTCGGTCAGCACGCTGCATGCTCTTGTTTGCCTAATTACGTGGGTCGCGCTCCCAACTGCCGACCCGAGTGCACGATTAACGAAGAATGTCCAAGTAATCTTGCATGCCAGGCGGAAAGATGCCGCGATCCGTGCGCCGGTTCATGTGGTGCTCAGGCATTTTGCACTGTAGTCAAACACTCGCCACGGTGCTCGTGCCAACCTGGCTTCTCAGGAGACCCTTTCTCAGGGTGCTCCAAAATTATCACCAGTAAGAAATTCAAACAAAAATCATTCCTCCCTAAAAATTACTGAAATTTTTCGCAAAATGTTTTTTCTGTTTTGTTTGTCCCTCTTTATTGTATGCTGAATGTATATGTGCCTTCTTTTCTCTGAACGTTTCTCCTTTTCTTTCCTTAGCTGTGGTTCCAACGGAAGGTCCGCGCCGACCTTGCGATCCCTCGCCGTGCGGTTCAAATGCCATTTGCAAAGAGCGTAATGGTGCTGGTTCATGTTCTTGCCTACCTGAATACTTTGGCGACCCATACACAGGGTGCCGGCCCGAGTGCGTCCTGAACACGGACTGCAGTCGGGAAAAAGCATGCGTCAACAACAAGTGCGTGAACCCTTGCATCGGCACTTGCGGTCTCAATGCCGAGTGTAGGGTGGTCAATCACGCGCCCTCTTGCTCTTGCTTGCCGGGCTATACAGGAGAGCCGCAGCGCTCTTGCCGAATCGTTGAGCCTGGTAAAGATTTCAATCCACAATTTGAATTCTTGACCCTGATCTGATCATTAAAAAACCATATTTGATTTTTCAATTTATTAGTAAAAAAAAGTTTCTAACTTCTTTTTTTTCAATCATTTACTTATTTTTATTTTTTCTTCCAAAAATAAATTTTAGACAATTTTAAAGACAAAAAGACTTTGAATTCTAAAACTTTTATAAGTTATTAAAAAAAAATTAGAATGAAATTTGAAAATGGTCAAAAATTCATCCATCATTCTTTGTCACTTCTCTTTCTGTCAATGCATGATTTTTTTTCTCGTCCCTCCAGTGGTGACAGTGTCCGAGCCCGAGCCCTGCAACCCGTCGCCCTGCGGCCCCAACAGCCAATGTCGCACGATCAATCGGCACGCGGTGTGTTCTTGCCAGACGGGCTACGTTGGCTCGCCACCCTCGTGCCGACCTGAGTGCGTGATCAGTGCCGACTGCCCGCAGAACAGGGCGTGTCTTGCCCAGAAATGCAAGGACCCCTGTCCGGGCACGTGCGGCACCAACGCCCGCTGCAATGTTGTCAACCACAACCCCATCTGCTCTTGCACGCCTGGTTTTACTGGTGATCCTTTCACAAACTGTTTCAAAGAGACGAGTAAGCATCCTTCTGTTTTCTATCCACATAATTTTTTTATAATTTCACTTAAGAATTGGACGGAGATTTTCTTTCACCAAATTATATCTTTTTTCCGAATCCGACGAATTTCTTTCATTGTACAAAATTGTTGTGTTTATCATCAAACCCGTCCTCTTCTATCTTGTTATGTGTTTTTTATATTTTAATTTGAATGTTTTTGTTATCTTTTTTGTTTGTGCTCACTTTTTCCTTCTTTGACCGTTTCTGTAGCACCCGAGCCTATCAGGGATGCTGGCGACCCTTGTGTGCCCTCGCCCTGTGGCCCACACTCTCAGTGTAGGGTCATCGGTTCTCACGCTGCATGCTCTTGCCTGCCCAACTACATCGGACGTGCACCAAACTGCCGACCTGAATGCGTTATTAACGCTGAGTGCCCAAGCAACTTGGCTTGCGTGAATGAACGCTGCCGAGACCCTTGTCCTGGTACTTGCGGCTCACTAGCCGTTTGTCACGTTGTTAGTCACAGCCCCATGTGCACGTGTATGCCTGGCTATACTGGAGACGCCTCTCGAGGCTGCTCCCTCATTCCTGTGCCATGTGAGACTCTTTTCTGTTTTCTCTATATTTGTAAATGTCTGAATGTTTTTTGTGGTTGAGGATATTTTTTATTTAATTTGACTCATAAAATTGGCATAAATTGATTGTTTGGGATCAAAGTAACCTGAATTAATAATTTCTTTTAGTAACGGAGAGAACTCCTCAAAATCCGTGCATTCCATCGCCGTGCGGTGCCAATGCTGAGTGCAGAGAACGCAACGGCGCTGGCGCCTGCTACTGCCAGCAAGGCTTCTTTGGTGACCCCTACACTGGCTGCAAGAGGGAGTGCGAAATCAACACCGACTGCCCGACCGTCAAGGCGTGCGTCTCCTTCAAGTGTCAGGACCCTTGTCCTGGAACTTGTGGTCAGGATGCAATCTGCACGGTTCTGAACCACAACCCCTCTTGCAACTGTCCACCTGGCTACACTGGAGATCCTTTCTCCTATTGCAGACTTGTGCCTGTCACAGGTAATTTAACAATTAGATTTTTATTATTATCTTGAAAATTTATTTTTGCATTTGCTGCATTGTTATCATTTTACATTTAATTCACAAAAAATTAGAATTGAAGAAAATTATAATCAATGTTCTTTGTATTTCAGAAAAACCTAGAATCAACCCCTGTGTTCCTTCACCCTGTGGACCCAACAGCCAGTGCCGAGAGATCAATGGCCAGGCCGTGTGCTCTTGCTCGCCAACTTATATTGGCTCACCACCAAACTGCAGGCCTGAGTGTGTTGTCAGCTCTGAGTGTCCCTTGGATAAGGCGTGTACTCAACAAAAGTGCACTGATCCTTGTCCCAATACTTGTGGCCTTGGAGCACAGTGCTCAGTCAGAAACCACAACCCAATTTGTGCTTGTCCCTCTGGATTCATTGGCGATCCGTTCGTCAGATGCAGTCCTCAACGTAAGTTTTCCTCCAAATTTTTCACATTTAAAATAATTAATTTTTTTTTTTATAATTATCAGCTGTTGTGGTTGAGCCAGAGAGAGCCACAGAGAGGCCGCCATCATGTGTGCCATCGCCCTGCGGACCTCACTCTCAGTGCCAGATTGTTGGAGACAGACCAGCATGCTCATGCTTGTCTGGTTTCATTGGAGCGCCACCAAATTGCAGACCTGAGTGTGTTTTGAGCGCCGAATGTCCTAGTCAACTCGCATGTATCAACAACAAGTGCAGAGACCCTTGTGTTGGATCTTGCGGAGTCAACGCCAAGTGCCATGTTATGAACCACACTCCCATCTGCTCATGTGACGTTGGATACACTGGAGATCCGTTTACGCAGTGCAGCTTCCTGCCACCATGTAAGCATAATAATTGAATATTCAATAATTTAATCATTCCCACAATTTTAAATTAGGGAAATAAAGATTTATTTGAAATATATTTACACTTATTTTTTTCTATGTAGCTACACCAGCTCCAGTTGTATTTGAGCCATGCAACCCGTCTCCATGCGGATCAAATGCAATTTGCAGAGAAATAAACAACAACGCCAATTGCGAATGCATTCCTGAACACTTTGGCGACCCATACACAGGCTGTCGACCTGAGTGTGTGATCAATGATGATTGTGATAGGAGCAAGGCTTGTCTGAGGAACAAGTGCAAAGACCCTTGCATTGGTACATGTGGACAGGGTGCAATTTGCGACGTGGTCAACCACATTCCCATCTGCTCATGTCCTGCTGGGTACACCGGCGATCCATTTAACTACTGCCGTGTAGAAGAGAAAATCCCAGAAGCAAAACGCAACCCTTGTAACCCATCACCATGCGGTCAAAACAGCCAATGCAGAGAAGTCAACGGCCAAGCTATTTGCTCATGTCTGGTTGGCTACCAGGGAACACCGCCTGGATGCAGACCTGAGTGTGTGGTCAGCTCGGAATGCGCTTCGAACAGGGCTTGTGTAAACCAAAAGTGTACCGACCCTTGTGTTGGTGCCTGCGGACTAAACGCCAGATGCGAGGTCATCAATCACAGCCCGATTTGCAGCTGCAGACAGGGACAGACCGGAGATCCATTCAGGAGCTGCTACGATCTGCCTTGTAAGTTGAAAATAAATTATAAATAACGAATAAAAAAAATTCAATTAATATTTGCAAATTTTACTAAAATGAATTAAATCATTTCAACAGCTCCTCCAGTTGAGCCTGTGATAAGGAAAGATCCTTGCCAGCCAAACCCGTGTGGACCAAACGCAAGGTGTGAAGTGCGAGGAGAAACCCCATCATGCTCTTGCCTTGCTGGCTACACAGGAGCTCCGCCCAACTGCCGACCTGAATGTGTCATCAACCCTGACTGCCCAACAAACAAGGCCTGCGTCAACAACAAGTGCAGAGATCCTTGCCCAGGTTCCTGTGGTGAAAACTCGGTTTGTCAAGTCATCAACCACGCTGTGATGTGCACATGCTCACCAGGTTTTACTGGAAATCCGTTTGTTCAGTGCATCATCCAACAGAGTGAGTCAGAATTTTTATAAATAAAATTACAATTAATGTTGTTTTTTTTATCATTTTAAATTATTTCAAATTTTCATCAAAATTTTCTGAATTGAATGATTTGTTATTCATTTATTTTTTAGAAGTTTAACTAATTTTTTTTTTCGTTTTAAAATTCTCAGAGGAAATCATAAATCCTTGTGAACCATCGCCATGTGGAGCAAACGCCGAGTGCAAACAACGCAACGGTGCTGGTGCTTGCACTTGCATTCGAGACTACTTTGGAAACCCTTACGAAGGCTGCCGTCCAGAATGTGTTCTCAGCTCTGATTGTCCCACAGACAGAGCTTGCATCCAGAACAAGTGCAAGGACCCCTGTCCTGGAACATGTGGCCAGAATGCCATTTGCACTGTTCAAAACCATGTGCCGACCTGCTCATGCTTTGAGGGTTACTATGGAGAGCCATTCACTGCCTGCCGTCTTCAACCGAAACTTCCAGTCACGGAGGCCACGGTCGTCGACCCCTGCAGTCCATCACCTTGCGGACCTAACAGCCAATGCAGAAACGTCAATGGACAGGGTGTGTGCTCATGCCTGCCTGAATATATCGGCTCACCACCAAACTGCAGGCCTGAATGTGTTGTGAACACCGAGTGTCAGTCGAACAGAGCTTGCAACAACTACAAATGCAGAGATCCTTGTGCTGGAAGCTGCGGACTAAATGCCCGCTGCCAGGTCATCAACCACAACCCAATTTGCTCATGCCCGTCCGGCTATACTGGAGATCCGTTCAACAGGTGCTACCGCGAGCCTCCGCCACCACCACCTCGGCCAGAGATCAAGAGGGACCCTTGTGTTCCCAGTCCGTGCGGACCCAATAGCCAGTGCAGGACAATTGGCGATAATCCATCTTGCTCTTGCCTGTCTGGATACATCGGTGCTCCACCAAACTGCAGGCCGGAATGTGTGGTCAACACCGAATGTCCCAGTCAGCAGGCTTGCATTGCTGAGAAGTGCAGAGACCCTTGCCCTGGATCATGCGGACTTTACGCTGAGTGCAGAGTCCAGAATCACATTCCAATTTGCAACTGTCAACAGGGATACACTGGAGATCCATTCACTCAATGCAACAGGATCATCAGTAAGTTCTAAAGATTTTTTAAAAATAAAGAAATCTCATTTAACTTGCATGTAAAATTTTGTAAAAACGCGTTTTAATCAATTTCAGTCCAAGAAATTAAGAGACCTGTGGATCCTTGCAATCCATCTCCTTGTGGTGCAAATGCCATTTGCCGCGACGGAAGCTGCACTTGCATGCAGAACTTCTTTGGCGACCCGTACACTGGCTGCAGACCTGAGTGTGTTTTGAACTCGGAATGTGACCGCACCAAGGCGTGCATCAACCAACGCTGTATCGATCCTTGCCCTGGAACTTGCGGACAAGGAGCCAGGTGTGACGTCATCAACCACATTCCAACTTGCTCCTGTCCTGAAGGAACTTCTGGCGATCCATTTGTCAACTGCCGATACGTTGCACCTTCAACTAGTGAGTTAAAAAAAATGAATTTAATTAAAAAAAATTATCCAAAATTATTCAAATTGCAGTTGAAAGGTCCAATCCTTGCCAGCCAAGCCCTTGTGGTCCAAACAGTCAGTGCCGAGAGATCAACGGACACGCTGTTTGCTCTTGTGTTGCTGGATTCATTGGAACGCCACCTTCATGCAGACCTGAGTGTGTTTCAAGTGCCGAGTGTCCGCTTCAACAGGCCTGTCTGAACCAGAAGTGCCGAGATCCGTGCCCAGGAACCTGTGGTCAAAACGCGCGTTGCCAGGTCGTGAATCACAATCCAATCTGCAGTTGCTCACAAGGCCACACTGGAGATCCATTTACTCGCTGCTACCCAACACCAGGTAATGACTAATTTTATTTTATATTTTTCTGCTTATTCATTAAATCAAACCAATAAATAAACAATTTATGGGAAACATTAAAAATTTGGAGCAAACATTTTTTGATATTTTCAACTTTTTATTTATGATTTGTTTTAATAATATTTTTTTTAATTGCTTGAATTAAAAAATTTGTTGCAAATATTTAGTCACATAAATTTATTCCGTTTATATTTTATATTTATAAAATTATTCGTTTACATTAAACACTAATAGAGGCCAGCAGATGCATTTAAAAAATCTCTGCAGATGAAAATTTAAGAATATAAAATCTGATATTGGAATTTCCAATCTGTTTTAGTTGTTGAAACATCTAGGCCAGCTCCAAACCCTTGCCAACCATCGCCTTGCGGGCCAAATTCACAGTGCCAGGTGCGCGGTGACAGTCCGGCTTGCTCGTGCCTGCCCAACTACATTGGGGCGCCTCCCAACTGCCGCCCTGAGTGCGTAATCAACCCTGAGTGCTCCAGCAATAGGGCGTGCGTCAACCAAAAGTGCCAAGACCCGTGCGTGGGCGCGTGCGGCTCAAACGCGCAGTGTCGCGTTGTGAACCACACGCCCATGTGCACATGCGACGTCGGCTACACCGGTGACCCATTCAGCTACTGCACCCGCCAGCAAGGTGACGTACCATGATCATGTTTTCTTGCTTGTCACACCACAGGTGTGGGTTGAGATTTTTGCTCCTGGACGGAGAAAATCAAAATGGCATGCTTTTGCTTGTTGCTTGTGTACCCACATCTGAATATCTTCTCAGATTTATATCTGATTGGTGTTGGAGGTGAAGGTTGTGAATGGTGATGGCATGAGCACGACTTTTTCAGGTGTGAAAATTTTAGACGGAGACGCTGCTGGCTTCGAAAGGTAGGTCCTGAACGTCTCTCACCAACTGAAGAGGACATCATTCACCGACTTTTTGTGAAGAAGATTTTGAGTAGTTGTCAGCTTAATTTGAGTTCTAACTTTTAAAAAATTCGTAGCAGCTGTTGTTAAAAATTATCAGGGAGAGGAGGTTAATTTATTAAGTTGATTTTTAAACAATCTATGAACAATGAAAACTATGAGCATATTTAGGTACAAAATTCTTCGTATTCGTATTTTGCTATCTTTCATTTTAATTTTTAATCCAATAATATAAATTCTTTTCCAGGGAATTTACTTTCTCTTTCCAGGTATTGTTTTAAATATAAATTTGATTATTAATCAAGTATTATTTGATGGTAGATAGCCTCTAATTAATCCATTTAAATAAGGTAGTTTTCTCCCCGCAGCCAAAAATAATTTTAAAACTAAAGCAAAATGCTTGCACCGGCGTACATATAAAGCAGCCCAGCCACGCAAAACACTCGCAGCGCCAACCAAAACTAATGCAGAGCCATTTAAACGCTTAAAAAAATCATGCTTAATTTTGAAACTTTACCACAGAACCAGTCGTAGCTGAAAAATTGTCTCCGTGCACTCCATCACCATGCGGGGCAAACGCAGTTTGTCAAGAGAGAAACGGCGCAGGTGCTTGTAAGTGCCTGCCCGAATATATTGGAAACCCTTACGAAGGCTGCAGACCAGAATGCGTCTCCAACTCTGACTGCGCGAGCAACAGAGCATGTGTCCTCAGCAAATGCAATGACCCTTGCCCAGGCACTTGCGGAACCAACGCTGAATGCAACGTTTTTAATCACGCACCCTCTTGCACGTGCAGACAGGGTTACACAGGAGACCCTTTCAGATACTGCTCTCTCATTCCAGAGCCAGGTACCGCAAACTATATCCAAATTTATTTAATTTATAATATATTTTTTTAAATTAAATTGTAAGACAAAAATCGAAAATAAAGTCACACAAAAAATAACTGTTTTTGTGTGACATTTTTAACATTTTTTAATGTTTTAAAGCATTCATTTTTACAATTTAAAATTCAGTGCCTCTTATTACTAACATGACTAATATATTATTTTTTTATTGTAGTTGTTTTTGAAAAGGAAGTCGTTGACCCTTGTTTGCCATCACCGTGTGGTCCATACAGTCAATGTAGAAACGTGAATAATCAGGGCGTCTGTTCCTGCCTACCTGGCTATCAAGGCAGCCCTCCAAATTGCAAACCTGAGTGCATTGTAAACGCTGAGTGCTCACCCAGCAGAGCTTGCAGCAATCTCAAGTGCATTGACCCATGTATTGGCACCTGTGGACAAAACGCCCAATGTAGAGTAATCAACCACAGCCCTATCTGCACCTGTCATCAGGGTTATACAGGAGATCCATTCTCTCGATGCCAGCTATTGCCTCGTATGTCTCATCAAAGCTGTTTGTATTTTTGTAACTTAAATTGCTTTTTTTTTAACTAGCGCCTCCACCACCACCAAAACAACCTGTTTTCGTTGACCCATGCGTGCCTTCACCCTGCGGGCCCTATTCTCAGTGTAGAGATATTGGCGGCTCGCCTTCTTGCTCATGTCTTGCCAATTACATCGGAGCTCCACCTAATTGTAGACCAGAATGCGTTGTGAACTCTGAATGTCCAAGTAACAAGGCTTGTATGCGGGAGAAATGCGGAGACCCTTGCCCAGGTGCCTGTGGGTACCAGGCTGAATGCTCTGTTGTTAACCACACGCCGATGTGCACCTGCATTCAAGGCTATGTTGGAGATCCGTTTACAAACTGCAGGCCAAAGCCTGTCGAAGAGCCGCGACCCATCATCACTGACCCTTGCAATCCGTCACCTTGCGGGCCGAACGCCCAATGTAGAGACGGCTCTTGCACTTGCCTGCCAGAGTTCCACGGCGATCCGTATGTCGGATGCAGACCAGAATGCGTTTTGAGCACGGACTGCAACAGGGAGAAAGCTTGCATTCGACAAAAGTGTGTTGACCCTTGCCCTGGAACTTGTGGTCAGAATGCCAGGTGTGACGTCATCAACCACATTCCAATGTGCAGTTGTCCACCAGGATTCTCAGGAAGTCCCTTTATTGAATGTCGACCCCACAGAGGTATAAAGATTATTGAATATATTGAATTATACTTGTAGTTTATATTATTATTATTAATTTTTTTAATATTTATTATTCTCGTTTAAATTTTGTAAACATTTCAGAGCCAATTAAGTCTGAGCCTTGCTCTCCGTCACCTTGCGGTCCAAACAGTCAGTGCAGAGAAATTAACGATCAGGCAGTTTGCTCTTGCGTACCTGGCTTTATCGGAAGTCCTCCAACCTGCAGACCTGAATGTGTTACAAATTCTGAGTGCCCACTCAGTGAAGCTTGCAGTAATCAGAAGTGCCGAGATCCTTGCCTAGGAACTTGTGGAGTTGGCGCCAAATGCAGTGTCATAAACCACAATCCTATCTGTAGCTGCCCGTCACGATTCAGTGGTGATCCATTCATTCGCTGCGTTCCAATTCGTAAGTTCTATTTTGTAGGAAAATAATTTTTTTTTAAATTAATCTAATTAAAAAAAATAAAAGGAGAGGAGCCAGTGACTGCCAGGCCATCAAACCCTTGCCAACCCTCACCATGTGGTCCAAATTCTCAGTGTCAAGTAAGAGGGGAAAGCCCATCTTGCTCATGTCTGCCTAATTACATTGGAGCTCCACCAAATTGCCGACCTGAGTGTGTCAGCAACAGCGAGTGCCAGAGCAATAGAGCTTGCATGAATCAAAAGTGTGGAGATCCTTGTCAAGGGTCATGCGGAGCAAATGCTGAGTGCCGAGTCGTCAGCCACACGCCAATGTGCACTTGCATATCTGGCTACACTGGTGACCCATTCTCGCAGTGCTCACCTGTTCGAGAGCCAGTTGTTGAACAATCAAGACCATGCGTCCCCTCACCTTGTGGCGCTAATGCTGAGTGTCGAGAGCAAAATAGAGCTGGGGCTTGTACATGCCTGCCTGAATACATCGGAAATCCTTACGAAGGCTGTAGACCAGAATGCGTTGTAAGCACCGATTGCCAATCAAACAGGGCCTGTATGAGCAGCAAGTGTCGCGACCCTTGTCCTGGAACGTGCGGACCAAATGCTGATTGCCAAGTCGTCAACCACCAAGCAACTTGTACTTGCTTCCCTGGCTATACAGGAGATCCATTTAGATACTGCAGTCCAAATCCACCTGAACGTATGCAATGAGAAAAAATTTTATTCCATAATTATAGCACTAATTTAAATTTTTAGCTGTGATACGAGAGCCTACAAATCCTTGCCAGCCATCTCCATGTGGGCCAAATAGCCAGTGCAGAGAGATCAATGGTCAGGCTGTGTGCTCCTGCCTACCTAATTACCAGGGCAGCCCACCTAGCTGCAGACCTGAATGCGTTGTCAGTGCAGAGTGTGCCCAAAATAGGGCATGCAACAACCAAAAGTGCACTGATCCTTGCACAGGAACATGTGGTCAAAATGCTATCTGCCAAGTCATCAACCACAGTCCCATATGTAGTTGTCAACAAGGCTACACTGGAGATCCATTTACCAGATGCTTCCCTGTTCCTCGTAAGTTTTTTTCTTTAGTAAAAATAATTTTTTTTACTTGATTTTCAACTGCAGCTCCACCACCACCAAGAGAACCTGCGGTGTTCAGAGACCCTTGTCAACCCACTCCTTGTGGGCCGTTTTCGCAGTGCCGAGACATAGGAGGAGCACCCTCTTGCTCTTGCTTGTCTGGTTACATCGGAGCGCCTCCAAACTGCAGACCAGAGTGCGTTGTGAACTCAGAATGCGCAAGTAACAGAGCTTGTATGAGAGAGAAATGTGGTGATCCTTGTCCAGGCTCTTGTGGTCAAAACGCACAGTGTTCAGTCTTTAACCATGTGCCGATGTGCACCTGTATTCAGGGCTATGTCGGCGATCCGTTCACTTTCTGTAATCCAGCACCACCTCCACCTCGTAAATATAATTATTTAAATATATTTTTTATTTGGTAACATTTGTTTTAAATTTAGCTGAGCCTGTTGTAACTGACCCTTGCAACCCATCACCATGCGGGCCCAATGCCCAATGTCGAAACGGCCAGTGCTCTTGTCTGCCAGAATTCCAAGGAGACCCATACATTGGTTGTAGACCAGAATGTGTCTTGAGCACTGATTGCTCCAGAGACAAAGCGTGCATGCAGAAGAAATGCAGAGACCCATGTCCTGGAACTTGTGGACAAAGCGCAATTTGTACTGTTAGCAACCATATTCCTATGTGCAGCTGCCCATCAGGAATGCAAGGAGATCCATTTATTTCGTGCCGCCCTGCTCCAAGTAATTTTCTTCTTTTAGCCTTTTATGAGTGAATTTTATTTTTAATATTTAATTAGCACCTGTAAAGACGCAACCTTGCCAACCTAGTCCTTGCGGGCCAAACAGCCAGTGTAGGGAAATTAATGATCAGGCTGTATGCTCTTGTGTACCTGGTTTTATTGGCTCGCCACCCACCTGCCGGCCTGAATGCGTTACAAGTTCCGAGTGTGGACAGAATGAGGCATGCGTTAACCAGAAATGCCGAGATCCCTGCCCTGGAACTTGTGGTGTTGGTGCTAAGTGCAGTGTCATCAACCACAATCCCATTTGCAGCTGTCCAAGCAGATATACCGGCGACCCCTTTACAAGATGTTATCCAGAACGTAATGCATTGAACATCAATTATATAATTAATTTCCTTCAATATTTTATTAAATTATTTAGCTGAGCCTGTCGTTGCTCCTCCAAGTAATCCATGCCAGCCATCACCTTGTGGCCCTAATGCGCAATGTCAAGTTAGAGGTGAAAGCCCATCGTGCTCTTGCCTGCCGAATTTCATAGGCGCCCCTCCGAACTGCAGGCCTGAGTGCGTCAGCAACAGCGAGTGCCCGACAAATAGGGCCTGTATGAATCAAAAGTGTGGCGACCCCTGCCCTGGCTCTTGCGGTGCTAATGCAGAGTGCAGGGTTGTTGGTCACACGCCAATGTGCGTCTGCATAATTGGATTCACAGGCGATCCATTTAGCCAGTGCTTCCCTCAAAGTAAGATATTATTTATTATGTCTTTAAAACTAATTTTTACCATTTTTGCAATATTCGGAATACCTCTCGCGGCTATTTTTATGGTACCTAAAATGCTCATAGTTTCTCATAAAATAATAATTTATAAAAGGTAGTTAGTTAGCAAACTGACAAAATTATCTCGGTGATTAGGTTTTAATCAAAGCGCTTTTCCACTAATGAATTTTCTCTCCGTTTAAAATATTGGACGGTCTCTTAAAATCTTTTCAGCTGCCCCAGTTGTGGAGCAATCAAGACCTTGTGTACCATCACCATGTGGTGCAAACGCAGAATGTAGGGAGCAAAATGGAGCTGGTGCATGTACTTGCCTGCCAGAATATATAGGAAATCCATATGAAGGATGTCGACCTGAGTGTGTTGTCAGTTCTGACTGTCAAAGTAGCCGAGCGTGCATGTCAAACAAATGCAAGGATCCTTGTCCAGGCACTTGCGGTCAAAACGCTCAGTGCCAAGTTGTAAACCACCAACCCTCTTGCACATGCTTCCCTGGCTACACAGGCGACCCTTTCAGATACTGCAGCCCGAACCCACCTGAACGTAAGTTTAAGGAAAAATTATTTTATCTTAAATTAATTTTTTCCACTAGCTGTTGTATCGGTGCCTGTGAATCCATGCCAGCCGTCTCCATGTGGACCAAACAGCCAGTGCAGAGAGGTCAATGGTCAAGCTGTATGTTCGTGCCTACCTAATTACCAAGGCAGCCCACCTAGCTGCAGACCTGAATGCGTTGTCAGTGCAGAGTGTGCCCAAAATAGGGCTTGCAACAACCAAAAGTGCACTGATCCTTGCGCAGGAACTTGTGGCCAAGGCGCAAATTGCCAAGTCATCAACCACAGTCCAATTTGCAGTTGTCAGCAGGGCTACACAGGAGATCCCTTTACCAGATGCTTCCCCATTCCTCGTAATTATTTAAAAAAAGTTTATATGCATTTATACTAATTTAAAAAAAAATGTTCAGCTCCACCACCCCAACAGCAAGCAATTGCTCGTGATCCTTGTCAGCCCACGCCTTGTGGACCATTTTCTCAGTGCAGAGACATTGGAGGCTCTCCATCGTGCTCATGTCTCTCTGGCTATATTGGTTCTCCTCCTAACTGCAGACCAGAATGCGTTGTAAATTCAGAGTGCTCAAGCAACAGAGCTTGCATGAGGGAGAAATGTGGTGATCCGTGCCCCGGATCTTGCGGTCAAAATGCACAGTGCTCAGTCTTCAATCACATCCCTATGTGCACATGCATACAGGGATACGTTGGAGATCCATTTGTCAGCTGCCAACCAGCTCCTCCACCTCCACCAGGTATTAAAACATAACACTTTTAAAAATCAACATTTTTTAATGAAGGTGTAATACTTTCATTGGGTATATAAAGCAAAATTAAAAAATTTGGTAATTAATTCTGCCATGAAGGAAAATTACTTTCTATTACACCAAGACAATATTTTTTCAGCTTGCTATTTATTTCTAGTTGCGCAGAGAGCAGATTAAAACTTTAATTATCATATTCGAACAATTTTATTTTTGTTATAAAAAACCCTAAACAATTAAAAAACCTTTCAGAGCCTGTTATTACTGATCCATGCAACCCATCGCCTTGTGGTCCAAATGCAAACTGCAGAGATGGACTTTGTACATGTATCCCTGAATACCAAGGTGATCCATATCAAGGATGCAGACCTGAGTGTGTTTTGAGCCAAGATTGCTCAAGAGATAGGGCCTGTATCAGACAAAAGTGTGTTGATCCTTGCCCTGGAACCTGCGGTCAAAACGCCCAATGCACAGTCAGCAATCACATTCCAATGTGCAGCTGCCCACCTGGCTTTTCAGGAAGCCCCTTCATTGAGTGTAGACCAGTCAGAGGTACTTGTCTTCTATTAATTATTTATTCAATGAAATTAACTATTTTTTATTTTAGAACCTGTTGTAACTCAGCCTTGCCAGCCGTCTCCTTGTGGACCTAACAGTCAATGCAGAGAAATAAATGGACAAGCAGTCTGCTCTTGTGTACCAGGATTTATTGGGTCACCACCTTCCTGCCGTCCAGAGTGCGTAACAAGCTCGGAATGTGCCCAGAACGAAGCTTGCAGCAACCAAAAATGTCGAGATCCTTGCCCTGGAACTTGTGGCTTGAACGCAAAATGCAGCGTCATCAATCATAACCCGATTTGCAGCTGCCCAGCTCGCTACAGCGGAGATCCATTTGTACGGTGCACACCAATTCTCGAAGAACCGGTTGTTCAGACAAATCCTTGTCAGCCCTCTCCCTGCGGACCAAATGCGCAGTGCCAAGTTCGAGGTGAAAGTCCCTCATGCTCTTGTTTGCCGAATTTCATCGGAGCGCCTCCTAATTGCCGACCTGAGTGCGTCAGCAACAGTGAATGTCAGAGCAATAGGGCTTGCATTAACCAGAAATGCGGTGACCCTTGCCCAGGATCATGTGGTGCCAATGCTGAGTGTCGAGTGGTCAGCCACACTCCAATGTGCATCTGCGTCGTTGGTTTTACTGGAGATCCGTTCACTCAGTGCTTGCCTGTGAGAGAGCCTGTCGTAGAACAGACGAGACCTTGTGTTCCGTCTCCTTGTGGCGCCAATGCAGAGTGTCGAGAACAAAACGGAGCTGGAGCTTGCACTTGCTTGCCTGAATATATTGGAAATCCTTACGAAGGCTGTAGACCAGAATGCGTCGTAAGCACCGATTGTCAATCAAACAGAGCCTGCATGAGCAGCAAATGTCGCGACCCTTGTCCTGGAACGTGCGGACCAAATGCTGATTGCCAAGTCGTCAACCACCAAGCAACTTGTACTTGCTTCCCTGGCTATACAGGAGACCCATTTAGATACTGCAGTCCAAATCCACCTGAACGTAAGTGTTATTTAAAAAACTAAAAAAAATTTAATTTAATTAAAATTATTAATCCATAGCTGTTGTACAACAACCAACAAATCCTTGCCAGCCATCTCCATGTGGACCGAACAGCCAGTGTCGAGAAATCAATGGTCAAGCAGTTTGCTCTTGTCTTCCTAATTACCAGGGAAGCCCACCTAGCTGCAGACCTGAATGCGTTGTCAGTGCAGAGTGTGCCCAAAATAGGGCATGCAACAACCAAAAGTGCACTGATCCTTGCACAGGAACGTGTGGTCAAAATGCAAATTGCCAAGTCATCAACCACAGTCCAATTTGCAGTTGTCAGCAAGGCTATACAGGAGATCCCTTCACTAGATGCTTTCCTATTCCTCGTAAGATTTTTTAATTATATTAATAAGTGTAGCCAAATTTTGATGTCTGAAATTTTTAGCGCCGCCACCACCTCGAGAGCCTGCGGTTTATAAGGACCCCTGTCAGCCTTCACCTTGTGGACCATTTTCACAATGTAGAGATATTGGCGGATCTCCCTCTTGCTCATGCTTGTCTGGATACATTGGAGCTCCACCAAACTGCAGACCTGAGTGCGTTGTTAACTCTGAATGCGCAAGTAACAGAGCTTGTATGAGAGAGAAATGTGGTGACCCTTGTCCAGGCTCTTGCGGTCAGAACGCACAGTGTTCAGTTTTCAACCATGTGCCGATGTGCACCTGCATTCAGGGCTACGTTGGTGATCCTTTCACTTTCTGTAACCCTGCACCACCTCCACCTGGTAATATTTTGTTTTTGTTGTGGATTACAGTAAAAATTAATAATAATTTTTTTTTAACAGCCGAACCTGTTGTGACTGATCCATGCAATCCCTCGCCTTGCGGGCCAAATGCCCAATGTCGAAACGGCCAATGCACTTGTCTGCCAGAATTCCAGGGTGACCCATATGCAGGCTGTAGGCCAGAGTGTGTTCTGAGTTCTGATTGCTCAAGAGATAAAGCTTGCATGCAGAAGAAGTGCAGAGATCCGTGCCCAGGCACATGTGGACAAAGTGCAATCTGCACAGTCAGCAATCATATTCCTATGTGTAGCTGCCCATCCGGAATGCAAGGAGATCCATTCATTTCCTGTAGACCAGTGCCAGGTAAACTAAACTTCAAGATATTCAAGTTATTTGAAAAATAAAACCTTCGTTGAAAATTGCATTTTGATTCTAAATATATTTAAAATTTTAAGCTCCTGTTGTGACTCAACCTTGTCAACCAAGTCCCTGTGGACCAAATAGCCAATGCAGAGAAATCAATGATCAGGCTGTTTGCTCTTGTGTGCCTGGTTACATTGGCTCGCCACCATCGTGCAGACCTGAATGTGTAACTAGTGCCGAGTGCAGTCAAAATGAAGCCTGCGTTAATCAAAAGTGCAAAGACCCATGCCCGGGAACTTGCGGAATTGGGGCTAAATGCAGTGTTATCAACCACAATCCAATCTGCAGCTGCCCCACTCGATACACAGGAGATCCGTTTACACGCTGTTATCCTGAACGTAAGTGTATTAAAATTATTTTTTTACTTTCAGAATCAAATGCAGTTATTGTATTATTTAATTTTTTGCAATAAATTGAATCTAATTAAATAAATTTTTTTCATTTAAAATTGATTATTTTTATGGATAATGAAATTTAATTTAATTATGTGTTGCAGCTGAGCCTGTTGTTGCACAGACAAATCCTTGCCAGCCATCTCCCTGTGGACCAAATGCGCAGTGCCAAGTTCGAGGTGAAAGCCCGTCTTGCTCTTGTCTGCCAAATTACATCGGAGCACCTCCAAACTGCAGGCCTGAGTGCGTCAGTAACAGTGAATGCCCCAGCAATAGGGCGTGCATTAACCAGAAATGCGGTGACCCTTGCCCAGGATCTTGTGGTGCAAATGCCGAATGCAGAGTTGTCAGCCACACACCAATGTGTATCTGCGTTGTCGGATTTACTGGCGATCCATTCACTCAGTGTCAAGCTGTTAGGGAGCCAGTCGTCGAACAATCAAGACCGTGTGTCCCTTCACCTTGTGGAGCAAATGCCGAGTGTCGAGAACAGAACGGAGCTGGAGCTTGCACTTGCTTGCCTGAATACATCGGAAATCCTTACGAAGGTTGTCGACCTGAATGCGTCATCAATCCTGATTGTCCCTCAAACAAGGCATGTATGAGCAGCAAATGCAAAGACCCTTGTCCTGGAACATGCGGACAAAATGCTCAGTGTCAAGTTGTGAACCATCAGGCAACTTGCACATGCTTCCCTGGCTACACAGGCGACCCCTTCAGATATTGCAGCCCGAATCCACCGGAACGTAAGTTTTACGAAAAACTATTATTTGCCTAAATTAATTTTCCTCCGTTAGCTGTTGTGTCAGAGCCAGTTAATCCATGCCAGCCATCACCCTGTGGGCCCAACAGCCAATGCAGAGAGATAAACGGACAAGCAGTTTGCTCCTGCTTGGCAGGTTACCAGGGAAGTCCACCAAACTGCAGACCGGAATGTGTTGTCAGCGCCGAATGTGCTCAAAACAGGGCATGTAATAATCAGAAGTGTAATGACCCTTGTCCTGGTGCCTGCGGGCAAAATGCCAAATGCCAGGCTATCAATCACAGTCCAATTTGCACCTGTGTACAGGGATATACTGGAGATCCATTTACAAGATGTTATCCTAATCCTCGTAAGTGTTACGTTTTTATTTTTTAATAATATTTTATGATGAAAATTTTAATTAGATGAATTTAAATATTATATTTAATCTAAGTTTTTTTTGTTAAAAAAAAAATAAAAAATTAATTTTTTTAACTGTTTCAGCTCCACCTCAAACGAAACCTGAGCCTGTTTACACAAATCCTTGTGTGCCTTCACCCTGTGGTGCTAATGCAGTCTGTCAGGCAGTGGGCCAAAATCCATCGTGCTCTTGCCTACCTGGTTACATTGGAAGTCCACCAAATTGCCGACCTGAATGTGTTGTGAATTCTGAGTGCGCCAGCAACAGAGCTTGTATGAGGGAGAAATGCCGAGATCCATGCCCAGGCGCTTGCGGCTATCAGGCCCAGTGCACAGTAATTAATCACCTGCCAATGTGCACATGCATTCAAGGATATGTTGGAGATCCTTTCACCAGCTGTCAGCCCAAACCTGAAGATCGTAAGTGGAGGAATATAGATTAATGAAATTTTCAATTTAAAACTTTGTAAATTATAGCAAAACCAGTAATTACTGACCCATGCAATCCTTCACCTTGTGGACCGAATGCTCAATGCAGAGATGGAACATGTACTTGTTTGCCTGAGTACCATGGAGACCCTTACCAGGGCTGCAGACCTGAATGTGTTATCAGTCAGGACTGCCCTAGAGAAAAAGCTTGCATTAGACAAAAATGTGTGGATCCCTGCCCAGGAACTTGCGGACAAAATGCACGCTGTGATGTAATTAACCATGTTCCTATGTGCAGCTGCAACCCTGGATTCAGTGGAAATCCATTTGTTATTTGCAACCCTGTCAGAGGTAAATTGAAAAAAAAATATTTTATGGTTTGTTCAATTTTGAAATTTTTATTAGAACCTGTCAAGACTCAGCCATGCAATCCGTCTCCTTGTGGACCAAACAGCCAGTGCAGAGAAATAAACGACCAGGCTGTTTGCTCATGCATCGTTGGCTTTATTGGATCACCACCAAACTGCAGACCTGAGTGTGTTGGAAACTCTGACTGTCCTTTAACTGAGGCCTGTTCTAATCAGAAATGTCGAGACCCTTGCCCGGGCACTTGCGGAGTGGGCGCAAAATGCAGTGTCATAAATCACAATCCTATCTGCAGCTGCCCCTCAAGATATACTGGAGATCCATTCACTAGATGCTATCCAACTCGTAAGTTGAAATTTGTCTATTATAATTATTTTGAAAAAAATATAATAATTATTAAAAGAATTAGACATTGTTAGATCAAAATTATAGTACCAATATTAATTTTGCTTACAAATTTATTTAAAGTGTTTTTCTGTTTTGTAAATATGAAAATTTACTTGCAAAAAATTCAATTTGATTTCAATGTTGATAGGAGAGCAATATTACACACACACACACATGGTACATGCTAATATGAAATAATTTGAATTACCACACTTAAATGTATATACAATATACATCTAAATTTAAATTATCAAAATTAAATTAAATTAATTTTTTTAATTTTTTTTTTTTCATTATTAATTTGCTGATTTAAAATTTTACAGACTTCCAATTAATTTATAATTATTACTTTTTAGCTGAGCCAGTAATTGCACAGACCAACCCGTGCCAACCGTCTCCTTGTGGGCCGTACGCTCAGTGCCAAGTAAGAAGAGAAAGTCCGTCCTGCTCCTGCCTGCCTAACTATATTGGTGCCCCACCTAATTGCCGACCCGAGTGTGTTAGTAACAGTGAATGCCCAAGCAACAAAGCATGCATCAATCAGAAATGTGGTGACCCTTGTCCAGGCATTTGTGGAAACAATGCCCTTTGCCGAGTTGTCAGTCACGCTCCTCAGTGCTACTGTCAGCAGGGCTACGAAGGAGACCCATTCAGGCAATGCGTCATACCCGAAGTTTCAGTGCCAAGACCTGCCACTAAGCCTTGCGTGCCATCACCTTGTGGAGCAAATGCCATTTGCAGAGAACAAAACGGCGCCGGTGCTTGCATCTGTCAGCCTGAGCATTACGGAAACCCTTACGAAGGCTGCCGACCTGAGTGCGTCATCAACTCTGACTGTCCTTCGAGTAAGGCCTGTGCAAATCAAAAGTGCAAAGATCCTTGCCCTGGAACTTGTGGGCCAAATGCTCAGTGCCAGGTGGTCAATCACCTTCCAACTTGCACTTGCTTCTCCGGATATACTGGCGACCCATTTAGATATTGCAGTCCTATTCCAGAACGTAAGTTACTTACTTTTTAATGATAAATTTTCTCAACGTTAAATTTTAATTTTCTAATTCCAGCTGTCAAGGTTGAACCAACAAATCCTTGTCAACCATCACCTTGTGGACCAAATAGTCAATGCAGAGAAGTTAACGGCCAGGCTGTTTGCTCGTGCCTTCCTGGTTACCAAGGAAGCCCACCTGGTTGCAGACCTGAATGTGTAGTAAACCCTGAATGTCCTCACAACAGGGCTTGTGTCAGTCAGAAATGCAAAGACCCATGCCCAGGAACTTGCGGTCAAAATGCAGTCTGCAATGTCATCAACCACAGTCCAATTTGCAGTTGCCAACAGGGCTATACTGGAGATCCATTCTCAAGATGTTATCCTATTCCTCGTAAGTTTAATTTTTAATTCAAACTTTCAAATATTTTTTTTTAATATTGCTCAATTTTTATCAAATTTAAATATTTATGAAAATGTGTTTTCCCTTCAGCTCCTGCACCACGACCAACTCAAGCTGCAATCGTTGACCCTTGCGTACCAAATCCTTGTGGGCCTTACTCGACTTGCAGGAATCTTGGAGGCACCCACTCGTGTGCCTGTTTGCCTAATTACTTTGGAAATCCGCCAAACTGCAGACCAGAGTGCTCAGTCAACTCGGACTGCGCCAGCAACAAGGCGTGCATGAGGGAGAGGTGCAGTGACCCTTGCCCAGGCTCATGTGGCGCCGGAGCTCAGTGCTCTGTGATCAACCATACGCCCATGTGCACTTGTCCTGCTGGCTACATTGGCGATCCATTTGTCAACTGCTACCCCAAGCCTCCTGAAAAGCAACCTGTCATTACTGACCCTTGCAACCCGTCGCCCTGTGGGCCGAATGCCAACTGTCGAGACGGAGTTTGCACTTGCATTCCGGAATATCATGGAGATCCTTATCAGGGCTGCCGACCTGAGTGCGTAATTAGCCAAGACTGCCCAAGAGAAAAGGCCTGCATTAGGCAGAAGTGCGTGGATCCCTGTCCAGGCACTTGCGGAAACAACGCTCGGTGTGATGTTGTAAATCATGTGCCAATGTGCAGCTGCAACCCTGGCCATACAGGAAATCCATTTGTCAACTGCAATCCTTATGGTATTATTGTTGTAAAAATTATATTTCATAAAATTTATATTTTAAATTTAAACAGAGCCTGTGAAAATTCAAGATCCCTGCAATCCATCACCTTGTGGGCCAAACAGCCAGTGTCGAGAAATCAATGGCCAGGCCGTTTGCTCCTGCTTGTCAGGCTATATTGGCACTCCACCCTCTTGTAGACCGGAGTGTGTTTCAAACCCTGAGTGCAGACAAAACGAGGCCTGCATCAATCAAAAGTGCAGAGACCCGTGCCCAGGCACATGCGGCCTAAGCGCCAGATGTGAAGTCCGAAACCACAATGCCATTTGTACTTGCCCAGCTGGCTCAACTGGAGATCCTTTCTCAAGATGCTACCCAATACGTAATTTAGAAGAAAAAAATACTGAATTTTTTCTTTATATTTTAATGTGATTTTCAGCACTTCCTCCACGTCAGCCAGTTGTAGCACAAGACCCTTGCTTCCCGGATCCCTGTGGTCCAAATGCAATCTGCAAGGCGATCGGCGACAGCCCTTCGTGTTCTTGCAGACCCACTTTCATAGGTTCACCACCAAACTGCAGACCAGAATGCGTATCCAACTCTGAATGTGACAGGAGCAAGGCTTGTATCCGCCAAAAATGTCAGGACCCGTGTCCAGGATCTTGCGGACTCGAGGCGCAGTGCAGAGTTGTAATGCATGTGCCCAACTGTTTCTGTCCAGCAGGTCACATTGGTGATCCGTTCACTAGATGCCTCCCGGCACCAGCTGAACCAAGTAAGATTTTATCAGGAATTGACTCTACAAAATTTCCTCAAATAAAATTGCAAAATACGAATTGTCATGATAGGATGTTAGTTATTTTGTTAGGCAGGCTCTCCTTTTTTTCAGCTTTCAACGAGATAAGAAGAACGAAGATTTTTAATTTTAAAATATTTTGCACGTCTAGTCGTTAGCATGCACAATATGTTTGTGATTGCATGTTGCACCGTTCTATGTGTACATTTTATGTGTTACATGTGATGCATGACTTTTATACAAATACATTCCAAGCATGAAAATGCAGTCAAGGAAAATTCAAAGACAGACATAATTATTATAGCATGTGTGCATGTTTCAGGCTCCTTTGCATTTTGAAGAATTTCAATGCAAAGTGAAAATTAATCAAGGATAGTTTCTAATTTTACTTTTTGATTATTTCAGAACCCAAACCAATTGAAATCGCTCGTCCTTGCCAGCCATCACCATGCGGCTCGAACGCAATTTGCAGGGAGGAGAACAACTATGCTGTTTGTGAATGCCTGCCCGAATACTTTGGCAACCCTTACGATGGCTGCAGGCCTGAGTGTCTTGTCAGCTCCGACTGTGCCATGAACAGGGCGTGCATCCGCAACAAGTGCAAGGACCCTTGTCCAGGCACTTGCGGATTTGAGGCCATCTGCTCAGTCACAAACCACATTCCGGTGTGTAGCTGTCCACCTGGCACAACCGGAGACGCTTTCAGATCTTGCTCGCTGATTCCAATGAAAAGTAAGCTTCTGTTCATTTACCGATTATTTAAGTTATTTTATTAATATTTAATTAAATGCAAAACAAAAGCAATTTCACTGCTGGAGGATAAGAATTTGCTTATTCTTTGTTTCTAAAGTATTTTTACAGTATGAAAACCATTTTTTTATAACTCACTATTATTTTATCTTCTAAATTTCTTACTTTTCTGTTGCAGTCGAGCTAGTTGAGTCAGACCCATGCAATCCATCACCTTGCGGTCCAAACGCTCGCTGCACTGTGGGACCCAACGGAGCTGCTATTTGTGAGTGCCTGCCTGGATACTTTGGCAGCCCCTATTCGGGTTGTAGGCCAGAGTGTGTCCTTAGCGCAGATTGCCCCAGAGACAAGGCTTGCGTCAGACAGAAGTGCGTTGACCCTTGTGTTGGCGTTTGCGGCTACTTGGCTAAATGCAACGTAATCAACCACAGCCCGATTTGCACATGCCCTGCACCTCTCACCGGAGATCCATTTGTCGAGTGCAGAGAAATGCCAGGTAGAAAATTTAGTTTTAAATTTAATTTTTCAAAACTCCTATTTAAATTATATTTAAATAAAAAATCTGATTAACCTATAGAAAAAAGAAAATTGTTATTTTTTAATAGGCGCTTTTATATTTCAAGTAGTTTTTAAAATATTTTTCCTTGCAGTTATCCGTGACCCATGCAATCCATCACCCTGCTCGGTCAATGGCCAGTGCAGAGTTGTCAATGGTGCCGCTGCTTGCTATTATCCTGAGTGTGTCATCAACCAGGACTGTCCTCGTGACAAGGCTTGTTTCGGCCAGAAATGCAAAGATCCTTGTGTCGACGCTTGTGGCTTCAACGCCCTGTGCCAGGTTGTGAACCACAACCCTGTGTGCAGTTGCCCTGCTGGATTCATGGGCTCGGCTCGTGTTGAGTGCAAGAGACAACCAATTGAAGGTAAATTTTCACTTTTGATTTTGATACAAATTTTATTAATAATTTTTTATTATTTTAGCACCAAGACCCGAGTGCACAGACAACTCTGAGTGCAGCAATGACAAGGCTTGTATCAATGAGAAGTGCAGAAATCCTTGCGCTGAGTATCCTAACTCTTGTGCATCGAACGCCGAATGCCATGTGCGCATGCATCGTCCTATTTGTTCTTGCAGAGACGGCTACACCGGCAATGCACAGAGCATTTGCTATGAGAGTATGTTTTCAGTTTTTGTTTCGCAAATGGGAAAAAAATGGTTTAAATTTTTTAGTAGCAGATTCTTCTTTTAATTTATTAATAAAATTGTAAATTAGTTGATTTTTTAAAGCTTTTTAATGCAGTATTAAATGGCTTTAAAAATATTTATATTTATGGGCACAAATATTAAAATTTGATTTACTTTTAGTTGGATGTCGATCGGACTCTGAATGTCCACCAACTCAAGCATGCGTCAACCGCCAGTGCGAAGACCCATGCCGTTACACTCAGTGTGGACAGGGCGCTTTCTGCAGAGTTGAAGGCCACCAGGCCCGATGCTACTGTCCTGAAGGCTACCGCGGCAACGCCTACAGCCAGTGCACTCGTCCAGAGTGCACAGTGGACCACGAGTGCCCCAACCACCTTGCCTGTAGAAACGAAAGATGTGAAGATCCGTGCAGATGCGCCCCAGGAGCACAGTGCCGAGTCACAAACCACGTGCCCAGATGCTCATGCCCTCCAGGCTACATTGGCGACCCTTACACCACTTGCAATGTGGAGCCAGTCTTGGCTCCGGCCCCTGAATGTACCGTGGACGCTGACTGCTCCAGCAAACTGGCCTGCTTTAGCGGGGAGTGCAAAAACCCCTGCAAGGAGACCAAGCCGTGTGGCGCCAACAGCGAGTGCACAGTCGTTGACACCTTGCCCCTCAGAACCATGGTGTGCATTTGCCTACCTGGTTTTGTTGGAGACGCCGATGTCGAGTGCAGACCTGGTAAGAACTTTTTTTATTCATTATTTGGGCAATTTTTTAATGTGGTGTCAGATTTTACTAACTTTTTGCAAAGATCCTTTTGTTTCAGGTGCTTACGTCAAAACAAACCAAACCCTTACCCAAAACCTTATTATTACTTTTTTGTTTAATCAACCTCTCCAGCAACACTCATAAATATTATCTAATTTTATTGCTATAATTGCATTTCAATTTCCAGGTTTTAAATTGATTTTGCAATTTTTTCTAATTTAAAAATATAACAATTTTAGCACCCAAAGAGGAGCCAGGCTGCAAGAGTGACAGTGAATGCTCTTCAACTCAGACTTGTATCAACAGGCAGTGTGTCAATCCATGCGCCGTTTCCAATCCATGCGCTCGTTCGGCTGAATGCAATCCTGAAAACCACCGCGCAAATTGCAGATGCCCTTCGGGATTGCGAGGAGATCCATTCGTCAACTGCTACCAACGTAAAATAATTTTAAATCTTTGAGACATTTGACTAACATCTTTTTTACCTATTTAACAGAACCTCTCAGCGAACCTGAGTGCACAGTTGACTCTCAGTGCAGCACAAACAGAGCTTGCATTGGACAAACCTGTCAAGATCCCTGTGTGGTCAGCAACAGGTGTGGCATTGAAGCTATCTGTAGGACTGAACAACACAGAGCTGTCTGCCACTGCCCAGATGGATGGGGCGGCAATCCGCAGTCCAGATGCTACAAACGTAAGTTTTTTTCCACCATTTTAATCAATTTGCTAGCATATTAAATAAAATATTTGATCTCCATACTTCAAACACCTGAAACAGCAAGATTTTGATTTATTTAAAACTTGATTATTGATTTAAAATTAAATTACACTGATTTACTAATAAAATATTTTTGTTTTCCTTTTTTTAAAGAACTCTAAAACTAATTAAAAATACATATCAATTTAACTGGTTTTTTTTTACAGCCGAGTGCAACATTGACTCTGACTGTCCTTACGACCGCGCATGCATTGGCCAGAAGTGTGTCGACCCATGCCGTGTAACAAACTGCGGAAGAGGTGCTGAATGCAGAGTGCAATCCCACCAGGCCCTCTGCTTCTGTCCTCAGGGAACTCAGGGTAACGCCTTGACCTCTTGCGTCGCTGTCCAGTGCCAGTACAATGAAGACTGCGCTGACCATGAGGCCTGCGACCGCTTGAACAGGGTCTGCCGACCAGTTTGCGAGGACGACACCTGCGCTCCTACTGCCCAGTGCATTGGAAGAATGCACCAGCCCTTGTGCCAATGCCCAGCTGGTTCAGTTGGCGACCCGTACAGACAGTGCAAGATCCGAGAGCCGGTGGCAACGCCAGAGTGCGAGCAGGATGGTGACTGTCCTTCACAGCACGCATGCATCAACCAAAGGTGCCAGAATCCTTGCAGAGTTGCACAACTCTGCTCGCAGGACCAGAAGTGCAGAGTGCAGGACACGCTGCCGCTCAGGACGGTTATGTGCGAGTGTCCCCCAGACACAATCACTGACCAGAATGGAGTGTGCAGAACTATTCGTAAGTAAAATTTAAGCTTTTTCCCCTTAAAAGTTTTACAAATTTTTAATTTGTACATTTTTTTTTACTCATTTTAAATTATTCCAATAATTAATCAAATATTTATTACAATCTGTAATCACACTTACTGTATATTTTATTAAAATATACATTGAAGAAAAAAAATTAATTAAATATTATATGATTTTATACAGCTAATTAATTTTATTGTGTTATCCATTTAGTACCACCAACTACGCAGTGCCAGATTGACAACGACTGTCCCAACCCTGACAAATGTGTCAGAGGAAACTGCATTGAGTCCTGCCGAGTCGATCTCTGCGGCACCAACGCTGTTTGCACTTCACAAGATCATCGCTCCATTTGCTCTTGCGCACCTGGTTACATTGGAAATCCTAACATTGAATGCACAAATGGTAATTAAATAATTTTGTTAATAATTTTGATTTTAAAATTGATCATTTTATAGAACCGAAAACACCACTGCCATCACCGCCAGAGTGTGTTGTCAACGACGACTGCCCTTACCAGCGGTCTTGTCGCAACCAACTCTGCGTCAACCCTTGCGTTGCCGGAGATGCTTGCGGAAGAGGCGCATTCTGTCATGTTGAAAATCACAATCCAGTCTGCAGGTGTCCTGCAGGATTTGTTGGTAATCCGAAGACCGAGTGCTTGCCTCGTAAGTTTTGATTTTTTTTTTTTTTCATTTTCTTGAGCATTGAGGAAATAAAATTTTATTTTTATCCTTAGCTCCTGTGGCAATTGTTGGTTGCAAGGCCAATTCCGAGTGTCCAGAGGTGGAGACCTGCGTGAACGGACGGTGCATCGATCCTTGCAATTGTGGTCCGAACTCAGACTGCAAAGTTCAAAATCACTTGGCCATTTGCTCATGCAAACCTGGATACTCTGGAAACCCACTTTATGGCTGCCAAAAGAGTAAGTTTTCCTTTATTTATAAAATTGTTTAACAATATTTCTTCTTCTAAATTTCATTTCTTAAATTTAAACTAAATAAATAAAATAATTATGTCATTTTTCTATAATTTCCAGTCGGCTGCCAGTCAGACAGTGAATGCGCAGACAACCAACAGTGCTACAATGGCGAGTGTCTGAACCCTTGCCTCCTGTCGAGCCCTTGCGCCCTGAACGCCGAGTGCTACGCCACCAACCATAGAGCGGCCTGCAGGTGCTACCCTGGCTATGAAGGAAATCCGTTTGATAGGTGCGAGCGTTCAGAATGCCGCGTCAGTCCTGACTGCCCGAACAACAGGGCTTGCATGGACAGACGTTGTGTTGACCCTTGCCTTGTCTACTCGGGAAGGGCGCCTTGCGCCAGCAACGCCATCTGCTTTGCTCAAAACCACGCAGCCGGATGCAGATGCCCAGAACACCTGCCGAAGGGCGATCCATTTGCCTACTGCCAGGCCCTTCCAGTACCAGTCAATGTGCCAGAGTGCACAGTTGACTCAGATTGCGCCAGTGGCCTTGCCTGTCTGAACGAAAAATGCAAGAACCCATGCCGGGAATTGACGCCCTGCTCTTCAACGGCCAGGTGTATGGTTTTGGACTCGGTTCCGCTGAGGACGATGACCTGCACTTGTCCCGAGGGATGGGTGCCCAATGCTGCGGGCGAATGCAAACCTGTTTTGCTGCCAGTACCACCAGGCTGCACAGCAGACTCGGACTGTCCCACCACCGAGGCTTGCATCAACAGGATGTGTCGCAACCCTTGTGATTGCGGAACAAACGCAAACTGCTTTGTGCAGAACCACCGTCCTGTTTGCTCTTGCCGAGAAGGATTTGAAGGAAACCCCAACATTGCTTGTCACACAGGTAAATTAAAAATTTTTCACTTTTTAAAATTTAACTTCTATAAATCCATTCTTTTTCAAGAGCAGAAGATAAAATTGTTGATTAAATTTTTTGTATGGATTCATTTGACATAAAACTTTTTATAATCCTTTATTTAAAACTTTTAAAATAAAAAATTAAATTAAATGATGAAGATAAATTATTCACTATGAAATGATATGTTCTAAAATGAAAAAAAATTTCCATCTTTCTGCAGTTGGCTGCCGCAGCAATTCCGAGTGTGATTCTGGCAAGGCTTGCGTGAATGGTAACTGCATTGATCCTTGTCTGGTGAACGACCCGTGCGGCGCCCATGCCGAGTGCTACACTGCTGGCTACAGAGCCCAGTGTCGATGCAGGAGTGGATATCGTGGTGACGCGTATGTTGGCTGCCGAGTGGTTGGATGCCGCAGCAACAACGACTGTCCCATGGACAGGGCGTGCATCGACACTCAGTGCGTCGATCCTTGCATTCACACCAGCAATAACAGACCTGCTTGTGCTCCACTTGCATCATGCTTACCAAGGTATGTTTTTTTTTTTTTTTTTTTAATGATAAATAGGATTTGTTTTTTGATATCAATAAAATCAATTCAGGAAAATAAGAAAATGTAAATATTTTTATTTTTAAATCTTTTGGAAGAAAATCTAAAATGTTTTACATAGCAATGAAATTATTGAATTATCGTCATTATTTTCAAGAAAATATATATTAATTTGCAATTGTTATTTTATTTTTTAGATCTCACGCTGCTATGTGTCGCTGCCCACCTGGCTATGAAGGAAATCCTTATGCCGGTGCTGGCTGCCGACCTGAGCCCAAACCCGAGTGTACCAGGGACGCCGACTGCCCATCCACATTTGCCTGCATCAACGAACGTTGCGGCGACCCTTGTGCCGAGCACCGACCTTGCAACGCGCCTGCCAAGTGCACAGTTGTGCCTGACTCGCTGCCTGTCCGCACCATGATCTGCAAGTGTCCTGATGGATACGTCAGCAGCGGCAACGGCGCCTGCAAGGCTATTCCGGCAGTCACGAAGGTTGGCTGCACAGCTGACACCGAGTGTCCGACGGACAAGGCGTGCATCAATGGTGTGTGCAGAGACCCCTGCAACTGTGGCGCAAATGCCGAGTGCAGGATTGCTGAACACAAACCTGTTTGCACGTGCAAGCTTGGATTTGAGGGCAACCCAGAAATCCAGTGTACTAGAGGTATGAAAATAATATTCTACCATAATGAAGTTAACTTGCAAAACTTTAAATTGGGTTTCACAAATTATATATATTTTTTCTGCTTGTATAAGAAACAATTGATAAAAAATAAAAAATTTCAGTTGGCTGCTTGAGTGATGATGAGTGCTCAGGAAAGGACTCGTGTGTCAACCAAAATTGCGTGCCCGTCTGCAAAGCAACCAGCTGCGGCGACGGAGCTGTTTGCTATGGAGTCAACCACAAGCCCATCTGTGAATGTCCTCCTGGCTTCAGCGGCAACCCTAAGGTGGCCTGTTCAGCCATTGGCTGCCGTTCAGACTCTGACTGCCCTTCAGACAAGGCCTGCTACAACGCTCAGTGCCAAAATCCGTGCGCCATCGACGATCCATGTGACGCACCTGCCATCTGCACTGTGTTCAACCACCTGCCTGACTGCCTTTGCCCGCCAGGATATATTAGCAACAGGAAACTTGGATGCGAGAAAAGTAGGATTTTGTAACTGAAAACTTAAGAGTTTAGATGTTAATCAAAATATATTATTTCAGTTGAAACCGGCTGCAAGAGTGATTCAGATTGTCCCTCTCAGACAGCTTGCATCAATAAGGAGTGTGTCAACCCTTGCAATGCAACAACACCATGTGGCATCAATGCCGACTGCAAGGTGCTGGACACTATACCAGTCAGAACAATGACCTGCGAGTGCTTCCCAGGCTATCAGGGAGACGCTTCTGTTGAATGCAAGCCCAGTAAGTTAATACTTTTTTTTCAATAAAAAATGTAGTTGGATTGGCTAGCTGCTTTTCTCTCTCTTTAAAATTTAAAATATTATCTAACTTTGCAACGTAAATTATTTCAGTACCAACATGTCCTATTGAGAAGGGCTTCATCCGTGACCAGTCTGGCAACTGCATCTGCCCACCTGGCTCAGGACTTGACCAAAACGGAGACTGCATCAATTGTCCTGCCGTCAAGGGAATGAAGGTGGACGAACGAGGACGCTGCGTCTGCGACCTGGAGCGAGGCATGATTGTTGATGAAAGGGGCAACTGCATCTGCCCCATTGACTTTGGCTATATCATGGACAGGAGAGGTTACTGTGTTAAAACTGACCAGCCTCCTCCGCCCGAGTGCGTCGTTGACTCAGACTGCGCGGACAACAGGTACTGCGAACAGACGTCCAACACCTGTCAGGACCCTTGCGGCATCAAGAGGTGCGGCATCAACGCTCTGTGCAATGCCACCAACCACAGAGCAATTTGCCAGTGCATTGCTGGATACTCTGGAGACCCAGAAACACTTTGCAGTAAGTTCTTTTATTTTCTTCAATAAAGGGTTGTTTTTAAAAAAATCTATTTTTTTGCAGACAACACGTCGCAGTTCAGAACAGACTTCCCTCGGCCAGAAATGGTTGTTAGTTGTCTGTCTGACGGAGTCCAGGTTGAGATTCATATCACCGAGCGTGGCTTCAACGGCATGCTTTATGTCAAGGGTCACAGCAAGGACGAGAACTGCAGACGTTTTGTCACATTAGACCAAGACACGTCATCCAGACTTGAGATCTTCAAGGTTCACTTTGGTAGCTGCGGACTTATGCACCAAAATGTAAATTTGTTTTAAACTCATCCTAGATGTTTTTACCTAATTTAAAATTTAACAGGGAGAAGCAAGCTTTGTGCTTGTCATCCAGAAGCATCCAAAACTAGTGACCTACAAGGCTCAGGCTTATCACATCAAGTGCGTCTATACGACTGGAGAACAAAATGTGACACTTGGATTCAACGTTTCCATGCTGACCACTGCTGGCACCATTGCTAACACTGGACCACCACCAACCTGCATTATGAAGATTGTAGCTCAGAACGGCCGAGAAATCAGTGCTGCGGAGATTGGTGACAATCTGGTTCTGCGAGTGGACGTTCAACCACAAAGTAATTTAATTTTTGCCCTAAAATTTGTTAAATATAATCTAATTTGATATTTTTCTCAGGCATATATGGAGGATTTGCCAGAAGTTGTATAGCAAAAACCATGGAGGACAATGTAGAGAACGAGTACATAGTGACGGATGAGAATGGATGCGCCACAGATCCAGCCATTTTCGGCGAGTGGGAACACGCTGATGACGGAACCGGACTGATTGCCAGCTTCAACGCATTCAAATTCCCAAGCAGTGACAACATCAGGTTCCAATGTAACATCAGAGTTTGCTTCGGCCGCTGCCAGCCTGTAAGTTCATTTTAAAATAATTTAAGCAAAAAATCTTCATATCTAATTATATTTCATCTCTCAGGTCAACTGTCAGGGATACAATGCCTTTGGCAGGAGAAGGCGTGAGGTTAGCGAGCCCAAGAACGACACTGCCGTCGCTGTCCAAGACACGTTCGAAGGACAACTTCGAGAGGAAATCACAATTCAGTCGAACGCGATTCTGACCATTGAGAGGAAGAAGGAGAGGCTTGTCGACCCAGGCGATGGTAAGTTAGAAAAAAATAATGGGAGTTTCCTTTTTTTAGGAAAATGTTCTTAAAATTGACATAAAAAAATTAAAATAATTTCTTAATATTTAGGACCCAACGCCCCAGAGCGCTTGGAGGACATTTGCGTCTCCATGATCGGATTCATCGTGGCCTTGATCATCACAGCCCTGTTGGCACTTGTGGCGGTCGCAATTGCTGTGTCATGCTGGCTCATGGCATACAGAAGAAGGCCGAAGGCATCTGGCCCTCTGCCTCACCCGCCCGAGTTCCCCAACCCGCTGTTCACAACACCAGAGCCCGTGGCAGAACCTTCGCCTGATTACCTCTCGTAAATGATATGACATACCAATTAGAGACTCAATTTTTATACTCCGACTCACAAACAGATATTAAGAAAAGAACACAATACTTAAGAATTCAGAAAATTATAAGAATCGTACATGACTGAAAATAGAGAAATAGAAAATATGTTATGAAGAAATTTTAAAAGCAGATGAAGATAAAATTGTTATTGTGTTGTGAATGAGTTTTTATTAGTAATGTTAAGAACCAAAAGCACAGCAGAGATCGACAAGTGCAATACTTTTTATAACTTTTGTAACATTTTTAATAAATAGATCCTGCAAGTGCTTTTGCCAGTTCATCTCCTCCGATGGCTTAAACGATTTTAGTTGTATCAATTTCAAGAAAATCAGATGGGATATTTGAAAGAAAAAAAAATAAGTGTGCTGGTGGTGGCTATCTGAGAAGTCTGTCGTTCTAATAGCCCTCCGTAGAAAATGACTAAAACGCACCACGTCCTGTCTTATTTCTCAAGTCAAATAATGCTCTTTTAAAAAATGTATCATGCCATAACAATGAACTGCACAAACAATGCAAAGCGCACACAGGAGCATTTTCAAAGGGAATCAAGTAACAACAAGTCCTATCTGACAATGAATTTACGCAAGTGAGTCCGAGTGAATGAATTTTATGAAATAGAAAGCCATTGGAGGATTTGCGATCCACACAATCACACACTACTGTACATTTTCTACTTTATACGATTAGAAAAAGACGAGTACGTGCTATGCGCAGAAGACGGTGCAACTCTCAGAAAACTTGAAGGTGCCTTGATATTTTAGAAAGAATAGTAGAAAAATTTTAAGTTGCTCCGAGCAAAATTATTGGTACGGATGTTGATTTATTGAATGTGTGTAAATAAACAATTTTAATTATAGGGAGGCATGAGAATTATCCACATTTAATGAAAATGAAATAATAATTTATTTTGCTAAAACTGCCTCCTTTGTTGTTCGCATTAAAGAAGCTGTAGTAGATGAGGCAAATTGGGATGTGATAAAAAAAGAAACAATCGTAGGTGGATTAATAATGCTGAAATTAAATGCTAACAATGCAGCTCATTGGAACAATGTCTTCCGACCACTAATGTTACGCAAGTGAACTAACAAACTTTGGCTCGCTATTAAAATTTAAGAATAAAAAAAGAGACCCAACTGCTGAAAACAAGACTATTGTAAATTGCGCACTAATGTGCCTCGTCAGGCTCATTTCGCACCTGAACCTGCCCAGCCACATTTGCTGCCCAATAAAATGTGAATTTTGTCTCTTCCTGAAGCTGCTCTAACAAAAAATAAAAAACTAAAAGCAGGACGCTCAGATTGGAAGAAAATTACATGTATTATTCAAGTTGTATCGTGTCCTAAAAGCATTTAATAAAAATTCAAACCAAACAAAACAGCTGAATTTTCTTTCAACATCCCACAACAACCTTTTGAAAATCAGCTATCAATAAAATATTTAATTTATCTGCATGTGCAAGTTTTTTTATAAGATTTTTTGTTTTTAATTTTGGTAAAATTAAATTTAAGCATTATAAAAAATTAATCAAGAAGATATTTTATTATTCACAGCTGGTTCGTATCAATATTACACCATTCAATTTTTCTCAGAATTTAAATGCACTAAATAGTGCTAGAAATAATTAAAATCATTTTATGGTTACAAAAAAAGTACAAGTTTAATTACAAAAAATTGAATGATGTGGAATTGAAGCTTCAAATAGAACCAAAGTTTATTGAAAATTTAAAGCTTCCCTTCTTTTCAAGTTTTATCCATGTGCTGTAAAAATTAAAACCACTGATTTGGTGGCATCATTTAAAATTCAAAATACTTCATTTAACCCATATTATAGTTTTTTTTGTTTTTCAATTTTGGGTGTTTAATATATAATATAACCCAATCAGCAAGGAAAACTTTTGAATATTCCCCAATATTTGTAAATATTGTTGCCATTAGCTATAACATTGGATTAATATAGCGAATATTCAGGAATTTAGAATATATTCAAAACATAAATTGCTGATTGGGAAGTGATCAATTTTTGACTGCAATAATTTCTTCATAATTTGCAGCAATAAGTTTACAATATGTGAATTATCATACAAATCTTGCAGTTTAGAATTTCATTTGGAACAGCATAATTGCATGCAAAATTAATTTAATTCTGTTTGCATTGGGCAAACTGTAGGAAGTTGGAATACTGAATTTCAGCTTTTCGGTTTGATTTCAATCAAGAAGCTTGGGTAGGCCTGAAAGAGATAAAAAAATCAAATAAATAAAATATCAATAAAATATAGGCATAAAGGTAGAAAAATAAACAGGGATACAAAAAAAGTATTTACCTGCTTCTCATCATACACGACAAATTTGGAGCCATAATTGACACTGTGGTAGCCAGGGGTGAGAGCAGTTGTTCCAGAAGACATTTTTCCCAGGGCAACTCTGCAGATCAGCATGTGGTAGGAGGTCTGGGCTCCGTTCTTCATGGAGAAACTGTAGCTCTCAGACGACAGATTGGAGAAGTACACACCTATTGAATTTGAAAGACCGCACTGCATATTTTATTTCATAAATAACTTTCGCAACAAACCGACTCCGCAGGAACCATTTCTGGCGTAGCTCAGTTTGAAGCCTTCTTCTGCAATCTTCAGGGAAAATGGAGAGCCGTGGAATAGCCGCTTCTCGAGAACACGCTCGCTGCTTCCCATTTCTTCATAAATTTTCTTTCGAGTCTCAACATACGAGGCCCACGTGGCACTGTTCTTAATCCTGTAGGCCTGAAATAGAAGCCAAAATTTTTTAGCTTTAAATATATTTATTTCTATATTGTGATTTAAAATATGATGAAAGTTTGATAGGGGAATAATTATTTGTAAACAATAGCTATCATTTATGTACCTTTAAATTATGTTACAAATGGTGTGTGCAACAATATAATTTATTTATTTTGTTACCGAAGCTTCCGTTATCAAGATGCCTAACGAACGGGCGAAATTAAAGATTTACTTGCCTTGTGGACTGTGAACAAGTCGCCAGATTTCTTGACCTTACTGATGAGCCATTTGAAATCCTTGTCATTGGGGTCGATTTGCTCTGTGACAAAGCCTTCGATCCAATTGTTGTTACTGGCCACTGCAGGCACGGCAGGCTGCTGAGAAGTTCCAGCGGCAATCGTTGCATTTGGCAGCGATCTTAAAAATAAATTCCAATCATGAATAACATATATATCTAAGTAAATAAAAGTGAGAAACTAAAAGTAATATTGTAAGACAATGTGCCATAATATTTATTGTTTCTTAATAAATTAATAATAAAATGAAAAACACAAATTTTGATATTGCATTTTAATGCAGAATGTACTAATGAGCGGAAGTAATTCAGGACTTAAAAAAGAATAATAATGTTTTACTATACCTTTGGAGAGTTTGTGAATTTGAAGCCATTTTGATCAATTTACCAGCCGCTTTATATCTAAAGGTTTCCTCTTCTGACAGACTGATGCTGTATACCTAAAAAGAATGTAAATAAATTTATAATAAATTTAGAAATGTATAATTATAAAATTAAAAGTCTAACATAATTAAATTGTCGTGATTTATTTTAAATAGATCATCAAAAAATAAACCACACCAAAACCAAGACAAAAAAATCGGGGAAGCGTGTGTTGTACATTCAACGGAAACGCAACACAAAAAACGATTTATCATGCAGTGTGATATAATAAAAGATTTTATCCTTTTTTTGAGTTATCAACAAAGAGTAATTGAAAGTTTACAGTTACGTACGTGTATGTCACAATTGTCACTATAATGGAGTTACGCCGGCAGGAAGGGGTGAGAGACCGCAGAGGTCGGCGGTCGGCGGCGGCCTACGAAGAACAAGTCAACAAAGTCAACAAGAGGTGGCAACGACGCCAGCGACGCGGCTCAAAAAGAAGTGCGGAAACTGCACTGCGGAGTAGATAGAAACAGAAAACGGAACGAAACGTAGCCAGATTGTCTTGCTTGCGAACTGGGCCTTTCGTGGGTTCTTCGTCTATCTCGCCTCTCGTCGCTTGGGGTTTTGTCTGAACTTGTCAAAATCGCCAAATTCCGCTCGTGTAAGGTGAATGGACTTTGGACGGAGGGAGCAAGGAGGGAGTCTTCAGATTCCACCCAAGTCACCCAACCACCCATACCACTTTTGCTCGTTGCTCTACCAACAGAAACAAGAAAATCCAAAGAAAATCGTCAGCAGAGAACAGACGGCGAACGCGAAGAGACGGAGAGAGAGTTTTCAGTTCAGAGTCAAGAAACAATCAAAAGAAGAGCAGAGTGCGGCTCCACGAGGAGGTATGTACGTGTCCTTGTAATATTATATCACAAATACATTTTATCATAATAATGTACGTGTTTTCCTTTCCACGTTTTTAAAATTTATCAAATTTATTGCATGCCGATGAAGGCGGTGAAGTCATTTTTGGTGGATTTAGAAAGAAAAAAATAAAATATATAAATAAAAAAAATTTATTTTATAAAATTATGTAATGATTACTCGCTTTGAATCCTTGACCCGCTTATTTATAACTTAATTTTTACATTCTTGTTTGTATTTTTCGCACTTTGCGAACAGATTCCCATGAGTTTAATTTCAACTGCAGATTGCTTAAAGAAAAATATAATTTAATATCATCATAAAATTTACACAATACAACTTTATGTACATGATTGATTATCAACATTATTTAAACATAATTCAGAGTATACATTAGTATTTTCATTTACAACATTAATCATAACTGCAAAAATTTCTTCGGCTGATATTTTTATAGATTTTAAAATTTAAAAATAAAATTGCAATAATATCACACTACTTGTCTTCTTATGATCTCCTTTTGTTATGTGCAGGTGTCTGCGCTGTCTGGTCGTTTATTTGGTCTGTGCGAAAACAACCGCGAAGAACAGCGAAGGCAGCCCAATTTCCTCCTTATACTATCGGGCGTGATTATTCATGCAAGATTAATATATACGCTGTTTATGTCTGCATACCAAATTTGCTGAACGATAGTCGCCAAAATGGGGTATGTCAAATTATTATTCATTAATAGTCAACTTGAATTTGTTTATTAATTTTTTAATTATTTCAAATATTCAGTATTTTATTTTTTATCTTTTAGATAAATATTTTTTAAATTATTTTTTTAGCCTTTAATTAATTTTTCCAGTGAATACATGAAAGAGCTTTTGGACAAAGAAGCTAATGCAGTGTTTGGCATTGGCAAATCCATCCCTGATACTGATCCAGAGAAACTGAGGAAGATTGGAAACTTGTGTCTTGAGCTCGGGGACCACTGGAATGCAATCTGTGCTTACACGAAGAGTTTGGCCATGGCACCAGCTGGAAGCAAACTTCGTTGTCTGGCCTACGCCAACAAGAGTGCCGTCCTGCTTGCTTTGGGCTACTACGAGGAATGCATCAGTGATGCAAAAATTTCTCTTCAAAACCAGTACCCTGACAATCTGGCCCACAAGCTGCACATGCGGATGGTCGTCTGCAACAAAGCGCTGGGAAATAAAAGCCGCTGAAGCTGAAGAGAACCAACTTGCTGCAGTTCAAGCGATCAAAAGATTGGCGATGAATAGTGAATCAGAGGCAAAGGCCATCAAAGGGTTTATGCTTGAATTGAAAATGAATCGCAAGCCAAAAATGCCCAAATTTGAGATTGAATATGTCGCACCACCTCCCCTGAGCCACGGTCCAAATCCAAAAGACCCAAAGATTTCTGCAGCCCTTAATCTGAAAAAATGAGGGAAAAGTCTGATTGCAAATAGAAAACTGAAAATTGGTAACTGATTTTTTTCTACCTTTTAGTTTCTGACATCGTAGATGTTGATCGTTTTATTTAATAATTATAACTCTTATAGGTGATGTCTTAGCTGTTGAAGAGCCGGCATTTTTTAAATTCTCATCCATATGATTGACGTTGGTGAACCTTCCTGGATCCATTGCAGCAAATGCTTAAAGCTCTGTGTGAATTTGATCCCTTGCAAAACATGCTATATGGGTAAAATATATTTAATTTATTACAATTTATAACATCAGCCATATAATTGAAATTTTTGAAAATTTTTGCAGGTTTGCTACTGAAGTGATGAATGCAAATCTGAAGCTTTGGAGAAGTATCACAGGTATGAATGCAGAGCCAAGGAAAAGCTCATCAAAACCCTTCTTGAAGACGGAGTAAAAAGCAAAATGGATTTCATCTACATTATAAATTACTCGTTTGCATTGATATTTGGTCTTGGCTTGGAAAATTGCATCAGAGCTCTCTCACCTGACGGCCAATTTTCAAATAAGGCCACGGAGCAGATTAAGGAACTTATGAAAATGCCAGTTAGAAGTGATGGCCACTACCTCGTCTCGGATGCATCAAATTTGTTCATCGTGAACGTGGTGGCCGATTGCCTGGCAAACACCACAGAAAGGAAGCAGGCTTTGTTTGAATTTTTGCAAAAAGCTTTGCTTGTTCTGCATACAAACTGGCTGCCAATGAATGACACAATGTTCTGCTACTGACAATAAGCTTGTTTGTCAATCGTCAAGACCAATTGGATTGGGGGTCTATCTAATGTATAATTCCATCAAAGGCGGTTGCGACTGCAATGCTGTCCACAGCATGTACCGACAGACATTAGTTGTGCAAGCTGGAAGGCCTATCAAAAAGGGCGATCGAGGAGATTCTCTTGGACAAAGGTCTTGACTACATCAAGAATCCTCTTCAAATTAGACGCTTCTACTATTCAGAAGTTGAAGGTACCAAAGGAAAGTGCAATTGCAGAGCCTGCGAGGAGATTTGGCCAACACACAAAGAGCAAGTCAAATGCTACGAAGATCTCTAAGAATCCAGCCAACAAAGATCTCATAAGAGAGTTGTGTTGTACTGATGCTGCATTCTTTGGCAAGGAAAGTAGTGGCTCTCCAGTCTCTATTTTAAAGCCTGAGACGCCAGAAATTTGGTCGAAGGTCTTGGAGCTGTACATGATCATAGAAGAGACGATCAGCTGTACAATCAAGTGTTTAAATTTGTCTGCCAGTATTTGAGTTTGGCCACCAAAAATATTGACACAGACCCAGCTATTCTGTCAAGTGAGTATCTTGATTGCTGCATTACCTTTAAAGATCAAGAGTTGATTCAGTTTATGTAATTCCTCAATCACTATTCTTGCATGCACTCTTTATTGCATTGAAAATGAAATTAAGAAAAGATAATATAACAGAATTTAATAATTGTTTATGATGCACATAGATTTATTTAATATAATTAATACACTAAGACCTTTTTGCAAGTGTCTGACTTAAGGGACGAAAAAAATCTTTAATAATAATTAATACGATAAGACCATTTTGCAACTGTCTTACTTTAAGGGACGAAAAAAATCTCCAACATGCAAAATGCGAAAATTTTTTGGCCATGTTTTTTTTAATCGTCAAAATATCAAACCGGCGGCCACCACGGGCGGCCAAAGTTGGAAATTCTTCGATTTTCAAACTGTCCTAATCTCGCCGAAACTTCGCCTAAATCGACCCTCGCGAATCCGAAAAACCGGTAAATTTACATCAAAACCGGTTATTTCCGGGAGAAAAACCGGTTTTAAATTTTCAAATCGCTATATCTCGAAAACGAGTCCAGGAACAATTTTTTTCAACCTCATTTTCGGAATCCTCGCCCTCCAATTAGTCTGGGATTAAATTTTCAGAAATTTAAAACTGACAGTTTTCGAGCAAATCGCGAAAACAAAATTTTGCGATTTAAGGTACAAGGAGGCCAAAATCGAAAAAACCGAGTTCACTTCCTTATGGAAAGTCCGCGGCCCGACCCCGAATCCGAGGTCGAAAAAATTCCAGGGCCGCCCTGAGCGATTTCAGAAATATTTACTAAAGTCGTTTTATAATTAAAAATTAGTTTTTTTTTAAATTTAAAAAAAATTATTTTTTAAATAAATTCAAATTTATCATTTTAAAAATTTCAAATGGGTTCTTATGACAGTTTTTAATTAAAAATAAATTTTTTTACAAAAATTTAAAAAATATATATATATTCCTTAAAATTTACTATCTTCTATAAATTTTTAAAATTAAATAATTCATTTTCCCCAGTTCGGAAAGGTGAAATTCCCAGCTCACGTGTCCTGACTTAATTAGTTTTCTATAAGAAAAATAAAAAAAATCCATCCACATAAGGAAATTTTTGCACCATCATAACCAGCACGATAGGTCGAACCAAGTGCGCCGCCCTTTCGTCAACCCTTGCGCTCGTGGTCGAACCGAACTACGGGCGCTGTTTCACGGTAGCTCCGTTTGTAATAAATTTCTAATTTCAAGCCAGATAATGAATTTCATAGTTTGTTTATTTTATAAAAAGAAAAAATTCCAACAGGACTTTCATATTTATGTAGGATTTAAAATTAAAAAAAAAATTAAATCGTCATTATAAGGTGCTCGTATCATAATTTTCTCCTTCGCTAACTTTTTTTGATTATTTTTCTTTGTCCAAATTGTTGCATTGTTGGAATTCAGTCGTTGAAAACAATTTATTTAAGAGAGAAAAAATGGATTGTTGGACAAACCGGCACTAGCAAGAATTTTTCCAAACTTCCAAGATCGAAAAGATTCCATCCGCCGCAGGGTTTTAAAGGTATGTTTGAAGGTCGCACACCCTCATTAAGGAGGTATCATAAATTTACTTAGAAAATTTTGAAAAATCATACCGTTCTGCCAACTGTATTGATTTCTGCCAATAACATTCTTAAGTTATAATTCAAATTCAGTTTTCAAATTGCACCGGAATTTGAGGTTACGTGATGCCATTAAGGCGGAAGTCAAGTACCGCCCTGAGCGATTTCAGGGTCAACCTGACCACCTTCCGCAGGGCGTAGGGCAAAAACTCGCACATTTTCCGATTCCTCGTGTAAAATCGTGAAGAATGGCTATCTTCGAATTTGGGGCGATCCTCAGGGTAAGCCCTGAAAAAATAATGAAAATCGCAAAGGTTGGGTTTTCGCCGAATTTTTTCAGGGTCAATCGGGCTGAAAATCGGGGTTTTTTCCACAGGACCATTTAGAAAAGTGGCCGTTCTACGCGCGTTTTAAATTTCAGATCGCTACCTCTGATAGCGGCCGAGCTGCGAATTTTCAAAAATCGAAATTTATTTTCCGCTCGAGTACCTGCGGCCGCCTGATTTTCTCGCTCGTGGCCGCCCCACCGTTTAATTCAGCCCTTTGATGGTAATGAGTGAAAATTTCGTTCTAGACTAATTCGCGGGCGCCCGTCACAATTCCGGCGTCAGATCCGCGCTCAGGGTCGCCCTTCCCACCTTTTGGGCACCCTGAGCTCAGGTTCAACCCTTTCCGAAGGTCGCAGGTCGATTTTGAGCGCGGATTCGGCCGCGGCGTGTGCCAAAACCCCTGGAATCGTCAAAACGCCGAATAAAATCGGCCCGGAAATTGGAGAATTTTTTTCAAAAATTGCATTTTTTCGCACGGCGAGTGTGGAGCCGGTCGTTTTGTCGCGCGTGCCACTGTTATGAGGAAAAACACGCGAATTTCGTTCGGCTCGCTCTGGCTCGCTGAAATTTGGGATCCCAGGGTGTTTTTCGGCGCCCGACCCGAATCCGAGGTCAATTTTGAGGCCAAGGTCACCCCTCGAGGTCACCGGGGTCAAAACCGGTTTTTTAAGATTTTTTTTTTCAATTAAATGCCGTCGTCGGAAAGCTGTTCGGACGATCGGATGTCGTTCGTAATTAATTCCTGAGGTTTTCTTCAGCAACGGAAAGTGAATTTTATGCAGAAATATTTACTAAAGTCGTTATTATAATTAAAAATTAGTTTTTTTTTTAAATTAAAAAAAAAATTATTTTTTAAATAAATTCAAATTTATCATTTTAAAAATTTCAAATGGGTTCTTATGACAGTTTTTAATTAAAAATAAATTTTTTTACAAAAATTTAAAAAATATATATATATTCCTTCAAATTTACTATCTTCTATAAATTTTTAAAATTAAATAATTCATTTTCCCCAGTTCGGAAAGGTGAAATTCCCAGCTCACGTGTCCTGACTTAATTAGTTTTCTATAAGAAAAATAAAAAAAATCCATCCACATAAGGAAATTTTTGCACCATCATAACCAGCACGATAGGTCGAACCAAGTGCGCCGCCCTTTCGTCAACCCTTGCGCTCGTGGTCGAACCGAACTACGGGCGCTGTTTCACGGTAGCTCCGTTTGTAATAAATTTCTAATTTCAAGCCAGATAATGAATTTCATAGTTTGTTTATTTTATAAAAAGAAAAAATTCCAACAGGACTTTCATATTTATGTAGGATTTAAAATTAAAAAAAAAATTAAATCGTCATTATAAGGTGCTCGTATCATAATTTTCTCCTTCGCTAACTTTTTTTGATTATTTTTCTTTGTCCAAATTGTTGCATTGTTGGAATCCAGTCGTTGAAAACAGTTTATTTGAGAGAGAAAAAATGGATTGTTGGACAAACCGGCACTAGCAAGAATTTTTCCAAACTTCCAAGATCGAAAAGATTCCATCCGCCGCAGGGTTTTAAAGGTATGTTTGAAGGTCGCACACCCTCATTAAGGAGGTATCATAAATTTACTTAGAAAATTTTGAAAAATCATACCGTTCTGCCAACTGTATTGATTTCTGCCAATAACATTCTTAAGTTATAATTCAAATTCAGTTTTCAAATTGCACCGGAATTTGATGTTACGTGATGCCATTAAGGCGGAAGTCAAGTACCGCCCTGAGCGATTTCAGGGTCAACCTGACCACCTTCCGCAGGTCGTAGGGCAAAAACTCGCACATTTTCCGATTCCTCGTGTAAAATCGTGAAGAATGGCTATCTTCGAATTTGGGGCGATCCTCAGGGTAAGCCCTGAAAAAATAATGAAAATCGCAAAGGTTGGGTTTTCGCCGAATTTTTTCAGGGTCAATCGGGCTGAAAATCGGGGTTTTTTCCACAGGACCATTTAGAAAAGTGGCCGTTCTACGCGCGTTTTAAATTTCAGATCGCTACCTCTGATAGCGGCCGAGCTGCGAATTTTCAAAAATCGAAATTTATTTTCCGCTCGAGTACCTGCGGCCGCCTGATTTTCTCGCTCGTGGCCGCCCCACCGTTTAATTCAGCCCTTTGATGGTAATGAGTGAAAATTTCGTTCTAGACTAATTCGCGGGCGCCCGTCACAATTCCGGCGTCAGATCCGCGCTCAGGGTCGCCCTTCCCACCTTTTGGGCACCCTGAGCTCAGGTTCAACCCTTTCCGAAGGTCGCAGGTCGATTTTGAGCGCGGATTCGGCCGCGGCGTGTGCTAAAACCCCTGGAATCGTCAAAACGCCGAATAAAATCGGCCCGGAAATTGGAGAATTTTTTTCAAAAATTGCATTTTTTCGCACGGCGAGTGCGGAGCCGGTCGCTTTGTCGCGCGTGCCACTTTTATGAGGAAAAACACGCGAATTTCGTTCGGCTCGCTCTGGCTCGCTGAAATTTGGGATCCCAGGGTGTTTTTCGGCGCCCGACCCGAATCCGAGGTCAATTTTGAGGCCAAGGTCACCCCTCGAGGTCACCGGGGTCAAAACCGGTTTTTTAAGATTTTTTTTTCAATTAAATGCCGTCGTCGGAAAGCTGTTCGGACGATCGGATGTCGTTCGTAATTAATTCCTGAGGTTTTCTTCAGCAACGGAAAGTGAATTTTATGCAGAAATATTTACTAAAGTCGTTATTATAATTAAAAATTAGTTTTTTTTTTAAATTAAAAAAAAAATTATTTTTTAAATAAATTCAAATTTATCATTTTAAAAATTTCAAATGGGTTCTTATGACAGTTTTTAATTAAAAATAAATTTTTTTACAAAAATTTAAAAAATATATATATATTCCTTCAAATTTACTATCTTCTATAAATTTTTAAAATTAAATAATTCATTTTCCCCAGTTCGGAAAGGTGAAATTCCCAGCTCACGTGTCCTGACTTAATTAGTTTTCTATAAGAAAAATAAAAAAAATCCATCCACATAAGGAAATTTTTGCACCATCATAACCAGCACGATAGGTCGAACCAAGTGCGCCGCCCTTTCGT